CAGCTGTTCGTAAGTTCTTTCTTAAACTGAAATGTAAAGTCCACAATAGGGGCTTAACACTCACTAGTTAGTTTGTAACTAAATTTGTTCTCACTTCGGTTCCACCACATGTTCTTCAAGCAAGCCGTAGTTAGTAGGTTGTAAGCTTTACATAAAGTCATGCGTAGTTGCATTGAATGACGTAATATCCAATAAAAATCATTAAACTGCTTTAAAATTCTGCAATAAATGCATATGTATATAACTATCCTATGAAATCACCTTTTTATAGTGCATTACATTACAGTCAGTGACTAATAACAGATGACACACACCTGCATCGCAAGTCGTGAATACATAAAGTTATCAAAACATTAAACTTGAATTTTTATATGAAAGAGAAATGACCAAGAAGAAAAACTCAGTCATGAATTTTTTTTTTTTTTAATTGATGGATACAATGAACACAAAACAGAGATTTGAGAGTAAATTAAGTCTGTGAGTAGTGGGAGACCATTCTTCAATATAATTGTGAGGTCTTCAATGTAGCTGCGCCCAGTCAGTACCTGGATGGAAGACCACATGGGAAAGCTAGGTTGCTGCTGGAAGTGGTGTTAGTGAGGCCAGCAGGGGGCGGTCTGCGTGGGTCCTAATGCCCAGTCTAGTGAAGGGGACTCTATTCTGCTCAGTGAGCGCCGTCTTTTGGATGAGACGTTAAACCGAGGTCCCGACTCTCTGTGGTCATTAAAAATCCCAGGATGTCCTTCGAAAAAAGAGTAGGGGTTTCACCCTTGCAATCCTGCCCAAATTTGCCCACTGGTCTCTGTCCATCATGGCATCCTAACCATTCCCATATCATAATTGGCTTCATCACTCTGTCTCCTCTCCACCTATTAGCTAGTGTGTGGTGTGCGGTCTGGCGCATTATGGCTGCCGTCGCGTCATCCAGGTGGATGCTGCACACATGTGGTGGATGATCCCCCCTATGTTTAAAAGTGATTTGAGTGCCCAGAAAAATGCTTTATAAATGTAAGGAATTAATATTATTATTAATAGTAAATGCAAATAATTTATTTTTGACTGCATGCATGCTAAAATGTATAACTCAGTTATTATAAAGAGACAAAAAATAACTGCAGAAAACTTATTTTTTTATTGTTGACTCTTTGATCAATGACTGCAGAACTGCAATGAATGGAAAGTAGCTCTTGCAGTGTATCATTTTACAAAATGAAGTTGCTTACTAATACTCAATTTATCCTATATATACATACAAACACACACACACACACACACATATATATATATATATATATATATATATATATATATATATATATAGCTAACATTATTTTATCTTCAGGTCTCAACAGATGTTTGACTACATCCTGTGTAATGTCAAGTATCAGCGTGTAAGAGACTGCATGCAAAAGTTATGGCTTCAGCATCAGGGAGACCCTTGTGCATTTTATGGTTGCAGTAAAGAAAAAGCAAGAGAGAGAGAGAGAGAGAGAGAGTTTTTTGTCAGTTGTCATGTCTCTCCATCACCTCAGGCCAATAACCCTAGATTCCAGCTCCGTCTGAAGCTGTTTCCCACTATTATGCGTGTCCTTTTTTAAGTCTGTTTGGGCACTTTCAGTTGTCTTGTACTACATGCTGACCTGCAGCATCTTGGTGACATCTGACCTTGCCCTCATTATGTTAAAGACCTTGTGTTGTGGCCACTGCATGAAGTCTTTGTGTGCGCTGTGAGTGGAAGCCTTGTGTGGAAGTGGCCACTTCAAAAGGGCTATATTTGTGTACAGAAGCCACGATGACTGTTCTCCTGCATTTTGCAAGAAGTCTCTCGTGCCTGTGTGCTGTTTAGAAATATACATCTATGGCAAAATTAAGAGACCATTTGGAAATTCTCAGTTTATCTGGATTTGCATGGGTTTGAGTAAAATGTTGATATTTCTAAATTGCAATAAATGTCTGATTACATAAAGTGAAGTTAGATCACTTTTTTTAGTATCGGTTGGTTAAATTAAGAAATGTTTTCGTTTGCTATTATTATTATTTTTTTATTTAATTAATTTAATTATTTAACCAGGGATGTCCCATTGAGACACATTATCTCTTCCACCAGGGAGAAAAAATACATGTCACAACACATAAACACATACAAAATAATATCAACCATAATCAGTTGTTAAAACATGTGCACTGTTTTAACGTCACGTGACAGTGTTTATAATATGGTTAAGTATAGCGATAGATGTGGATTTCATATGTAGTATCTCTTTAAGCTCATTCCAAACATATGGAGCATACTTGGAGAATGCAGATCGATCTAACTGTGTGTGAAAACATGGCATCTTAAGTAAGAGTATATGTGCTGATCTAGTATTTGAGCCGTACAACAACAAAGTAGATATATACTGTGGTAATTTACCATCTAAAGCTTTAAAAATGAAAACTAAGATATGTTGTTTTCTTTTTGACTGTAATGAGGTCCATTCTGTCATTTTATATGAATTACAGTGATGTGTGCGTGCACTTAAACAGGAACAAATTGAAAGGCACTATGATAAACAATATCCTATTTTTTAAAAACATTCATAGGTGCGTGCATATAAAGTATATCTTCGTAATCCAGTACTGATAGAAGTGAACTCTCAACTAAACGTTTTCAAGCTGCGAAAGAGAAACATTTCATTATGAATGAACAGCAGGGTTATTCCAACAGATACTGCTTTCTTTAACTTTTATACAATTAAAATATTGCTATTGTGTTGTCTGAAGGTGAACATGATCGTGTCTTAATACATATAACTTTTTTTTTTGTTATTTTATGCCAAAATAAACACATTAAATATTAATAACAATAATACAATGCTCTAAAACAAAACACAAATGACATTTGATTCAAACACATTACAAAATAAAATTGTGGTGTCTTTTTTCCCCAGCTGTATATTTGAATGGTAAATCATAAAGAAGCTTATTTCATATTTGAAATGTAAATGGGCATAATACATAATGTTCTGTTTATGACTATGAAAATGCATGTAATAGCACTTTCAAGTCTTGAGGTCAAGTGACCACAATAAATTTTAATAGTTTTAATAATCAATTCATAAGCTAAAACTAAAGGCTGAGCAACACTTTATTTTGATGGTCCATTTGTGTATTGGTAGACTGTCTGCTTAATATATTTTGATATGCACCGTCAACAGACATTTAATTGACAATAAGAGTCTTTGCAAGTACATGTCAACTTACACTAACCGTAACCCTAACCCCAACCTAACAATCTGTTTATAGTCTACTGAGAATTAGTTGGCGTGTAGATGCAATATATCTTAAATTCAACAAATGGACCATCAAAATAAAGTGTGATCGAAGGCTGTGCTGAAATTATTTTCTCTAATAATACACCATCAAAAAAGGGTGGTAACATTTAAAAAATTCTCTTATCACTATGGTGGCTTGAAAAAGCCAACATATTGTTATACTACATAAACTATTTCTTCATCTGTCTCCTTCTGAGAGTGTTTTTTCTATATGCATCTCCTCCAAACCTCCAAACTGCTCTGACTCAGATTTCTATATCTTTTCCAACTGATCAGACTTATGGTTTTCTGAAAACTGACCCGGAAAATTCTGAAAAGTCCCATTGACTTAACATTATGCCAAACTTTGTGACCTCATAAATTTGCACCAGACTCTCATACAAGCTTAAGGTTGGGCTCATTTAAGTCAGAATACCAATCTGCCAATCACTGATGACCTTTCAATTTACTAGCCACACCCTAGCAACCACTTATGGCACCCTAGCAACTGTCCAATAGATTTCCATTGTAAAAAATTGGCATTGACTTTACATCGGACATACTATCAATATACTGTACCAATCCATACTAGAAACATACTAGCAAACTCACTAGTCATACTAGCAACATGCTAATTCATTTTTTAAACATACAACATGCTAATTCAAGCTAAAGTCATGCTAACAACATGCAAGTTTATACTAGAACCATGCTGATTCATACTAGAACCATGTTAATTCAAACTAGAACCATTCTAATTTATGATAGCATTTATGATATTTATGATAACAACCACCTTGAGCACTCTAGCAACCGCCTAGCAAGAAACATGCTAACATACAGTTGAAGTCAGAATTATTAGCCCCTCTGAATTATTAGCGCCCCCTTGTGTATTTATTTTTTTCCCAATTTCTGTTTAACGGAGAGAAGATTTTTTCAACACATTTCTAAACATAATAGTTTTAATAAGTAATTTCTAATAACTGATTTATTTTATCTTTGCCATGATGACAGTAAATAAAATTTGACTAGATATTTTTCAAGACACTTCTATACAGCTTAAAGTGACATTTAAAGGCTTAATTAGGTTAATTAGGGTAACTAGGCAGGTTATGGTAATTAGGCAAGTTATTGTATAATGATGGTTTGTTCTGTAGACTATCGGGAAAAAAATTGCTTAAAGGGGCTTATAATTTTTACCTTAAAATGTTTTAAAAAAACAGTTTTTATTTTAGCTGAAATTAAACAAATAATACTTTCTCCGAAAGAAAAAAAAATATCAGACATACTGTGAAAAGATTCTTGCTCTGTCAAACATAATTTGGGAAATATTTGAAAAAGAAAAGATATTCAAAGTGGGGCTAATAATTCTGACTTCAACTGTATGCAGTTATCTATCCATGCCAACTGTTTCAAACTTGTTCAAAACTTCTTCAATTATTTAAACTTTGAATCTACTTAGAAACTTTTAGACTAGGGTTTCTCAAGCCACCATAAAGTTGGTCTACGAGCTTTACTTTTCTAGTTTAATCTGAAATATTTGACGAAATATTGTAAGAATTCAGATTTTTTTTGGGAAATGTAGATTGTAAACTGTAAATTTTATTGATGCTGAAATAATATAGTGTGCAGCTGTAGTTGTTAAATAGTTCTGAATGGCCCACATACAGTACGTCATAAACAAATGTAATTGTTCTCTTTTCCTAGTTTGTACTGGCACTAAAAATGCTCTGAGCTCCACGGGCACCCCAGAACAGCACTACAACAACCTTAAAGAGCGCTACACCGGATGTGAGATCGTCATGGGCAATCTTGAGATTACACAGATGGAGAATGACCTCGATTTCTCCTTTCTTGGAGTAAGAAGCTGTTTTACCTACCTGTATGGAGTGCTAAATGGTTGGTTTGGCCTTGAGATAACATGCTTGACTTTTCTTCTAGAGTATCCGAGAGGTCACCGGCTACATCCTCATTGCGATGAACCAGTTTCGCAAGTTACCTTTGAATCAGCTCAGAGTGATTCGTGGCAGCAGCTTGTATGACAAAGAATGGGCTCTTTCTGTCTTTCATAACTTTGACACTCACACTGGCCTGGAAGATCTGGGCCTCACCAACCTCACAGGTGAGATTGAGATCAGAATATAAAAATACACCTTTTCCTATGCTCCATGTTGCTTTGCGCAAATATTGGAACACATGACTTCTGTTAAGCTGTAAGCAATCAGAGAAGCGTAACCCCAAAATGTCATTGTAAGATTGTAAGATTCATTGTAATGTTTCTTATCTAATAACTTGGGATCAGATCACTGAATATGCAACATCTGGTAGTAACCGTAAATCTTTGGAGGAAATTTGGTCAAAATAACCTAAAGGTTTTTTTTCACACATATTTATCCCAATTTTATTGTTTTAAATTCTGCTTTCAGCCAAAGGTAGTGAAAAGTTTCAGACTCATAACACATAATTCACCACAAAATGAAAAATTCTGACTATTTATCCCCCTCAAAGTGGTTTTGAAAGATTTTAAAAGGTTTTGAAAGATTGACTTACCTAGTAGGTAGAATCAGGGTATCTCCCATCCAATCCAAACAACTAAAAAAGGAAAATGAAGAAAACGGCCACTTTTCCATTTTCGTTTGCTCACAAAAAACAAACGAAAAATAAATTTCGGCTCGATTTTTGTTTTTTTAATTTAGGGTAGGAAAACAGATAAACGACTTCAACATTTAATATACACATGTAGGCGGTGATAAAACGCCCATTTTCTTCTGATTGGTCAACCAAATCTGAGTTCTTGATGGTGCCCTCAAAATAAGAGGCCTCTGTGGACCAGCAGCCAGGTTTTTAATTATTATATTCTAAAACAGTGAATTAATGAACAAATTTTCAAAAGAACTAATTAAACACATACGTATAATTCATAATAATTAATATCTTGTTGTTCTGACTAACAGATGAGTTAGCTGTCTGTGCGTTGCGCTAAAAGTGAACTTGACATTTGCTCTTCGTTAGAAATACATTTACATTTTACATTTAGTCATTTAGCAGACGCTTTTATCCAAAGCGACTTACAAATGAGGACAAGGAAGCAACTTACACAACTATACGAGCAACAATGAATAAGTGCTATAGGCAAGTTTCAGGTCTGTAAAGTCTAAGAAGGAAAGTATTAGTACTTTTTTTTTTTTTTTTTGGGTACAGTTAGTGTGATATCCAGAGAGGCAATTGCAGATTAGGAAGTGTAGTGGAGACTAAATAGTTGAGTTTTTAGTCGTTATAAAATAACGAGTGACTCTGCTGTTCTGATGCAGTTAGGGAGTTCATTCCACCAACTGGTCAGATTGAGCGTGAGCGTTCGCGAAAGTGATTTCTTCCCTCTTTGGGATGGAACCACGAGGCGACGTTCATTCACAGAACGCAAGTTTCTGGAGGGCACATAGATCTGCAGAAGTGAGAGCAGATAAGAAGGAGCAAGGCCAGAAGTCACTTTGAAGGCAAACATCAGAGCTTTGAATTTGATGCGAGCAGCAACTGGCAGCCAGTGCATAAATGTTGAAGTGCTACAGCGGGCCCAGTTCCATATTGCACATATAAATATTGCATATAGGCTATTGTACGGTGCTGCCAACTGTTTGCATTTTATTTGATACATTTACTATTGCATGAAATAGTAGAAAAGGGAAGTGCGCTCGTATAGCGAGTGATGCACACAGAAATCAGTGCACTATTCTGAATTAAGTTCTCTTAAACCTAATTCTGCTTAAATTGTAGAAAATCTTTAAAAATGACAGGACTTTAATCAAGCCTTTTTCATTTGGAGAATTACAGTTAATAATAGCTTAGTCCGTATTAATGATCAGTTTATAAAATACATCATTTTTCAGAGTACTAAAGAATAAGACGAATGTGCAGTAACTATAATATTTTTATGCTTTATAGCTTTACTATGGAAGTCAGTGGTTACAGGTTTCAAGCTTTCTTCATAATATCTTCTATTGTATTCAACCAAAGAACGAAAGTCAAATCAAGTGAAGGGAGAGTAAATGATGTCAGAATAGTCATTTATGGATGAACTATCCCTTTAACAGCGGTTTAAGAGAATGAAGTGGACAAAAGAAGTCACATATTCTGGAACTTCATTAAAAATAATGTTCATCCACTCTTTCTTATTGCCTGGATCAGAAGGAAAGCAATGCAAAGACTGTATTTTTTCCCCTCATACCTTATCACTGCACAGCATCTTGATTTCTTTAGAGCATCTTTATCATATGGTTCCTACACAGGCCTGTTTTGCCTTTCTCATTGCTCATTATTCATTTTGAGTTCTCAGTTCATGATGTGTAAAGCTAGAGTCTTTGTGTAAACAGGTCACATGCATTCATCCAGTCAGTGACACAGACATTGCAGTTAAACAATGCAAATAAAGACATCATCCAGGTTTTATGTGCTGTGTGTCTGAAAACGTCAGCATACGAATACAGGATTAACTGATAAATTTAGTTAACCTATATGCACCTTTATGAGTTTTAGGAAACTTAGAAATCTCTTAAACCGGTGTTTAGAGGATTAACTAGTTCAAAGAACTACTCTGAAGATTTGAAGTTATTAGTGGTTCTGAACTCTGGGGAAGAAACTCTGAAATTTGTAGAGATTCAAAAATAATTTGATATATTTATCCAACCTGAAAAAATCAGCAAAATGACTTAATTGTAAATATATATTTGTAATGGGTTTACATGCAAAAATAACTTTTGTCATTTAAATCATGAGCGCTTCCTTTAAGTGGAGCATTTATAATTCTTTGCCTTCTCAAAACAAATGGACATCATGATGGTTTGTTTGACAGTAAGTAAATTTGACATCAGTGATTTTGCGGAAATCTGTAGGAGTGTTTAGGAATCTGGCACATTTGCATTACTGTAGGTACAGGCACACCCATTGTCACTCAACAGAGCAGAAAGCTTTACAGACAGACTCTCAAAAAGAGTTTGAGCCTGCCAGGAAAATGTCTGTATGTTTTGTGGGTCACTTCATTTCAAACTGCATATTTGATATAATTTGGCTTGTTCAGACTCATCAGAGATGTCAAAGTGCACTGAAGAGCCACATATGTCTTCAGTATCTTACAATTTTTAAGCAATGCATAATAATCTTCTAAGACACTTCCAAGAACAACAACACATTTTTTATTCCCTCATGACTGAAAACTGAAAGGTAAAACTCAATTAAATTGACTGGTTATTGATCCGCTTTAAAATTCAGTATAAAGTGTTGTTATATGTTTTTAAATCTCTCCACGGACTGCAAAATTTATTTTGCTGTGTGTTTAAACTACTTATTTAAAATGAGCTAAAACAACACAATTCTTAAGAATCTTTGGAGACAATTGTTTTATGCTCAATTAACTTCAATTTGTTAGGTTAACTTAATTGATTTGTATTGGGACAGAATAAGTGAATTGTGTGGAACCCAGCATTTTTCACAGTGTAGACTGGCCCCTCAGTATATATCTGACCTAATTAGTCTACATCAACCCTTGAGATCTCTTCACTCTAAAAGAATCAGCTATGTCTGACTGTTCCTCAATCATGCTTGAAATGTAAAGGGCTCTCTATGGAAGCTCTTAGACTTTGGAATGATCTTCTACTGCCTTCGAGAATATGCCACAGCCATGCAGCCCAAGACCAGTTACTCACTGAAGCTAAGCAGGGCTGAGACTGGTCAGTACCTGGATGGGTGACCACATGGGAAAACAAGGTTGCTGTTGGAATTCGTGTTAGAGAAGCCAGCAGGGGGCGCTCAACCTGCGGTCTGTGTAAGTTCTAATGCCCCAATATAGTGAAGAGGACGCTATACTGTCAGCGTGGGAGCGCCGACTTTCGGATGAGACGTTAAACCGAGGACTCTCTGTGATCATCTCATGGCACTTCTGAGGGATGTAACCCCGGTGTCCTGATCAAATTCTCTCCATCGGCCCTTACTAATCATGGGCTTCCAATCATCCCCATCCACTGAATGGGCTCTATCGCTGTCTCTCCACTCTCCCTATTGCTGGTGTGTAGTGCACTGGCGCCGTTGTCCTGTGGCTGCCTTCACATTATCCAAGTGGATGCTGCACACTGGTGCTGGTGTGGAGAGACCCCTCCCTCATGATTGTGAAGTGCTTTGGGTGTATGGCCATACACAATAAATGCACTATATAAATAGATATTACTTACTTAGTAATATCTCCTACTTTGGAGACATTTCAGAATTAAAACACTTGTATGTTGTGTTTTTATATACAGCACTTTGGTTACCATTGTGGTTGTTTAAAAATGCTTCAAAGATCAAATTAAGTAATTTAGGTAAAATAAATTGTACATTTTTGAACATATATAAATGTTAGACTATACTTTAGACAAGCATAAGTACAAACCGGTGTAGTTCCCCCTGTGCGCAATTTGTTTTCTGCATTAAATAAATCAGATTTATTTTCACTGTGTCTGCAGAGATCTTGGAAGGTGGAGTACAGATTGTCCACAACAGGAACCTCAGCTATGCTCCATTGATCAACTGGCAGGACATTGTCAGAGACGGTGACGCTCGCATCCAGATCCAGGACAATGGAGGAAGAGGTTTGTGTTCACATCTTGATTGTATGAGTGTGAGAGATAAATGTGTGTCAGGAAATTATGTTTTATATTCTGAAAAAAACCCACACAAAATAAAGATGTTCTGAGCTACCATGAAGATATCATCAAAAAAAATGCACTTCAGTTTAAGTTTTTTTTTCCTCTATAAAAAATCGCAAATTTTATATAGAAAACAAATTTTGAGAGGATCACTTGCTTATGATTGACTATGGCGGGCCCCCCATTAGCTATCACATGATACACCAATCAGATGATTACTAAAAAGAGCCAGATCTCCTTGCCTTAGCCCACTTCATATTGAAGAATCCCCCCATCCTCCCCTACTCCTTCCTCTCTTTTTTAACTAAATAGGGGGTAGCTCTCAAGACCTACCTCAGCTCAGACTCCCCTCTCACCTGAAGAAACGGAAGATTTGAGGTTTTTCCGAGCACAGGGCTCTCTCCCGGGACAGCATGCCAAACTCGCTCCTACTTATCAACTATTAGCTAAGTGTTAACTCTTGAAAATCACTAAAAACAGTAGGGAACCAATAGAAACGCCAAACATTGTAAATCAGGAGAAGATATTCATCTGTTGTTGAGGTTCATCATTTAGATATTTGGCTTCTTTATGTGTTTTATAGGGTCCTGCAATCCTGCATGTGGAGAGTTTTGCTGGGGTCCAAGTAATGATCAGTGTCAGAAATGTGAGTAACTGGTATTAATTTATTTAGTTATTCATTTTGGTCACTTTATTTTATTAACAAACCATCAACTTTAAACTTTTAGCTCAATAAACTATTAACTTGGTGCTATTAATTGTTAATAGTTTGATTTGGGTTTTCAGATTAGGATGTAGAATTAGATCATACTTTGTAAATACTAATGAACAGCAAATGTTTTAATAAAAAGTAGGTAATAAGCAGGTAATGGGGGATTGGTACTTAAAACAAAGTATTACAATATTTTTTATTCATTTTTAATATCAAATTTTTTGATGTAGTGTTTTTGAAAGAACACTTACAACACAATAATTTTCCATCCGTTAATACTTGTTAATGTATTAACTATAAAAATAAGAATAAACAATACTTGTGCAGCATTTATTAATCACAGTTCAACATTTACTAAAGCATTTATAAAATCTAAAGTTGTGCTTGTTAACATTAGTTTATGTAGTGTGAATTTACTTTATTTTCATTACTGTACTGTACTGTTTCATACTGTAATAAATGTACTGCTCATTGTTCATTAACTTTAACCAAGGGAACAATATTGAAAATTGTTACCATCTCTTATATTTACCTGGTCTGTTATTATTTATTATTTAGTTAAAATTTCATTAAACAGGAATATTGTGATAATGATTTTACATATTACACTGAAAAATATCTGTAAATTAGTGGTTTTATTTTTGATTCATGTTTGTATTTTATTTTTCCCCTTTTATTTATGCTTTTGAGTTGCATTATAGGACCTTGATCCTTCTTTAACAACCTTTACCCTTAAAAAGTAGGAAAAAGCGACTTTTGTTTACATTTTTAATAGTTCAAAGTGATTTATTTGTCTGGTTTGGTGTTGTATGTTATTCTACAAAAACCTTGTAATAAACCTTCAGTACATTTTCTGTTATGTTACAGACTAGTTTCTGTATATATATATTATTTCTTATACATTATATTTTTTAAGTACTAAAATGTCAATAAAAGTCACTTTATTAAAGTGTAGAGTTGAATTTTCAACATCAAATGTCGACAGAAGAAAGATCGACGTCCCATAATGCAATTCACAACCGTAAATAAACAGAAAACACTTTTACAGAGTAAATTCTATAAATAAATAAATATTCCATTTCATAATAAATTACAATGTAATAGTTTCATTTTATTAGATTGTCTCGGTTTCCCTTTACCTGTAGTCATACACAATGATTCTGAGTTATTTTTGTCTTTGTGTGTTTCAGTGACTAAAACAGTATGTGCACTTCAGTGTCTGGGCCACTGTTTCGGCACCAACCCTAATGAATGCTGCCACCCCGAGTGTGCTGGAGGCTGCACTGGACCCAGGGACACAGACTGCTTTGTGAGAACCAGCATTACTGCCATTACACTCTGATTGCATTGCTCAAGATCTATTGTAAGAGACAAGACAATGAAAGTCAAACAAACCTTTTATTTCTTTTTATTATTTTCCCCCAACAGGCCTGTCGACATGTCAATTACTCTGGCTCCTGCGTCCCTCACTGCCCTTGGCCTGTGGTCTACAACCAACAGACCTTTCAGGTGGAGCCCAATGCTGATGCCATGTATCAGTTCGGTTCCATCTGTGTTCCTAAATGTCCCGGTGAGTTACGAGCCGTTACACACAGTTTTCCACCACAGAACAGACCTTCGCTAAAGCATGGGGTGGAAAATATTTCTAACGTAATGGGAGCTTGGTGGATAAAGATCTAGGATTGTATTATAGAAATCACTTGTTGTAAGCCTGGTGGAACTGATGTGTAGGCTAGTAAGTGAACTGTGGATGAACGCTGGATGATATGCCTCATTGACAGTACATCAGAACTGCAGTGCCGTATCCATGGAGGATCATGAACTGCATGGTAAACATGACACAAGTTTAAACAAACAGCAGAATGTAATGGTACTACGCAACTCGTCTGACCATGTTTGAATTTTAGATTCAATTTGTGGCTGCTGAGTCCACAATTAACACTCGCTAAACACCACTTGCCTTGGCGTTAGAGAGTAAATAATGTTGTCTGGAGATTTTTTTAGGAATGATTACGTATAACATGGCTTTTAAAACTGCAATGTGTGATTGCTAGTTTGACTTTGGTGTTTATAAAACAAAATAAATGAACAGATCAATTTAGATAAACAAGAAATATACAAAACGTGTAAACCATAAATAACAGCTAAAAATATCTTAAACGAATTCTTGGGGAAAAAAAGTATTTATGTTTTTAGAAATATAATATACACATTTTTATTTCTGAGATACTGAAAGACTTATTATAGTTAAATGTTTTCAGAATTTGCCAATAAGTTACATTATTTAATCAATTACAAAGGAAGTTACATTAAGTTCTACATAGCAAAACAAAGACTAAAATTGTAAATGATCAAACATTGAGTACGTTTACATGGATACCAATAATGCAATTTTATTACAATTAAGACAATACTCTGATTAAGAGTCTACCATGTAAACTGAGATTTATGATTAATTTAATCCAATTAAGGTCATAATCGAACTGAACAGAAATCGGAATAAAACATGTGGAGTATGCTGATTTTGGTCGCATTATTGAAGTGCAGTACAGACATGTAAACACCACTATCAAACTATTACCTTCGTCTAGGATTTTCGCCGAAATTTGCGACTGGATATTACATACATACACGCCTGTTTGACACTATTCTCTGCATTTACCGAGTCAGTGAAGGACCACAGACACCTGAATCATGAAATGCAGAGTTTTTTTTCCATACGACGTGCGGCATCAAAATTTCTTAAAACAACACTCTTCCAGCAGTTCATACTCGCATCCAATATCTCCTTTGCCACAGGAGGCATGCATGAAAAGCTCCTGAATTAAAGTGAAAGTGCCAAACTGTAGTTAAAGTCAACAAACTGAAAGTTAAACACTCAAAATAACATGAAAGTCTGGAGGAAATAAGGATTGCGTGCTAATGCAAAGACGTAACTCGAATTATGTAAAACGAGATCATGAAAGGAACATTTAAAAAGCAACTCATGTAAAGTCCTTAATCATATTATTGTCTTATTCAGATTAAGGCAAATATATTGACTACTGGTAGACTTGATAGTAGTCACTGATTTATTTAAAACTTAGTAAATTTATTTATACAGGTCAATAGCTAGCAAAAGTAAATCCAGAAAACTACTTAAACAAAATAAAAAGATTGAAAAAAATATTAAATTATATTTTGTTTTTTTTTCTTTAGAGATGCCAAAAATCTTCTACAGAAAACTAACACTGAAAGAAAAGAAATTCCTGTAGAAACAACATTTACAGAATGTTCTACTAAATAATAAAATTGAAGAGTTCAGATGCACAAAGTACCATCTAATTTTTTTTCTAAAATGAGCATTTTTCTCAGCCACCTAATGTTATGTTGTTATTTTCAATTCATCTTTATTTATATAGTGCTTTTACAACGTAGATTGTGTCAAAGCAGCTTAACATAGATATTCTATTCAATTAAAATTGAAACATTGTTAGTTTAGTTTTCAGAGTTTAGGTTCAGTTTAGTTCAATTCAGTTTAATTTTCACTGCTGAAAGTCCAAATACTGATGAGCAAATCCATCTATGCGCACCTCTACAAGTCCATTTATTGCCTTCATTTCACCTTAAAGGCAATAAATATATCCTATTCAAGAACATAAAAGTCAAATTACTGAACCTACACATAGGAACCTGAGAAAAATGCACATTTTAGAGGAAAATGTTAGATGGAACTTGGAAGTTTTTGCATCTGAACTCTTCAATTATTAACAAAGAAAAAGCATCCTATTAAATGAAATGTAAAATTTGTATTTATCAACACCGAAATAGTGTTTTTATATGTATAAAATATGCACCAACAATTTCACTTTACATCGCTCTTATCATGGGGAAACATCCAATGCACACACATAGCAGCTCTGCACCTCTTGCACCAAGTTGCACTTTAGACACTTTCTTAATCACTCCATGTCTCTGGAAACACTGTGCATTTCAAATTGTACTTCATACAGGTAAGTGGGCTTGACAAACCACCTATAGAAACACTCTTCTCTCTTATGCACCTGACACTTTATCTGAACTCCCTCTTAAATAATGAATAATAATGAAAACATTGTTTACTATAAATGTACCACAATCATGTTGCACTCCTTGCTTTAACCTTAAATACCTCTTTTGCACAATATTCACCTTTAATACATCTCTTGCACAATATCCTGCACTTATGATTAATTTATATACCACTGTTGTCCTGTGAGACACAACATTTCGTTCCTCCGTATGTCCACACGTGTAGCGGAATGACAAAAAAAGCTCAGCTCAACTTGACTTGACTTGCATGTATGTGTTATCTCTTTAATACCACTAGTATATAAATCAATGTTTAGTCATTCAAAAAGATACAGTGCAGAACATAAAATGAATGACCTTTTCTCTTATTTTCCTTTAGGGCACTTTGTTGTGGATGGCAGTGCATGCGTGAGCAGTTGTCCTCCCGGTAAAACAGAAATAGAGAAGAATCAAATTAAACAGTGTGAGACCTGCATTGGCCTGTGTCCTAAAGGTAAAGTGTCCATCCAGCCTATTTTAGATTGCTGGACTACAGCAGCTGAATGCAGCAAACTTAAAATACTAAATCTGTTTTTTTTTTGTGTTATTTTCTCATTCTCTGTATAGTATGTGAGGGAACTGGAGCCAATCACAGACAGACAGTGGACTCCAGTAACATTGACAGCTTTATCAATTGTACCAAGATCCAAGGAAGTCTACATTTTCTGATCTTAGGTATCAAAGGGTAAGACACACACATAAACATACCTGATAAGTGCTCACAGACTCGAACAACACTATGCCATAAACAGACTGTCCTATATTCCAGACCTTTACCCTGTAATGTCATCAACAACTTTAAAGAGGACATGGACTGAGAAATCAAAATTCACTTGAACTTTTGACCTATAAGAGGTTATTGTACTAAAGCTTAAGAGCAATGAACAGCTTATATTAAAGGCAATCGGTTAAAATAACAGGTTGCGAATGTGCCACTTAATTTTGTCTGTGGCTAAACTTTGCCTCCACAGAATGAAATCAACATCTACTTTTTTATGAATATTTTTATGGGTTTTCAGATTTAATTAATAGGACAGTAGAGAGTAGTTGGGAATCATACTCTGACCGTCGTGAATGAGTGCCATGTGTCGACACAATAATCACTACACCATTCGCACTGACAACATATACTTTCAATATCAGAATATCACTGCCGGTTTAGCTCCACACATCGATAAGTGCTCTAGTATGTATGTAAATAACAAGAGTCATTTTTGATCATGGATTTTTTACCATGGATCATTTTAGTTGTTTAATAGTGGATTTTTATGTGAACAATTCGACTGGATTTTCAGAAAGATTGCAACTGAAACACAATAATATTCTATAAAATGCAGTTTTGTCACTAGTAGTTTGAGTAACTATCTTTATTTTATCTTATAAAGTGTCACCGCTGCTTTGTAGTTTGATTTGTACTCAGTATTTATGCATTTAACATGAATCGCTCAGCGTCTGTCTAAGAAAGTATGTGTTGAATATTATATTGGTGGTCTTTCCAATTTTTGAAAAGTTAAAAAGGTTGAGTCAATCTACCATACTCTATACATTATTATTATAAAAACTTGAGTTTTTTATGTAAACATTGTGATAACATTATAAGTAGACATAAATTTCATTTTTAATGTATCTATTATTTTGAATTAGGCATTTACCCATGATTGACAGGCTACTTTCATCCTATATATAAATCTGACATATGAAAATTACATATATGCCATACAAGTTTATATTTGGATTTCACGTTTATAGGTTGGGTGGCTCAGTAGGTAGCGATGTCGCCTCATAGCAAGAATGTCGCTTTCTGAAGAATTTCTGTGTGGAGTTTGCATGTTCTCCCCGTGTTTGCATGGGTTTCCTCCAGGTCCTCCGGTTTCCCCCACAGTCCAAAGACTTGCACAACAGGCGAATTGGATGATCTAAATTGGTAGTGTGTGTGTGAATGTGAGAGAATATGGGTGTTTCCCAGTACTGGGTTGCAGCTGGAACGACATCCACTTTGTAAAACATATGCTGGAATAGTTGGCAGTTCCTTCCGCTGTGGTGACCCCTGAAAAATAAAGGACTAAGCCGAAGAAAAGTGTATGAATGTTTACATGTTTACATTTGTTTATATATGGTTTTTCAATCACTGGAATTACAAAATTTACTTATTTGTTACAATATATTAGAAGTTATTGCTAATTTATCTGAACATATAAATACATTTTTGCTATTCCAACACTAAAAAAAAAAACGACTTTTGTTGCTTGTTCAAATTAATTATTTTTAAATGAGCTGAAACACAATTCTTAATTGTTTCATCATTTCAATCATTTCTGGAGGCTGATTTTAGCAGCAGGAGGTTCGAATGAAGTCTTGAAATTTCCAGTGAAGCAAGTAATTGTGTGTGTTTTTTTTTTTTTTTTTAGCAACTGCCATTTTTACAATGTTTTACAATATGTGTTGCATATATCTCATATTTTGTATAATGAGAAATCCATATGAACTTGTTTGTTACATGTGTAATTTGCATATATTGCCATACATCAGGTTTGTGTATTTGACAGCATTTCAGAAATCATTCATATATATTTGCATTACATAAGCAAAGACTTTAGATTTACAAAGACAGTGTATTTTTATTACTTATCAATAGGAGAAAATTTCACAACTGACTGTGTGCAATGATAGTTTAAAAGGGACTGTGATCTATAAGATGGTCTGGAATATAAGTCACTCCATGTTGCATAAAAAAAAACTCAGCATATTCTAGAAATTACGGTAATTGGAAAATAAACAGAGTAGATTGATGAGCGCCCACAGGGTCTCCATTACGGTGGTTGTTTATGCTAATATCTGCTCTCTTCTGTTCTGCAGAGACGTCTATAATAACATACCACCTCTGGAGCCTGAAAAACTCAAAGTGTTTAACACAGTCAGAGAAATTACTGGTATGCTTCCTTTACACCGACTGCTCTCTGTTTGTGTTCTTGTTGCTGTAGTTTTTGTTACGTCGGGTTGTGACTCAGCTGTGTGTGTGTGTTTGATTTGTAGGTATTTTGAACATTCAGTCTTGGCCCGATGAACTCCATGATCTATCTGTTTTCTCTAGTCTCACTACCATTCAGGGAAGATCTCTGTACAAGTAAGACTGTGTGTTTAATATGTGAATTAAGTGAGTTTGTGGTAATGTTTCTATGGGATTATATTAAAAACAATTCCTCATTCACTCAATTGATTTGGAGTTGGTAAGATTTTTTTTTCTTTTACAAAATTCTCACCAATTCTTTGTTTATTGGATCAGGCTAATATTGGAACAATATTGTCATACTAATTTCTTTTTTTTTTAACGTTTATTCATAAATGTACTGTAAGTCACTAATGCTGTAATTTTAAAAGCACTAATAATATGATACTAATAATATACTAATTATATAATAAAACATTGGTAAATGTAATTTTAGAACATTTTCATTATTTAAAGAGCCCATATTTTGCATTATAAAAGGTCATATTTTGGTTTTGGGGGTCTTCAACAACAGACTGATATGAATACAAGGTCAAAAAACACTTTCAATGGCTTATAATATGCATTTATTTTTGCCTAATTATCCTGACTCCCATATGATTAGTTCAGCGATTCATTTGTTCGCAAACCCCTCCTTAGCGAGAAGCTAATCTGCACTGATTGGACCGATGACCCAGTCTGTTGTGATTGCAAGTGCAAAAACAACTACACTCAATCAGTATTGTTCCACACAGTGGCAAAAGTTGAGCTATCACTGCGCGTGTGTGTAGGAACGGCTGATGGTGGCCACAATAAAGAGAAACGGCAGAGGATCGCGAGTTCAAAAACACTATTAAATCGGTGAAGGTAGAAGCACACGGCACATTTTCAGTGTGGTTTTGGACGCAATATGTAAACAGCCCTATAAAGATTTAACCTGAGAGATACAGTACAAGCACTTATCTATAATAGATTACGATACTATTATTGATTTATATTAGTGATTATAAGCCGCGTGGGTAGATTACAACTTACAACACATAATTAACCATATTTTGCAAACTACACAAATCGAGGCAACAATGTTATGATCCGGAGGAAGAAGAAACTGGTCTATATAAACTGTAACAGTTACTGACAAAGTCCTTGTCAATGTCTGACAGTCCCTTACATAATAGTCTCTGCTGCTCCTTCCTTTAAAAGCAAACAGCCAGCAAATCACGTGCTGCAGTGAGGATTATTGTATCAAAAATCAGAAAAATGACAGGAACAAACACAGCACACGGTTGGTTATTTAACCTGTTATTCACCGCAGCCGAATCTCCATCTGTCAGTGATCATCATCTTTGTGTCATGATCAGTTCCGTGATCCCCTGCGCTCCGCTAGTGTCTGAGGAGAAAGCGTGTTCACATTTATCAGATCAGGAACTACATATTTGGTGATGTACCATGTTGACGTTGATGCGTTCAAGCAAAAGTTTCAAACAAAACTCAATTAGAAGAATCAATAGTTTTAAACACGGTGCACTTTTAGATTTAAACCTCAGCTGGATGTCTTCATTCACTTAGTGCTGTTACACACTGCAAATAAGGTCATTTTTAAAAACCCATAATACAGGCTCTTTAGAATAGAAAATGCAACATCATTTGTGATGCTAATGTGCAATTGTTGCTTTAAAATGTTTTATATTTTATTCATAACTTCAAATTGCTTCAGAATTGATTATAAATAATCAATTTATCTGTTTTTTCATTCATTTTGGACCCTATGTTTTATTTTGTGTGTCATATCCCAATCAATATTCCCCAATAGTCCCCATGTTTGATTAATCCTTAAAAAGTATGTCTCTACTAAATGTTTGCTTGTGTTTTATTACATTATTGTTTAACATCATGCATGCATCTCAATGTTGTTTTTTGTGTTCCCTGTGTTTTGTATGTTACTCCCCTCATTCTCCACATGTGCTTGTATCTGTCCCCGCAGTCCTAAGAGGTATGTACTGTGATCCCTCCAACCTGCAAAAAACTAACTGTACTATCTGTATGGCCAACTTTCTCAATCACATTCACAAACAATGTCTTTTTTCCTGCTTTTGTTGCCAAATAATGACGACAGTATCCTTGATGAGTTGTGAAATGTTTCTTTAAGAATAACAGGGGCATGTATGAGCACATATTCAAACTGATGAAGGTCACAGATGGTTCATCTGCTTTTATTTGTGATCTTGCACTGAGTGCCTATGCGGGTGTTGAAATACAGTGCTGCAGCCTTAGTGTTAGAAGAGTAACCTACACAAAATAAACAATGTCAAGTCTCGAGTTGGAAATGCCTTTCTTTACTTTCAATTGAACATAATGAAAGTAATATTAATACAGAAGCAGAAATGATGTGATGATGGGGAACAATATAGGTGGGAGGAAAAAAAAAATAGTGATGCATGTATTAAAAAAATTATTATTTTACATTTTTTGCATTCCCTCGCAAAACTGTTGTTCCACAAAGACTTCCTGTTCACTTCATATATGTCCAACCCTCCTGTTTTTGCCAGGATTCTTCTGTATTTTACCATTCTGTCCCGCTATCATCCTATCATTAAGTACTTTTCCATATTTCTCCCATATTTTAATCTTGAAAGCACATTGGAATTAATATAAAAATGTCTGCATTCACTTTCTTTCCATTAAAGCTGTGCGTCAATTGTCGCCCTTCTTACGCAACCTCTGAATCAGTGAATGCATGTATAAGCACTGACTGACGGACGTGCTCCGTTTGATAAACTGATCCCAGGGGCCTGTTCCATAAACCAAGCTTAGAGAAAAAGTCAGGCTTCTTTTGGTAAGTCAGGTTTATTAATGGCAGACTCGATTTCATGAAACAAATTTACGATAGTTCAAAGTCAGTTACTCAGGCAACTTATCCTGGGAAACTATCCTGGTCCGGGGCAAGTTAATTCTCAGGCTAAGTCTTAAGTTCAAGCTTAATCAAAGTAATGTTAACGTTCACTTGCCGTATTTTGATGCCATTTTGATTCACTTAACCTTTTAATTATGATTAAAACTGTATAGTCACTTAATAGTATATATGTATACACCAAACATCTTTAGGAATAAAACGATAATATTTTTAAATTCAAATAAGTTATTGCAAACAAAACAAATACAAACTACAACATTTCAACCACATTTCATATTTTTTAATGTTTATGTTTAAAAAAATTTTCTGTTAATTAAAATTTTATTTAATAATGTCTTAATAATCTCTAAATAAACTCTTTACTTGCTCTTTCATCATAGTTGCCATGGTAGCACACAACATAATTGATGCATCTATGCTCGACCTTTAAGGTTTCACGACAATAATATGCACTTGCTGTTATCTAGATTATTTAAACTGAACACAGATTAATTAGATCAAATCTTTAACTTGCTGTTATGGAACCAATTCAAGCGTGGATGTTTAGTTCAGCTCATTGAAGTCAGGTTTTTTACTTTAATCCCTGCTTTTCTAAACCACTTTTATGAAACAGACCCTAGATCAGCTTCTCTAGACACCTCTGTTATCAAACAAAAAAAAAACGAGAGATTCATATGCTGCACTTCACTTGTTTGATAGCAGAGTTGTCACTTTAAGAATGCACAGATCTATAATGAAAGCATTCGATTACTTTAGTAACTGTTTTCGCTCACTCAAGAGAATTAGTTGCCTTCACAAGAAAACACGCAGGACTGACCTGTTTACATATCATTAAGTGTATGTTAGCTCCTCTTTAAATAGCCTGTGCAGAAGCTGATCAGGGATCAGTTTATCATACGGAGCGCATCCATCAGTCAGTAGTTATACATACATTCACTGATTCAGAGGTTGCATTGGAAGGGCAAGAATTGACGCACAGCTTTAATGGAAAGAAAGCAAATGCAGACATTTTCATATTAATTTCAATGTGCTTATAAGATTAAAATATGGGAGAAATATGGGAAAATACCTTATAATAGGAAGATAGCAAGATAGAATGGCAAAATGTGGGAGAATCCCTGCAAAAACTGGAGGGTTGACATGTATGAAGTAAACAGGAAAACATCTTTGTATTCCTCCGCAAAACATTTTCCTATAACCCAGTTTTTTTTTCTTTCACCCATGTTTTCCCACCATCATGTCCTTCATGAGTCTCCATATATTAATAATATTCTCTGAGCACAAACAAGTTACTTTAAATAACTAGCCTCTTTTGTTAAATCGCTAAATACCTTCTCAATTGTAAGTCACTTTGGACAAAATCATCTGCTAAATGAAATATAAATGTAATATTAAATATAATCCTGGCTCTTAACACCTTGGTAATGACAGAGATGCAGATGTAATGGCAATACATCCACCTATCCATCATAAAAGTGAATCCTAAAGCAAATTGATGGGATAAGAAAATTGTACATGTTTGATAACTTCCATATATCTAATTATGCGAGAGTAAAGTTGTGATGCATAATGATGTAGGCATTAAAACAGAAGCTAATGTAAAAACTAATGAACAGAAATGCAGAGGATGAACAAAACAAAATGCACTTAAAAATCTTCCAGTGAAATTTAATCTTCTGGATATTGACGTCATCGCTGCAGCACAGTATATTATGTGTTTGTGTTTGTGTCTAGCATCGGCTACACATTAAAACCAAAAGATGCTTTTGGCTTAAGTTCTTAATGGAAACCACTCTTCCTTTATTCTTCCTCGATTTCTCATTGATTTCATTCTTCACACCAGGCCATTCTCTTTGTTGGTGATGAAGATTCCCTCCCTCACATCTCTAGGACTGCGCTCCTTGCGGGAGATCAGCGACGGCAGTGTATACATCACTCAAAATATGAACCTGTGTTATCACCACACCATCAACTGGACACAGATCTTCCCACGTAACCAATTGCAACGCAGACGTAACGACATCAAGGAAAACAAACAAAAGATCCAGTGTGGTGAGTTAAGTTCAGCTCAAATAACTTACAGTATCAGTTAGCTCTTCCCCTCTATTGCGAATGAGCCAATGGCAGTTGAGTACCAGTTGCACAGAGAGCAGAACTCCCGCATCTTCGGATTTGGTGATGTTTGTGCTGTAGTAATAGTTCTACATTGTGCCTGAGGCATTTCTAACACAGATTCCAGGTATCCTGAGAGTATGGTCAGGGTTTGTCCCTTCAAAAATTCATTTCAATTTATTACCAAAACAAGTCAGTTAGCGTCACCTAAATCTGTTTAATCACATTGGTATGTAGAAACACATCATCTGCCTCAGGTAAGTTAGATAGTAAGCACTAAATTTAGCTAGCTCATGCTTCATTTATTCATTCATTCATTCACTTTCTTTCAACTTAGTTCCTTATTTATCGGGGGTCGCCATCGCAGAATGAACCGCAAACTATTTGAGCATATGTTTTTCACAGCGGATACCCTTCCAGTCGCAGCCCATAACTGGGAACCACTCATACACAAACACTCATACACTATGGCGAATTTTGTTTACCCAATTTAACTTTGGACTGTTGGGGAACCGGAGCACTCAGAGTAAACCCACAAGAACACAGGCACAACAAGCAATATCTACAGAGAAATGCCAACTGACCCAACCAGGACTTGAACCAGCAACCTTCTTGTTGTGAGGTGACAGTGCTAACCACTGAGCCACTTTTTTGAAGATGAGCCACCACTGATCCACTCATGCTAACTGAACCTAATCACCACTAGGAAATTGAGTTAAATGTAAATGAATTAAATCTTACATTGCAATATATGAACAGTGCTGATCCTAAATGTGACGATAGTAACACAAGACTTCTCACGTCTGATCTCTTACTTTTTAGATCACTTCCTAATCAAAATCATGTTAGCGATCATTTTTAGCATATGTTGTATGCAACACAGGCTCATTGTGAAAACATACTCCTGTACACATTTCTGGAGAGCGCGGATTATGTAGACAGATATACGTACGGCTGCATTTCGTCTTTAAAACAAACTCTATGGGGTGGTAGGATGCCACCGATGGCGCTGCCAGCTGACCACCTAACTCCGTGTGAATGGCTTTACCGCTGATACCAGTTTGCTCAGTAGCTCGCCACGTACGTCAGCAGACTTGAGACGCAGAGAGGAGTTGACTGCGATGATGGGGTTCGAGTCCAGTGAATAACGAAAGAAAACAAAAGGCAAAAAATAAAATAAACAAGTAAATAATAGGAAGAGAGTGTGGTAAGATCTGAAAACATGGTAAAAATTAGGCGGTCATAAGAGCTTTTCTTTTTCTGGGTTGCTTTTGAAAACACTGTCAGGTGAGTTTAGGGAAGGTGGTGGGTGGAGAGATCGGTTTGTCGGTCAATAGTGAGTCAATAGCAGCCACTGGTAGCTTTACACAAGAACAGCAGGCATGAATGGCACTCGCGAGAGAAATTTGAGATCTCAAAAAGCGTACACAGCAACTTCTGGTGCATTTTCGAAAACAAAAACTGCAAAAAAAAAAAAAAAAACGCACCTCCTGGGATGTATTTTGCGAGCTCCAGAAATGTATATATGGTTATGTATCAATAACGAGCCTCGGTTGCTTGTATGTGCATCTATCTGTACATTTTTAAGTCCTGAATGTACCTCAACAAGTAGTGGTCTGTCTATGTCCAAAATGTATCAAAAATATAATTGAACATGGTTTTCACCCTTACAGACGTCTTTGTAAAACAGTTAGTAAACAGTATGTAACTAAAGGGATTGCGGAGCTTACTGATAGATCAGATTTGTACTATTTGTTTCACATATGTATCTTGTTATTTTGTGATCCACCATTACCTTGTACACAAACAGTCTGTTGGTTTGCATCTGTGTGTTTGTGTAAACAGAGGAAGAGGGCCATGTGTGCGACCCGTTGTGTTCAGACGCAGGATGTTGGGGCCCGGGGCCTGAGCAGTGTTTGTCATGCAGGAACTACAGTCGGCTCGGCACCTGTGTGTCTCACTGTAACCTCTACTCCGGGTCAGTGTTAGTTAGTTATTTTTTTATAGTTATTAAATGTTGGGTCGGCTTCTCAAGGATTGTGTGTGTGTTTGTGTCCACAGAGAGCCACGGGAGTTTGCAGCATCTAATAAGGAGTGTCTTGCTTGTCACTCAGAGTGTCTGTTGCAGAATGGGAAACAAACATGCCTAGGAAAAGTATGCAGCAGTTTTACTTTGATTTTCGCTTCTTTTAGTTTTGCTTTTGCTATCTATGGTGGTCCAGTCAGGGTTTTCTGTTAACTTATACTATAAAGGTTTTAAGTTGTTTTGTTAATTAAAACAAAGCTGGAGAATAAAAAAACAGAAATATTCATTAAAAAACTAAAAGTTAAGTTAAGTTAAGTTAAGTTAAGTTAAGTTAAGTTAAGTTAAGTTGAGTTTTAAATATCATGTAAATTTTATATATTTTTAGAAATGGAAAATAAAAATCAGAAAAAAAAAACAAACTAAGTTAAGTTAAAGGTTACGTTGAAAGTTAAGTTAAAAGTTAAGTTAAACATTAAGTTAAAAGTTAAATTAAAAGTTAAGTTTAGTTAAGTTTTTAATATCATATAAATTTTATATATTTTTAGAAATGAAAAAGAAAAAAGAAAATGGAGAATAAAAAGCAGAAAAACCCAAACAAAGTTAAGTTAAAAGTTATGTTAAAAGTTAAGTTGAACATTAATTTTAGTTAAAAGTTAAATTAAAAGTTAAGTTTTTAATATCATGTAAATTTTTTATATTTTTAATAATAGAGAAAAATAAAAAGCAGAAAAACCCAAACTAAGTTAAAAGTTAAGTTGAAAGTGAAGTTAATTTAAAAGTTAAGTTAAACGTTAATTTAAATGTTAAGTTAACTTAGTTACGTTTTTATTATCATGTAAATTTTATATATTAATGGAAAGAGGGGAAAAAAGCAGAAAAACCCAAACTAAGTTAAGTTCAAAGTTAAGATAAAATGTAAGTTAAAAGTTAAGTTGAAAGTTAAGTTAGGTTAAAAGTTAAGTTAAAAGTAAAAATAAATGTTAAGTTAGTTATGTTAAGTTAAAGGTTAAGTTAGGCAAAGATAAAAGTTAAGTAAAAGTTAATTTTTAAGTTTACACACACACACACACACACACACACACACACACACACACGCACACACACACACTGACACACACAACAGCACATACAATTAATCTAAGTCAAAACTGAAAGCTGAAAATAATAAAACCGAATTCAAAACATTAAGTGCACTAAATAGTTGTAAATAAATCATGCTAAACTTCACTGACCTAAAAGTGACACTATTCATTTAATGATTAAAATAGCATAAAAGCTAAATTAAACAACTAATTACTTTAAAATTGATCCTTATTTGTTTGTTTCTATATCTTAATTTCTGATTATGATTGACATTTTTAACGCCACCACTTTTGAGATTTCATCCATCAGTCTGTAAAACCCTTTTAGGCATGAAGTAATTCTTCTAAACACTTTAAAGGTTACATCCAACATTCTGTTCTTGTTCATTTCATTGTTTTTCTTAAACTCTACTGTCTCCAAGTCTTTGTTTTATTTTTTCCATTGCCTATATGACACATTTTTAATCAACCTCTCAAATTGTTCTCACTGCATATCATAGCGCTAGAGGCTGTTACGAAAACCATGTGAACAATACTATTTTACCGTAAAAAATCCAACCCACACAAACTCTCTGTGTAATGTCTGCATGATCGCAGTAACCTGCCTGACAGGCTTTGCAGGCTCTTTGCTTCAGATCTGTTCATTGCGCAATTCATCTCTATTAACAGTGACTTGAAAAAAGAAATTCATTCAACTGTTTGTCTTGGTGCAGGTGCTTAGTGACAGGAATATTTGTTCTATTAATATGTAACTTACATAAGTCTGGCTTCTCTCTCCGTCTTTGTGCATCAGGGTGCAGATCAGTGTGTAGCGTGTTCAAACCTGATGGACGGCCCTCACTGTGTTTCTTCTTGTCCTAATGGAGTGAATGGAGAAAAGGGGCAGACCATATTTAAATACTCCACTGCAGCGGGTCATTGTGAGCTCTGTCACTTCAACTGCACACGAGGGTTAGTCTATGTTCTGTAGAGATGTTTACTCTGTTTACACTGCTGGTCAAATGTTGGGCATCAGTTAGATTTTTAAATGTTTTTAGAAGAAGAAAAAGTTGTATTTATCTGATAAATACATACAAAATTGTGAAATATTGTTAGAAATGTAAATAAATGTTAATAATATATTAAATGTAGTTCAACATGTCATTTATTCCTGTGGTTTAAGCAGAATTTTCAGCATCATTACTCCAGTCATCAGTGTCACATGATCCTTCAGAAATAATTATATGATGTTCTGCTGCTCAAGAAACACCTATTATTATTAGCAGTGTTAAAAATGTTATGCTAACATTCAAAAGGGCAATTAACTTTTTCCATCAAGGGCACATTTTTACAGTTGTGAATTGCATTTTTAAACATTGTAGTAGTTTGAAACGATATATCTGTCATGTGAGGATGCTGGACAACAGAGTTGAGGATCCAATTGCAGTTTTATTAAGACAATCATCTAGCAAGCTAGGGTCAAAACAGGAACAAACAGGTGAATTCAGAGTAATCCAAATCGTGCTCTGTAAACCTGCGAATGGTTGGTACATGTGGCAAAATACATAAACAAAACAGATGTCAAACACGGCAAAGCTAGGGAAACACATGAAAGTGTTAACAAAACAGTATAACAAGACTCAGCAATGATGTGTGTGATGTGTTTATGGGCCACCTTATTAATCCTGAACTGCTTCAACTGTGTGTGTTAGCGGTCAAGGGGGATATGGACCAGGTGTGTGAGTTAAGTCCATGATGGTTATTGTAGTCTATTAAAGTGACAGATTTGTAGTTCTTTGGTGATCTGCACAGGCTGGATCGCTGATGATTGTGACAAAATGAGAAATAATATATACAGAATAAACATCTGGCAGTTTTTGGTAGGTATTTATATCATAATTTACAAGACCAATCCAGACAATAAATCATTTCAAACTATTAGGAATGCCAATAGAAGTCACTTTTAATAACTTTTTAAAGTCAAAAAGTGATGAAGGAAAGATCAAGGTCTCATTATGCAGTTCAAAAACATTAGGTTAAAAAAATGTTTAATCACGAATAACAAAAAACTGATAGATTATAAATGTGTTTAAAAGTGAAGAATGAAAGTAAAGCAAATTAAAGACATTATTGCATATTTTAATCTAATATATTTAATATAATATTTTTAACTATCTTTAATCCTAAAAAGCAAAGCATATCACACTTTTTACAAAACTAAAAAGCAAGAAAATAACATACTAGAACCTTCTGTATTTATTTATTTATTTATTTATTTTTGTTGTTTTATTTTTTGTTTTGTTGAGTACCAATAATTCATAATAGAAATCCTAAAAGAACAAAAAACTCCTGATCCCAATCACAATGATTTTGACTGGTACAGTAGTGTATGTTCCCACTATGTACTGAAAAGTGTCGATTTATGTGTCTCCTCATCAGATGTACAGGCCCTGCGTTGAGAGACTGTGTTGATCCTGACAGAAATGTGAACAGGTTAGTGGCGCCCTCTTCTGGTTACTTTGAGAAATTACAAACGCTTTCATATGTGTTTTTCTTCAACAAGCATGTTTCTCTCAGCTCTCAGATTGCAGGTATAGCAGTTGCCGTGTTTGCTGGTATTACTGTGCTTCTGGCGCTGTTTGTGCTTGGTATGCTGTATCACAGAGGCTTGGCCATTCGCCGCAAAAGAGCACTGAGAAGATATCTAGAGAGTGGTGAGGTAGGTCAGATGGTCTACATAACTTATTCACAACTCAGATCCACCTTCCTGCAGTTTTGCTGCAACCCTAATCAAACACACTTGAACAAGCTAATTAGTGTCTTCAGGATTGCTAGAAAGTTACAGATAGATGACTTTGATCCAGGTTGGACCTAATCTCTGAAGGGGATCTCAAAAGTCTAAATAAAACTATATCTATATCGATATAAGGCTCTTTGTTCAACCTCTATGAAAGCAAAAAAGGGCTTAATGCAATTTTGATTTAATTAAATGGCTTTACAATGATTAACAAAACTAAAAACTAGTCATTAAGGGTGTTTTTACACTTGAAAGGTTTGGTTTGATTAGTGTAATTTAGTTACAGGGGGAAAGTTCACCCAATAATTTAAATTTATACCCTCAGGTGGTTTCAAACCTCAAACCTTTATCATTTTTTTCTTTCTTCTGTTTAACACAAATTTTTTTAAAGAAAACCTGTAAAACTGTCACCATTAAAGTCCAAAGAAAGAAGGATAAACATTACTATGGAAGTCAGAGGGTACTGGTTTCCAGCTTTCTTTAGAAGCTTTCTTTTTTTGTGTGTTTACCAGAAGAAAGAAACTCAAACAGGTTTGGAACAAGTTACAACATTATTACTTATTTTAGTCTTTGGTGAACTATTGCAGGGTTAATATTCAAAAAACAAAAACAATCATCTTTCATGTCTGAGTTTTTTTTATATTTACTGTGTTATTCATTATTTTAACACAGCCATCAAAAACACGTCTCATTCTTTTTGTGTATAACAGAGGAATTTCTGGTCACTTTTATTAATGAAGATCAATGAAGTTATGCATTTTTCTAAGTTCTAAGTTCTATCGCAAAATACATGCCAAAAAGTAATCTTTTTTCGCATTTTTGTTACAAAACAAGTATCTTTAGGTTCAGGCTTAATAATTCTGGTGTGAATGCTAATCAATAAAGGACTAAATCTGTGCATTTTCTTTTTTAGTTTGGGCCAATATATATATATATATATATATATATATATATATATATATATATATATATATATATATATATATATATAATAATTATTATTATTATTATTATTTTATTTTTTTTATTTTTTTATTTTTTTTGAAGAGGAATTGAACAAGAATGAGTTGTAGAAATTATAGTACAGACATTCATTTTTAATTTATCAGAGACACAAAATTGCTCTAAAAGACTGATAATAAGAAGACTTTGCTACTTTTTTATATTTAGAATAATTTTCCATAAATATGTTAGATTCATCCTTAGACTGAATGGGCCTCAACTAAATAAAAGTGTTTGACATTTTAACTATTTTTCCTGCTAATAGCCACATTACACATTGCTGCATGACATTATACATTACTACACATTATTTTATGGTTTGCATGTCTTTCTGCTGTGTCCACGCAGAGCATGGAGCCGCTGGATCCAGGAGAGAAGGGGACAAAAGTGCATGCCCGCATCCTAAAACCACAGGAGCTGCGAAAGGGCAAACTTCTGGGCTACGGAGTCTTTGGCACCGTCAATAAGGTTAGAGGGCCAAGTGTGCCAATTTAATAATATTTTTTTCTCTTATTTGGACTGTGAATAAAGTAAAGTGGCTTTATTCTCAGGGTTTTTGGATTCCTGAAGGTGACTCCCTAAAAATCCCTGTGGCCATAAAGACCATCCAGAACCGCAGCAGTCGGCAGACCTTCACAGAGATCACTGATGTGAGTCATTAGTTTGCACCAATTTTGTTTTTTGGAAAATGAAAATAAAATTGTCCATAGTGTATGTGTGTGAGTGTGTATGGATGTTTCCCTGTGACGGGTTGTTGCTGGAAGGGCATCCGCTGCGTAAAACACATGCTGGATAAGTTAGCGGTTCATTCCGCTGTGGCGACCAAAGATTAATAAAGGGAGTAAGCTGAAAAGAAAATGAATGAATGAATGACTGAATGAAAGAAAACTAAAACTAAATGAAGATCAAAACAGTTCTGACCGTTGATATTCAGAGTAATGTCCACAGCGGCCACTGGTGGATTTACGTGAAATGACGCGTAAGAGAAAACGTGCTACAGTAACGTACTTGAAATCGTCAAAAATGCACATTAAACCTTTTCTGGAATAGTTATTTACTAAATAAAAATCTAACAAAACCAGAACTAAAATTTATAGCAAATTGAAAAAAATTTATTGAAATAAAATCTCATTTCAAAATGCAAATCTGTACTAATCATGGGTAATACAGTAAATGCACACTCATGGATTAATTGCTTCATGCCCTTATACCTTTTTTTTAACCTGTCGGCAGCATATGCTTTCAATGGGAAGCCTGGATCACCCGTATATAGTGCGTCTCATTGGGATCTGCCCTGGGGCCAGTTTGCAGTTGATCACGCAGCTCAGTCCTCATGGATCATTACTTCAACACCTTCGCCAGCACAAAGACAGCCTGGACCCTCAGCGGCTGCTCAACTGGTGTGTGCAGATCGCTAAGGTGAGAACACTGGGAATTGACAAAGAAAGTGTTTGAATCAGCAAGCTTATTTAATGTTGTTTTTTTAAAGAAGCCTATTTTTCTCACAAAAGCTGCATTTATTTTGATTTTAAAAGTTGCAAAATATTATTGCAGTTTAAAATGGACATTTCTTATCAAACGCACTTTAAAAAAACAGTTCCTGTGATCTAAAGCTGAATTTTCAACATCGTTACTCCAGTCTTCAGTGTCACATGGTCCTATTATATAATGACCTGCTGTTCTATTATGATTAGTTATCGTTGCTACTCAGTCATTAATAATGATTCTCATAACTGCCAATGTTATTTTCATGCTTTCTTTTTTGAAACTCTGATGTGGTTTTACTTTTTAGGATTCTTTGATGAAAAAAAAATTCTAAATGAGAGCATTTATTTGAAACAGAATGTTTTTACTTTCACTCTCGAACATTTGAATGTGTCCTTGATTAATAAAACTATAAACAGTGCTTATAAAAAACCCATCAAACCCTATGAAAATCTGTACTTTTACCCACATTACACATGCCTTCAAAAGACCTTCTGAATAAAGCACAGATTAGGAGAAGGCTACCAAAACATATAAAAGGCTGGATGAGTTATTTGAAATGGGATTTGATTTTAGGCTGTATGACAAATAAAGTAATTATTTCAAAGGGATTATGATGGTGATTTTCTCTAGGCACTGGGTGGGGATTTTTAAATGTCTTTGCATGAATCTGTATCACAGTTTTCATAACAATGTGTTCCCGCACAACAGTTTTTAACACTGATAATAATAATATCAAATCTTTCTTGAGCAGCAAGGATCATGTAACAGTGAAATCTGAAATAATCGTAAAAAAGATTTTAAACTACATACAAAAAGAAAACAATTCTTTAAAAATGAAATAATAATTGTAAAGTTCAGCTGCACTTTAGAATATTTCAGAATATATATACAAACTTCAAATAATTTAATTTATTCATTTCACAACATGAAATAATCTTACTGATCTCAAACTTTTGACTTATGTATGTATGTACTGATGTATGCTGTTAAAATTCATTTTTGAAGAAATCCTTTGTGTTTGTCCAGTAGATATTTGTGCACTTTATTTATTCTCAATGCATATGTATATTTTAGGGCATGTATTATCTGGAGGAGCACTGCATGGCCCATAGGAACCTGGCTGCACGAAACATACTGCTCAAGAGTGACTACATAGTACAGATCTCGGACTTTGGGGTTGCAGATCTGCTCTATCCAGATGATAAGAAATATGTGTACAGTGAACACAAGGTAAACTCTCTTGAATAAAAAGATAATGTGTTAATGCATTAATAACTACATTATTAAACATTACAGAATTACAATTCTAAATTGATGCTTTGTTTTAATGTGATTTTTTTATTCTTACATGAATTTTCTTTTATAATGCCGATTTAATGCTCTAGGATTTTTTTTATATATATTATCAGTGTTTAAATCTGTAATTATATATTGCTAAGTATTTTTGATTAATTACATTTTTAAAAAGAACAGTATTTATTTGAAATAGACAACTTTTTGTGTTATTATAAATGTATGTACTGTCACTTGATCAATTTAATGCACCCTTACTGAATAAAAGTGTTAATTTTCTACAAAATAAAAATATAATTAACCATTGAAAGGTAATGCGTATACTTTTAAAAATGTATTTCAAAATATATCAAATTAATATTAGACCTATACACTCACCGGCCACTTTATTAGGTGCATCTTACTAATACTGGGTTGGACCCCTTTTTGCCTTCAGAACTTCCTTAATTCTTTATGGCATAGATTCAACAAGGTAATTAAAATATTCCTCAGAGATTTTGGTCCATATTGACATAATAGCATCACGTAGTTGCTGCAGGTTTGTCAGCTGCACATCCATGATGCCAATCTCCCGTTCCACCATATACCAAAGGTGCTCTGTTGGATTGAGTTCTGGTGACTGTGGAGGCCATTTGGGTACAGTAAACTCAATGTCATGTTCAAGAAACCAGTCTGACATGATTCACACTTTATGACATAACGCATTATCCTGCTGGAAGAGCCATCAGAAGATGGGTACACTGTGGTCATGAAGGGATGGACATAGTGAGCAACAATACTCAGGTAGGCTGTGGTGTTGACACAATGCTCAATTGGTACTAATGGGCCCAAAGTTTGCAAAGAAAATAGAAAGCCAAGCAGTTTCTGAAATACTTAGATCAGCCCTTCTGGCTTCAACAACCAAGCCACATTCAAAGTAACTTTAATCACCTTTCTTCCCCATTCTGATGCTCGGTTTGAACTGCAGAAGATTGTCTCGAACATGTCTACATTCTTAAATTCATTGAGTTGCTGCCATTTGTTTGGCTGAATAGACATTTACGTTAATGAGCAGTTGGACAGGTGTACCTAATAAAGTGGCCGGTGAGTGTATGTGTCTAAAACAAAATGTTCTATGTTGGTGTCAGCATTAAATTAGATTTACAACAGTGAATTTGCAAACATCAAAATCTCTATACTTGTCCACTTTAAATCAATTTGATGCTTGGAAAATTCTTTTCATATTTGAACCTTATGCTTTTATATTAGGAGTAGGGGTGATATTTATTATTTTGATGAGAAATAATTATAATAAAAGGGATGTATAATCTATTGTGGTCACTGGTCACTAAGGATTTCAGATGCTCTCTTTTTTTCAGACACCAATAAAATGGATGGCATTAGAGAGCATCCTCTTCGGCAGATACACTCATCAGAGTGACGTGTGGAGCTACGGTGAGTCTCAGCACCATTAAATATACCCCTTTCAGTTGTTTGAAGAAGTACATCAGAATGAATATTCCTCATGTATTTCAGGTGTGACGGTATGGGAGATGATGTCATACGGAGCGGAGCCATACGCTTCTATGCATCCTCATGATGTGCCGGGTCTGCTGGAGAAAGGAGAGCGTCTGGCTCAACCTCAGATCTGCACCATAGACGTCTACATGGTCATGGTCAAGTGTAAGTCAAATGCGTGACACATTTAAGCTAGATTTATTTATTTTTTGTCACTGAATGTCTTAATAAACTCATTTTAAATGTTCTGTCCACAGGCTGGATGATTGATGAAAATGTGAGACCCACATTTAAAGAACTGGCCAGTGAATTTACAAGAATGGCAAGGGACCCGCCACGCTACCTTGTGGTGAGGGTAAGAAATTTACAGTGGCCTTCACTAATCATGGCACACTTTGTAATTATATAAGCAAAGTTAAAATGAAAGTTTAACCGTTTGATCTTCTGCTTAAAACATTAACAAAAAGGCGTATAATGCTTGTTTATTTTTGGATATGAGACATCCTTGAAATCCTCTCAATTTATTTGTGGTGCTTTTCAGTTGAAGGCAAAATTATGGGCCCTGCTGTAAATTTTCAAATATTTGCTAAGTGCTGCTTTTTAATACATATCTTTAAACATAATACTTTTAATAATTAATTTCTAATAACTCATTTATTTGATCTCTGCCATGATAACAGTATGATGACGTGTGTAATATTTTGCTAGTTATTTTGATAATAGTTTTCAGCTTCAGTTGCAGTTTAAAGACTTAACCAAATTTAATTAGTCAAGTAATTGGACAACATTAGTTTGTTATGTAGCCAATTGGTGAAAATGTATAGGTAACAAGGTTATTTTGATGGTCCATTTGAGTATTAGTAGACTGTCTGATTAATATCTGCTGAGACTGTTCCTTCAACAGACTTTTAACTCACTATAAGAAACTTTGCAAGTACATGTCAACTTTCACTAACCATAACCCAAACCCTAACCCCCTAACACCTAACAGTTTACTTATAATCTAATAAGAATAAGTTGGCATGTAGATGCAATGTAACTTAAATTCAACAAACGAACCATCAAAATAATAATAAATGTGTTTCTTAAAGACTAATAACAAAACCCTTAAAAACTTAAAACTTAAATCATTAAAACTGCTTTTAATCTAGCCAAAAAAAAAAATCTTTACCTTGAGGAAAAAATTATAGGAAATACTGTGAAATACTGGAAATACTGTTCCTGTTAAACATCACTTAAGAAATTTTTGAAAATGAATTAAAAAATTCTCATGAGGGCTAATCATTTTGATGTTAAATTGTAATTTTTAAACTTTCTGATCAGAAAAGATTCTCTAGCTCCATGCTTTGGGATATTCAGGCTCCTTGATCCTTCATTTTGACAGTGGAGAAGACTTGACACGCATCCTCTTTTAGGTTGGGTTTAGGTTTTAGGTTTTATAACGCATACAGTTAACTGCAATTTCTTTATTATTGCCTTGATAGTAGAAATGGCCAATTTCAGGATTTTACATTCTTTTACTGCCACTTCCCATTTTATTAACCTCAACAAACCTTTTACTGCAAATTACAGCTCTCTTCTTTGGTTTTACCCATTGTGTGTAGAAAGAATTTGCTCATATGAATTGCGGCACATTAACAAATATATAATGAATTTTACTTCTTTTAAATATTTCCCAAATGATGTTTTACAGAGCAAGGAAATTTTTTAAGTATGTCTGATAATATTTTCTCTTCTGGAGAAAGTCTTATTTGTTTTATTTCGGCTAGAATAAAAGCAGTTTTAAAAATTTTTTAAATCCATTTTGAGGACAAAATTATAAGCCCCTTTAATAATTCAATTTAATAATATAAGCCCCTTTAATAAGGGTTAATAATTCTGACTTCAACTGTATATATATATATATATATATATATATATATATATATATATATATATATATGAAACTGTGCTGTGTTTATTATTTTTTGTTCTTAATGAAAGCAGAGTGTTTTGTGTGTGCTGTAAGATCAAATGTTTAAGGTCTTCCTTAGTCGTATTTACCTAAGGTGCCAATATTAGTTTAAAGCAGAGTATATTTTGTTTGCTGTATATACATTTTTAATTATTTTAAATTTTAATTATTTAATTAATTATCATTTTTAATCATTGATTTCTGTTATGATGTAGCCTGCTCAGAATGGCAGCGGTGCAGAGGAAAGCCAGCGGTATGTTAAAAGCTCTCATCTAGAGGTAGGATTGGAAGAGGAGGACGATGATGAAGATGAAGGGTTGCAGGTTGGGTTTGCGACTCCTCCTCTCCAGCTCTCACCTACTAGAAGTCATTCCCGTGTCCGGATTGCCTCCTACAAGGTAAAATATGTGTTGCTCACAGTACCATTTACAAGTTTGGGCTCAACAATACTGCATAAAAAGCTTTTCTTACTTAAACTTTTTATCTTGTCTCTAGTCCAAATAGCTCATAATTCTTAAATCAAGAAGCATTTTCTAGACAAGCAGATAACATTGTCTTGTCTTCAGAAATAAGTCATAATTAAGTCTGTTAATTAAGTCTTAAAACAAGCAAAATAATCCCCCAATGGGGAAAGCACAATTTGAAATGAGTTTAATTTGCTTACCCCATTGGCAGATTATTTTAAAACTATAAAACTAGATTTTGACTAGAAATAAGACAAAAACTCTTAAGGAAAGTTTTTGTTTATTAGAGTAAAAAAGCAACACTCTGAAATTTGCCTAAGGATGTTTTGTATTGTAATAAACTTTAAAATGTAAATTGTTTCTGAATTTTCAGCATCATTACTCACTTCGGTATCACATGATGCTTCAGAGATGATTTTGTTCAAACATATGAATCTGATTTTTGATCAAATTATAAATTATTATTCTATTCTTTCTCTCTCTCTCTCTCTTTCTGTTCAGAGCACCTCAGAACACACAGCACCGATAGGTTATCTCCCCATGACCCCAGGCCCAGGAGATGAGCCTAGACAGGTCAGATTTGACAGCATGGTGACTTGACCATTTAAAATGTTTTTACAGTACCTAAATCTACTCTCAAAGCTATTTAGGTTCTCTTAGACAGTCCTAAAATATGCTGATAATAATAAAAAAAAAAGAATAAAATCCTGGGTCCAAACCAGTTTACGGATTGGCAGAAATAATTAATAGGAGCTGAAATACAGAAGATGCCCCTTCCCTTCGAGAATGTTCAGTATAATTTCCTAAAGTGGCCGCATTTTGAAGAAAAAAAAAAAAAAAAAAAAACGACTTATAAGCCAGGGGTTCCCAAACTTTTCAGCCCGTGACCCCCAAAATAACAATGCCAGTGACTCGCGACCCCCCAATATCCTCTGAGGTGGTTATAAATACAGAAACCTTGCATGCAATGACACAGACACACCAATTAAATTTGTGTCAGTGCTTTAAATGTGCCAGAAAGTATAACCTGATGTTATAAAATCAAAATGCATCTGACGCTATTGCTGCCTTTAATATAATGTAATTACCCCAGGGGTCGCAATCCAATAGAACTAGTAAGCTAGCCTACTATAGTAACTATATAGTATATAGTAACTATAAACGACTATTTTTATTTTCAGTATAGTTATGGATAAAATATGTTAATTCTTATGGTTTAATAAAAATAAATAGATTTTTGGAAATCATCAGGCGACCCCCCTTCATTGCCCTGCGACCCCTCGGGGGGTTTTATTGTATTATTATACAATAAAAGTTATCCAAGTACAGTACTTCACCTGTTTTAAATGGAACAGTAATAAATGTGTGAGAAATATTCTGATTGTAACAGTGTAAATGTGATATGTTATTGGCTGAACCTTTTATTGTATTTTATTTAAATTGTCTCTCCATTATATAAAGATGGGGGCTTTAACTGTATTTATTGATAGCCTAGCCGGGACCTTAAAGTCGTATAGGGATTAGTTTGGGTTAGGATTGTTAATGGGGTAAAATGTTGATTCTTTACAGAGTTGTATTCTGTATTCCATTTGATATTTTCCCGAGAACCAATAAAATTGTTTATAGTCAATGAAAGTAAAAGAAATGAGTCAAAAGGAGCTGAAACTACATAATTCTTATGTTTTTGGGACAACTTAATTTTTTAAAAATAATTAAAATTTATTAAGTTAACTTAATCGATTTGTTTTGGAACAACATGAAGGAAGTTTGTGGAACCCAGTATTTTTTACAGTGAAATTAACATGCACTGTAAAAAAATGCAGGGTTCTACACAATTCATTCCTATTGTCTCAACACAAATCAGTTAAGTTAACTTAAACTTTTTTACAAAATTAAGTGGATTTTACAAACAAAATTAAGTTATCGTAACGAAATGTCAAGAATTGCATTGTTTCAGCCCCTTTGAAAAAAGTAGTTTGAACAAGCAACAACATGTTGCTTTTGAGTGTGTGAGAGCAATCCTACACAAGCTCATTACGCAGTTTTACATTACGCAGCTTATGCACTGTGCATAAACCAGTGTAAAATAGGTTGATGATGTTAAGGCATACTTACAGCACAGGCACAAAAATATTTTTAGTGTTAAATGATAGCACAAACACCCGTAAATATATCACAAACCTCAGGAAATCACCTTGCATTAATATTCTACTCCCATCAATTTTGTGTCTGAAAGAGAATCTCCTACAAGTGCACATTCAAAAGAGGTTTTGTGTTTCCAAGTCCCATTATGTAAAACAATATATATGTGTTGTTTCCACCCAGTTGCGAGCCCAGAGGAGGAAGATTGGCTCAGTGAGGACAGAGTCTGAGTGTTCAGAGGGACGGGGGACCATCGTGGACATTGAAGCCATTGAAATCACTTCTCAAACAGGCAGTCTTCGCAGAGGACGTAGTCGAATGGACAGTGCCTACATATCTGGCGGAGTGTCTGTCGCATCAGATCCATTCTCTCCTGGTCTGGAGGGAGTAGATGAAGACCATTATGGATACGTGCTGCCTACCGAAAGAGGTAAAACATTATTGCTCTCTGGGTGATTACTGAGACTCGACAGAGACTGGGTGATATTGTCCCAGAAATGATCAAAGTAAATATTGATATGATCATGCTCCGCCAATTCAGTTTTATACTAAAGTGTAAACTATATATTTTTGTTGTGTTTAGCATAGTCTATTATTATTCATTTAAAGGAAGGGACTTTTTTCATATTAGAAGTAACAAAGTTGTATCAAAGACATTACAACTATAAAATGGCAGGAAGGTAATAATTCTGTCATTATTTACTCATCCTCCACTTGTTCCAAACCTGTTTCAGTTTTTTTCTTCTGTTGAGCACAAAGGGAGATATCGTGACGAATGTTGGACAAAAACAACCATTGACTTCTATTGTATTTCCTTACTATGTACAGTATGTTATAGATGGATGTTTCCTTCATACTATGGATGTCAATGGCAGCTTTTTTCCAACATTCTTCTGAATTTCTTGTTTCTTTTTCAGAAGAAAGAGATTGATAAAAGTTTAGAACCACTTGAGTGTGATTAAATGCCGAAGAAATGTTTCATTATTTGGTATCCCTGTTCACTTTCACAACCCAAATGAAGATTTTTTTAGGAGTTAATTTTAAGATTAAAAGATTTGAAAAGTTTGAAATACCATGCGGGTGAGTAAATATGACAGAATTATTAATACATTTTAAGAATTCATTACAGTGTCGCCTTAAATATGAATTAAATCCTTTAATCCAACAGTCCCATCAACAAATTGTAGTTTTACACTTTATTATACAGACATCAATTTTCCCTTTAAACCAATTTTGGTGTTCAAAGTGTCATTGCATTATTGATTGCACGGTGCAAGGGTGTTCAACCCTATTTCTGAAGATCTACATTTCTGCAGAGTTCCGCTCCAACCCTGATCAAACACAGCTAAATGAGCTATGATCTGAAAGAGCACTTGGTAATTAAAAGTAGGGATGTCCAGATTTGATAACATGATCGGAAATCAGACCCGATCACGCAATTTCAGACTCAATCAGAATCAGACGTTACCTCCCAATCAGGACTCGAATATATATGTATCTATATATATTTTCATTATTTTTTAACTCATCTATAGTTATGCGGTGGCACAGAGTTAGACCTCTTTCTTGACTTCACAAAGAAAAAGCAACGCTTGTGGCATGACATCACTTTGCTGTAGAGACCCTATTGGTTAAATGCCGGCAAAGTAAAACGCAGAAGCAGCTTGAAGTGGAAAGTGCAAGCATGTCTGCGCTCTAGAAGTATTATAAAGTTGATGATAACAACATAGCTATAGCAAACTTTAAGATATGTAAACTCGGGATTGCCTGCTGGGTATTTTAAGTTGAAGAGCTATTTTTTTATATTAGATTTTTTTTATATTTACTGTTGCAATAAAGTCCAAAAGTGAAGAATTTGTGTTATTTATTACTTGATTGTTCAAGCGACCTCACAGAAGTGCTCCGTTTGTTAACAGAGTTGTTGTATGTTAAAATAAGGGGAATTAAATAAATAATAAGGAACATCCAGGATCTGTTTCTCTGCTCTTCTTTATTATTTTTTATGCATTATAGAAGTATCGGATTGGGTTTTGATATCGGTAGATACTTAAAATCAAATGACTCAGACTCGAGGGCAAAAAAATCTGATCAGAACATCCCTAATTACAAGTACAAGTGACAAGTGTGTTGACCAAAGTTGCAGCTAAAGTCTACAGGAAGGTAGATCTTAGAGAACAGGGTTGGGCACCCCTGGCAAAGTGCATAAACACTGACCCAGCCCTAGACCCCCAACTTTGTTTACCTTTCTAACACATATCTTCTTGTTTAGATTTCAGAAGTGCTGTTCCTCATGGTAGGACATCCAGAAACTCCAAAAGCACTCCAAAAACAGATGCCACGCAAGAGTACGAGCTAATGAACAAACAGACAAACAAACTTTCCTCCTCGCCCACAGACAGCACTGACCATTTAAAACCAGCATCCCTTGTTTCTGCACACATATGTAGCAGTTTACCTCAGAAAAAAGAAATGGACTCAGCACAAACCCAAGATGAAATTTTACCACAGAAAAGAGAAACAGACTCAATACAAAGCCAAGAGAACAATTTACCACAGAAAAGTGAAACGGACTCAACTCAAACCCAAGAGTCAGAGAAGGATGCTAGTTTTCAACCTGACAACTTGGAGTCTGCTGAAAACTGTCTGATTGGATCGGAAACATTAAACGATGGTGGTCAATCTGAAGATGAAGAACAGCTGCCACGATTGGCGATGGTCGAATATGAATACATGGACATACGTACAGATGAACACCAACAAAATGTAGCTGGCAAACGTACAACAAACGGTCCAAATGAGGTGGAGAGGGAAGCGATTTATCAAAATATAAGTCAGCCTCTAAGATTTCATGAAAATCCAGATTCTGCTGGCAATACGATGCAGAGGCGCGGTGAATATGTGGACATGGAGGCATCTGGGAGAAGTGGCTGTGAGGTTGGAGATTATCAGAATGTCCCGGTAAAGGGAAGGCCTGTTGTGGGAGAGGAGTCGCAAAATACTGGCCTCAGATCTTACATAAAAGTGTGTGCTGGAGTGGAGCCGCAAAACACTTCTTTTGACAACCCAGATTACTGGCACAGCAGACTTTTCCACAAGCAGGACACCGTGTGCACATGAATATCTTTAAAGTTGGCATGAAACAGAAGCTAAAATTGTTCTTTTCCCCCTATTGTGATATACATTCAATTGAAAAAATGTTGGTCGGTGCATGATTTTGTCTTTGGAAACCGATTGAATGGTTGTAAGATGGGCATTTCCAACTCAATGGAGGGAGATTTGAATGCCAGTTTGTGTTGGATTGCTGTCCATGGAAGAGAACATGAGGAGGAGAGCAACCTAGTAACCACCATATTGCTATTTCTCATGACAGATTCTTGGAGCAGAAACTAGACCTGCGCTGTTAGCCCTGTCCTAAAGGCATTCCATGTGACCAGACGTGAAGAAATGTCATTTCGAAGGAGGGGAGGAGGTTATCAGGGTGTGAATTACAGGGGGTTTGAGAGGGATTGATCCCCCTAATTAAGGCTTGATCCCCCCTGAAGGAATTCAAAACAAGATGTATGGGGGGTCCCTTTGGATCTAAGAGAGAGTTTACTCTGATCAGTATTTTAAATAATATTGTTAATAATTGAAATAATAGATATCCATTTGACCACCCCTATAATGGTTCAAACCATTGTAAATGCATAATCAAGTCAATAAAGCAGCAGATTTAGATAGACCGACAGACACCGTAAGAGTTAACAAGACTGATTTCTCATAAAATGGGTCTTTGTTTCTACATAAAGCCTAAAAGTAAAGTCAAATTAGATGCAGAGTTTGTATAGTTTCACCTAAAATACATTTTATTAATAAATTATATGTAATTTAAATAAATACATATGTTTGATTCACTGATTCCCCCATGCACCCCCTTCCCCCCACCCATTAATTTGAGGGCAAATGATTGATTGATTCAGTGAATGAATTTACAAGATAATGAAGTGCACAGATAGATTTTAAAGCAAACACTACATATACATCTGAAAATAAGAAGAGGCAATTTTGATTTCATGCCGACTTTAACTAAAATAATGTGACGGAAATTGAATGGACTGGCATGCCCAGCGCATTTCTATATGTGTGTTTAGCATTTGTACACATGAAATAATACTATGTGCCAACAAAATATACTTTATTATAGTGTAAATTACTTTTTGAAGATTGGACTACCTCCACATTTTTTTGTCTCACATGCTTTTTTATGGACTGTTTTTAAAGATGATGATCTTTGTTTAGGATCTTGATGAGGGAGGAAAAAAACTGTAATTGTATATTGATTTTCTTAAAGATTAAAGTAATCTTCATAACATGAAGTTGTCTCCCGTATTGAAGTTGTTATTATCATGTACAATTACTTTACTGTCACCAGTGATTTGTTCATTTGTTTAAAACATACTGTGTATCATTATATGAAATATGTTTTTTATTAAAAATGTAAAAATTGCTTTAAAAAATTAAAACAACACAAGCACCGAAATTACTTCCTTTGTTAAAGATGGCGTGTCTAAAAGGATTTTGTGGGGGGATGATATTTTGTGGAAATTAAGCTTTGAACATTTTGGAAATAAAATGCATAAACTTCTAACCAGGATTCTGAGCAGGAGCCTGTCTTCAGGTCTTTACACTGGCTCCTAGTAACATTCAGAATAAAAGTTTAAGTATTATTACTTGTCTATAAATCACTAAATCAGATCATTAGGATCGAGTAAATTAGAAATTCCATGAATTCAGTATAAGTAGGGTGAATCCGCCCTCATGCCCTCCACTGCTGGAACCAGCTGTCAGAAATGATCAGATGTGCTCCAACATTAGGCACTTTCAAATCAAGACTTATCTGTTTAGCTCTGCCTTTATGATTGAGTACTCTGCTATGTCTGACAGATCGCACTGTTTGTGTCTTTCTTTTCCTTTTCATTCGCGTGGGTTTCCTCCGGGTGTTCTGGTTTCCCATGCCCGTAGCCAGGAGCGTTCGTTTGAACCACCCCCACAGCCAAAAGGTCCAGAATTTGTCCTTTTAATTATTTTATGTAATTTAATATTATATAATATATTTATTGTATAATTCATATAATTATATTTATATTTAAAATATATTGTAATAAAGTGTCATTTTAAATAACTATGGCCAGTAATTCTAATCCCATGGAGCCTCAAAGCCACAAGGCACATGTCATAACCCCCTGAGTGGTCACATTTGAATCTTTGATGCGACATCCATACTTGATGTAAATATTAAATTGCCATTGCTGTCTATTGAAGGTGTGTGCGTGCTGTTAATGACGATCGGGGAGGGTGGTCATTTGCATGAATATTAATTATGACAATTCTAAAGAATACAAAAATTTATAGAATTATCTGTTGTCTTAGACCCAACTCATGGCCAAGAATTAACATTATGAAGTCTTACTTCCCTGACTCTTTATCCCACCTTTCTGCTTTAAAGCAATGCTTAGTTACATCATCATCATATTATATAAACTTTTAGTCGACTTGCAAAAGTCGCTGTGTACCTACACCTCTGCACAAAAGGCTGTTACTCCGGTTTCAAGATGCAAGAACGGCGTGTATTTTATCGGTGTGTATTTTGAATCAGTACGTCATTTGGCACCAACAATAATTTAGTGGCTGCATTATTTATTCATTTATTGAAATATTGGGAATTTACACAAGTAGCTACATTTAAATTGATAATGTCAACAGCAAAATCATATTGGGGTGGCCACCGTAAACTCTGGCCACCCCTTGGGAGCGCCCCTGCAGATGTCACTTCACAGCAAAAGGCGCTGATCCCGTCATGTTTATGAGGCTGTTTAGTCACTGCATTCGTTTTATTTTGATCAGATATAAATCCATTTGCTCAAACCACTTCTGAATGTGATCTGGGATGCATTCCAGATAATACTGGACAGGTCTAATCATTTTCAGACAAAATTAATATAAAAAAAATTTGACTGCTATGCCATCATAAGTAATAAAAATAATCCATCAAAAAAGGCTTTAAAACCAAACGGAATCCTCTGTCGGCTGTTGCTTCGGTGGGACTATAATCTGATGTAAGACACGTCTTCTTTCACTACTGTATTGATTTTAAACAGAGAAAACATTTTACAGGTAACTAAATCGAAATCTGGACCTTATTCCTGAAATAAAAATGAGCAATAAAAAGGTGTGAAGCATCAGAAGCAGATCATGTTAAATTAATTTGAATATATTTTGGCTGTTGTTGATATCCAGGAATTTTACCAAGAGACCAGAAAAATTCTGAAGAATTAATAATAATTAATACTAAGCATATGAATAATAATAATAATAATAATAATAATAATATTGTTATTGTTACTGTTTTTGTTATTATTATTATTATTATTATTATGTTTTAATTTTTTTTTTATTGAAATGGCCAAATTGTGACTGAGGGCAATTGAATGTGCTGGCCAGTTTGTTTTCTGTCTAATAAATGATAGTGGGCTACAGTTTGTTTACTTTAAAACTTTAACAGATAGCTATTTTTCCCTAATGATATATGATGTAGTAAATTAGTATTTTAAAAATGTGTCTTGTTTCAGTTTTTTTATTGCAATTTTTTAGGAAATATGTTTAGTACATGAAAAAGTGTGGTTATAATGACACTAGCTAGCTAATCCAGCAAAAAAAAAAAAAAATCACTAAAATGCAGTATTGAAATCTCATAGTTAACTACAAACTGAGGCGTATAAGTGCAAAAAGGTCCACCTTTTGAGAAAAAAGAATCACTCCTTTCACCAGGATGGCTACGGGCCTAAAGACATTCTCTATAGGTGAACTAGATAAGCTAAATTGCCTGTAGTGTATGTGTGTAAATGAGAGAGTATGGTTGTTTCCCATGATGGGTTGCAACTGAAAGGGCATCCGCTATGTAAAACATATACTGGATGAGTTGGCAGTTCATTCCGCTGTGGCGACCCCTGATGAATAAAGGGATTAAGCCAAAGGAAATGGATGAATGATCATATTTGCAAACAGACTTCTAAACTGAGTTGAAAATAAATGGTTTCATAAGACATAAAAATATTCATGCTTTACTAGATTTCATTTATTGATTGTATATCGCCTACCACTCAAACTTATTTACACTTAACACACGTGTCTTTACACTTAAAACACGTTTTAGGACTTACCATCTCAGATTTTAAAAATAAAAATCGTTTTAATATACTCTTAAGACAAGTTAGAATACTCTCGTCTCGTGTCAAACTGTACCCGCACTAGTACGGGTTATAAATTAAATGTTAAAACGGCTTGCAGATGTCACTGTTGAGTGTTTCGTATTCCGGTGACTTTTAATTTGAAGCGCGCTCCCGTGGTCGGCCATCTTGCGCGTTTCCACGGCGGCTGGTGGCGCAGACTGGATGTGAAGCGTGCTGAGCTCCACCATCATCATCATCCCACGAGCGAAGCGAGGGAAAAAGTTACGAGCTCCGTTTGAACCTCAGAACTGACAATCATGTCAGGAGACGACGACCAGCAAGAGCAGACCATTGCTGATGACCTGGTGGTCACAAAGTACAAGATGGGCGCCGACATAGCCAACCGTAAGAACTGATTGTGTATCTTTATGCGCGATTAAAGGTTGAATTTGACCGAGTGGAGCTTCAGCTCAGCGCTCGGCCATGTGTCTGCGAGCCGTACCGAGAAAAGCGCACATACCGTTTATTTTTTGTGTTTTTTACTGGACTTGACTTAACTTGCCTTCTTGTGGACAAGCATAAGCATGCGATGTTTTACTCTCAAGTGCGTTAGTTGTGTTTATAAATAGCCGGCTAGCGGGTTAGCTAGTTAGCTGCATTGAACCGTGAAGTTTTGCTAAGTCATTATTAACTTACTCAACCTCGTGTTGTTCTAAAACTGTCTGTAAAGCACGCTGGGAAATGTTTGACAGATGTTTAGTGACTGACAACCTAAGTCACCAGTCACTTTTAGTTCATGTTGGTCTCCAGAATAAAAGCAAGTGGGGACCGATCCTGTCATCTTGACTAATATGTAATTTACAGATATAAGTTACGTTAAGTGGATGTATGTCGTAAATATACAGCTATGAAGCTCTAAAATTATTATATTTCTATAGATATTTTGATGAAATTTTTTGTGACTCGAGTGACCCTAGACCACAAAACCAGTAATAATTGTCAGGTTTTTTATTTATTTATTTGAGATTTATGCATAATCTGTAGTGTTTTTTGGTACGAAAAACATAATTTTGACCCATACAATGTATTTTTGGCTATTGCCATAAGTATGCCCATGCAACAAAAGACCTAAACAGTAAATGCATCTCTTCTTTTATCATGTAGTTGTGTCATTTTTTTGGGAAAATAAATGTAATGAATTGAGGTAAAGTTGGTTCAGTGACCACTCCTGTCATTTACCATTGGTCTTTGAATGTTTAAACTGAAACCACATGCAAGTCTGACTTGAAAACAACATTAGCACTATTTAATTGACTCTAAACATTGTTGTACTTTGATGGTTGTTGGCTGTTAATATGATTGTACTCGTTATATTTTGCAATAAATACTTTTCTGAAATTATATTGTTAGGAAAAAGTCTGAATGTGCAAAATATAAAACCAAGTTTACCTCATTATGTAATGACAGGTGCTGAGAAAGCTTTAGCTTCTGTCAGTCGTTGCGGTTGCTTTTGCTAGAAGTGCTTTACTGATTTAATGTGTATTGATCTCCTTCGGACCAGATCATGTCACACTGTGCTTAAGGAAGAAAGCTTTTGTTTTTTCATGTGAAACCTCCGTCCCTTTCTCCTCAGTGGCTTTGAAGACGGTCATCGAAGCAGCCAAGCCTGGTGTTTCTGTGCTCAGCCTGTGCGAGAAAGGAGACGCTTTCATTGCTGCTGAAACGAGCAAGGTCTTCAAGAAGGAGAAGGAGATCAAGAAAGGTACAAATGCTTCTAAAAGCTCAACACTTTTAAATGTAATTTTTTAATATATTTTTTTCACATTAACACCGGTTGAGTTCTAAAAACAGTATTCCTAAAAATCCTAAATCATTTATACTTATTTACATTCAGATGTTGATTTCACTTGTATTATTTATTAAATATTATTATCTTTAAAACTTTTTTATTGTTTATATATATAATCTGTATACAAGTACAAGATGATATGTTATCTTTGTGCGACAGGAATTGCCTTTCCCACCTGTGTGTCTGTGAACAACTGTGTGTGTCACTTCTCACCAATAAAGAGCGATCCAGACTACATGCTTAAAGACGGTGACTTGGTTAAAATGTATGTTTTATTTCTACTTGATGTGAAATAAATGTATATCTGGATAAAAGCAAATTCCTCACTGTTGCACTTTTTTCCTCAGTGACCTTGGAGTACACGTGGACGGCTTCATCTCTAACGTTGCTCACAGCTTTGTGGTTGGTGCCACCAAGGTACGTCCCTTTTCATTATGAACGCTAAAAAACTAGTTTCCCTTCTTTTGGTAGTTCACTTAAATCTCAATAACCATTCTTCTAGGATGCTCCAGTGACTGGACGGAAAGCAGATGTAATCAAAGCTGCCCATTTGTGTGCAGAAGCTGCTCTTCGGCTGGTAAAGCCTGGAAATCAGGTTAGTTAGAATCAATCACAAACTTGTTTAAAAGATATTGTAGTTGAGCATCTTTAGATGCACACACCAATATGCTGACAACTCACAAACTCAACTCTGCTTGAAATAATCTGCTGTCCATTCCACATTTACAAGACTGTGTTAATAAATGACTATCTCCTGGTAGTGATGTCAGAAATTAATAATTAGCTGATTTAATTCTAATTATCAAATTTTTTTTAATCAATGTTATATATAAAAAAGATAAACCAAAGAAGAGGTATCCTACATGTCAGCCAGAAACCTACAGCTCTTATATTATTTAATCAAGATGCAAAATTTTGACTGGCTCACTTTAGCTTCTGCTGCTCAAGATAAAACTTCTATCATTCTTTGGGTCTAGTAAGCATCAGAAGTTTTGGTTTATTTCTAGCTCCCTCACTGGAAAGGGTTTGCTCCATGTGGACATGTTTAAATCTGCAGTAAAGACTTGTGCGAACCAGTTTTTTTTTCCACTCTTTCCTTTTTTCCTAAATAGTTTTTTGCCATTCATACCCTAACTCTAACTGGCGATGATTGGCGTTAACTTGCAAAAAATGCTGCTTACGTGAAATGAAGCGCACCATCAAGTCCTAAATAATCTGCTATTCCTCCCCAGAACAACCGCCTTTTGTCAACATTTTTGTAGTCACCATCACATTTATCATACATTTCTTTATCTTCAGACACCATTTAAATGAGCTGCTCTACAGACATCTTGGTTAAATGCATCTTTGTTGTGAGAAATTTGTGCTCGTCCAGACTATTTGTGCTTGAGCACAAATGAAGTCATGTTTCCTGTAACTTTAGCAGCTCCAGGCATGTGAACAGCACTAATCTCATTGGTCAACCAGTTTTAAATGTGCTGTATCAAACTATAAAAATGAGCCCAAAGTTTGTTAGCTTTTTTTTGTAAAAATGACACTTTTTGTTTTTTAAATATCTGTGATAAATGCGAGTGAAAATCATCCTGGTGCCTAAAAGTCTGAATGAATCAGAAGTTGCTGAGACTTTTGTTGCAGTATGTTGATGTACTTCCAACTGAAGCAGAATATTGAATCAGGGGCGGAGCTTTCTATTTGCGCATCATTCACTTACATCAAACTAACATAAAAGGAGTGTGGCTAAAAATATTGTGGCAGAAGTCATCAAACTGACATCACCAGAGAAGTACAGCCACTCCAAACGCAAGTGGACAGACTTTGAATGAGGATTACCAAAACAACCTTTCACGCAAACTTTAAGGCTATTGGTATGTCACATATCAAAAATACACACTTTAATACATTGACAGGGAGCAGGTTAATGTGTTCATATACTGGTTGTAATCCACATAAGCGGTGAAGATTGTTTTATTCTTAAACTGTTTATGACCTTACTCTGAAAAAAGAATATGAGAATGACCGTCTGCAGTGTCAGCTTATGAGGCATGTAAACACACTCAGTGTCTGTCTTTCTGTTACGCTCAGAACTCTCAGGTCACAGAAGCCTGGAACAAGATTGCCCAGTCCTTCAAGTGCATGCCCATAGAAGGTGAGCTGATCAAAGACTTTCTCATATTCTATTCAAAAACATCATGATGTGATTTTTCAATGTCCTTCTGTCTTTATACGCAGGCATGTTGTCTCATCAGTTAAAGCAGCATGTCATTGATGGAGAGAAGACTATCATTCAGAACCCCACCGACCAGCAAAGGTCAGGACGGTGAAGCGCTAGATTGTTTTTGCAAGTGATTGAGTGTTCCTCTGTGCTAAATGCTATCTGTCCTTGTCTACTGTAAGGAAGGACCATGAGAAGGCAGAATTTGAAGTGCATGAGGTGTACGCTGTGGACGTGCTTGTTAGCACTGGAGAAGGAAAGGTGAAACACTCATATCAGAGCCGATGGTTCCTCAATGTCTGCCGTTAGCATTCATTAAAGATGGCTAACATTCAGTAAAGATGGCTGATCACATTTCTTTCTTTTCTCTGGTCAGGCTAGAGACTCTGGACAAAGGACCACCGTTTACAAGAGAGACCCCAGTAAACAGTACGGCCTGAAGATGAAGACCTCCAGGATGTTCTTCAGTGAGGTGGAGCGGCGATTTGATGCCATGCCATTTACTTTGAGGTGTTTGTTTATAATTTTATTGTTTTTTTTATGGTGGAAGAAAATACAATGTAAAAAAAAGTAATGTTAAAGGGGTAAACGGCACTGGTAAAATGGGCTTTTCATAACTTTTTTTTTTACTGCCTCTACGCCTATGAAGTTGAAGCAAAATTGTTTTTAAAATCATTGATAGTAATATAGAATTTTAATCAGCACAGCAGTATTTGGCATCACTGCATCATATGCCTGCTTTACCCAATTGTTTAATTTCTTATATTAACAATTTCAATAAAAATATGCAACATAATCGGTTTAATTAAACTAATTTACTATTATATCCCAGTTTGGACAATCACAGCAAAAAAACTCGCATCTTGTTTTTGTTTGTCTACTTATTTATTTTGTTATTATATATATTTTTTTATTAATCGTCAGTTAGTTTAATACATCAGCACATACAAATACAGTCTGCTCTACAGTAGGAAATATTGGGAAACATACAAACAAGTAAACGGGTTAATACAGTCAGGTTAGGTGCTAAATATGCACCATAGAATAAAAAATCAGGAGAAATTATTAACGTTATGCCAAAAAGGTGTCCATAGCTGCCAAAAATCATCAGACTTTTGATTTATATCTTAGGTGAGATTCTCAAGTGGAAATAGCGTACATACTTGAGACAACCACATTTTAAAGGAGGGTATCTGAGGAGATGACCACAATAAAAGTATACATTTCTTTGCCAGATAAACCAAGATTAAAAACAAATGCTTGGTGTTTGGGAACAAAAATTTTTATTAAAAAGTTCTTGTAGAAAATGTATTTTCTTTTAGAAGATTGTAGAAGATGTAGAAGATGATTGTGTTACAATATCAGAAACAGTGAAAGAATGATCCTTTGCATTTTTCAGTTAAAACAAAGATCAGAGGACTTTTAAGGGTGTAAGTTAAACTGTTATTGAATTTATAATTGAGTATTTGTGAATATTTTTTAAATAGTATAGAAAAAAAGTAGGTGGAAAGAGTATTAATCATTTTTCCGTGTCATGCATCGACCGCATTTTCATTGTGGTGTTAGTTTTTTGATTGATCAGTACAGCTATTTGTCACACCATACTGCTTAAAATTCAATATATTAACAGGTTGTCTGTGCGGTCTTTAAAAAGTCTTAAATTTCAAAACACAATATTAAGCCTTAAAAAGTCTTAAATTCACTTAAATATTGTGTTGTAGGTCTTAATTTTCCTTTGTCTAAGTACAGCTACCCAATCTGACCGAAACCCAATCAACAATAATTCACCTAAAAACATTATTTATTTGTATTTTTTTTTTGTTTTTTTTTTTTGTTTTGTTTTTTGTTGCAAAGAGAGAACATTCACAACAGCCATTAAACATTTACAGAAAATTCTCCCTATTAAATTCCCCTTTCATAGAATGAAAACTAAAGCAACACATCCCTTTACATGATCTTCCATTAATACAAAAACTACTTACAGGAATAACTTTGCTATTATAAAATGTATTTAGCCCTGTATAAATTTTAAATCATTAAAAATGTTCTTAAAAGGGTCTTAAAGTCTTAAATTTGAAGAAAGCTGCAGAAACCCTGATTAAACAATGTAAATAAACAATACTGTTTTAAGTGTTGCATTTAATAAGATCAAGTTCTTCTGTACACATTTAGGCTGAATGTTTATCAAAAGTATTACTATTGGCTAATTTGTTCTCTGCTTTTACTGTTCTCTACTTAGTAATTTTTCCTGAAATGGTGACAGCTGAATTTGAAAATCATTACTTTAGAAAAACATTTGGTACTCAACAATCATTTATCAATTTTGGTAACAGCTTGTGGAAGCCATGATGCTTTTCTGTAAAAACTAAGATTCTCTAAATACTGAGATCAAAAAAACAACAGTGCATCAATTAAATGCACCTTACTAACTTATGGTGTAGTTCCTCAAATATTTGTATACAGCCTTTTAAACAGTGCAGTATAACTCATATAAAAACATTGAATAAATAAATAAGCTTTAAGTATTAGATCAGTCAAATGTGCAGATTTTGACTTGCTATATACATTTTCTGTATGTATAAGTGCAATTTGCTTCCAATCAGACCTACAGTATGCATTTGACATTGTTACTAGCTGAACTAAAAGCAGATAATGGCACAAGACAAAATCTCACCACAATTGTTCACTTTGCATGTGTGTTTTTTCAGGGCATTTGAAGATGAGAGTAAAGCTCGTCTTGGTGTGGTTGAGTGTGCCAAACACGAGCTGCTGCAGCCCTTCAGCGTCCTGCATGAGAAGGAAGGTGAGGCGCAAGCACATCAATCAGAAAATGTCACTTTTATATGTAAAACGCTCAACCAGGCATGACGATGATAAGGTTAAAGCTTTGCTAAATGAAAATGAAAAATAATTTCCTGTCACGTCGGGGCTCAGAGAAGCGCAGCCAGCACATTTGCCGCATGAGCAGGTCAAAGACTGTTCCTATTTTAGGAGTTGGGTGCCATCAGCACAGTCTCAAGAGTCACATTGTCAAACCTTCTGTCTCTTTTTCTCTTTCAAGGTGAACATGTCGCGCAGTTTAAATTCACAGTGCTGCTCATGGCAAATGGCCCTCTGCGCATCACCAGTGGACTCTTTGAACCAGAGCTTTACAAGTCTGAGTATGAAGTACAAGACCCAGAGCTCAAGGTGAGAGACTTTAATGCATGGAAATAGTTTTTGTGTGGTTGGGGAAATAATTAACACAAGATGGCTTCCAAAGTGTCACATTGGGAAGAAAATTAATAAGTAATTAATTCATTATAAAAATGTATAAAACTTTTGTATTTATAGAATTTTCATAATTTTCTTTGGAAAGAAAAAGCCAATTTGGAATAATTTCAATATTCAAACTCTTTTATAAATAAAATGCATACACTACAATTATCATTTTAAAAAAATATTTTACATTAAACTTTTTTTTTTTCATAGTTAAAATATTGGATGGTTGTTGCATCTGATAAAAAAATAATAATTTTTTGTATATAAATGCAATTGTGTTTGTGTAAACTTGTTCCGTTAATTTTTTTATGATTCATATAATATAAATATGACAATTTTAAATATATTATCAACGTTAAATCAGTGCATTAACTAATAATAACAAGCATAGATTTTGGATTTAAATAATACATTAGTAAGTGTTAAACTGAGTAATAAATGCTGTACAAGTATTTCATCGTAGTCATAATAGTATAGTATAGTAATATCATTGTTAGTTCATGTTAGTAAACGCATTACAGTGCTTCCAACAGGTTTGAAATATACTTGCGGTGGTAGCCGTATTGAAACACCTATACCCATGGCACATACATGCAATACAAAAAAAGTGATTTTTTTTTATATATTTTTATTTGTTATACACTGTTTCTTTTCAATGGGTTGAAGTTAAGTTTTTTTAAGACTGTTGAATTAAAAGAAATCCACTATTTGTTTTACTTTTTATTTAAACATGTGCACCCACTGACAGGTGAAATCTGCTGCTGACAATTAATTATATAATGTTTCTTTCAGCCTTTCGGCTTGGCAGACACTGTGAGTGCGAAGCCAAGCGAAAATAAATCAGACTTAAAATTAAAATGACGACGACTTAGAAAGCAAAACCAAAAGCCCAATCCCAGACATTTTAGGAGATTTAGAAACCCCGGACGGACGCATCTTTAAGTCCCAAAAAGGTGCGTCTCTGTGGGTCTCTGCAGAGCACATGAGATTGTTTATGTGAGTGTTAACAGTTCTTGCACATATACAATAAGAAGGAAATGTGTAGAGCAAGTTGAGATTTTTCACTAGTTAATCGATCGCGGATGTTTGGCTATTGGGCGGATACAAAAAAGGGTAAAAGGATGATAATAATAAAAAATAAATGTCCCCAAATATCCTTGGGTGGCCGTTAATATACCTGGATGGCTCACCCAAGTAAAATGTCTGTGTGGGAAGCACTGCATTAACTAATGAAACTAATTGTAAAGTGTGACTGTGTGTGTGTGTGTGTATGTATTGGAGCTGCACAATTAATCGTAAAAAGATCGCGATCTCGATTTGACCCCCTAGACCAGGGGTCACCAATCTTGTCCCTGGAGGGCCGGTGTCCCTGCAGGGTTTAGCTCAAACTTGCCTTAACACACCTGCCTGGATGTTTCAAGTATATTTAGTAAGACCTTCATTAGCTTTTATTTTCATTTTATTTTATTTAGAAACATTTCTTTATGTTAAATTAAATTTTGAAATTATTTCTAACTTTTACTTTTAATTCTGCAGGCGTTGTTGCAAAGCTCAGCCAGCCGCAAGGCCCAGAAGAAGAAGAAAAAGAAGGTTTGTTGTGTCAGCACTCTTTCCACACTTTCTAGCGGCGCTTTATTGAAGCCATATAAAATCATATTTGCATAATCTTACTCTTCCCCAGGCATCCAAAAATGCGGAGAGTGCTACCGGACAACCCGTGGAGGCCGAGAGTGAAGCTGCTGCATAGACTCTCACTGCCAAGCGAAGCTGACTGACAGAGCCTCTGCACAGCCCAAAGAACAGAACCGTTAAAGCTAATTATGACCTGCCCCACTGAGAAGCCTTCTGTATTTTTCAATACCTCCTCTTTTAGTTGTCAAAGACACCACCACGTTTGCTTGTCTGTGAGCAAGGCTGACACTCTTAGAAAGAGGAGCATACGACTGAACAGGTACAAACTGTCCAACCGCGTTTACAGAAGGCCACTCTCTGACTCTGTCATTGTACAAGCCATCATGAACAATAAAAAGCGTAATGGTGGCACTGTTTAAAGCAGCATTGCTACAAAGTGCCATTCATGTCCATGCAGATGAGATCCCTGTTTGAAGTTTTTGTCAGTTGGGGAAATGATCATAGTTTGTGTTGTGATGAGATGTAATGAGTGTTCGGAGCAGTAACTGCCTCACTACACCTTAAATCAAGCAAAACAACGACAACGGAAGCACTGTTAATCAATTTGGAAAGCTTAGATTTCTGTTAGATGACCTTCAGCATTCGTTTTCTAGTATTTCCCAAAATGGAAAAATGCTCATTTTCCAAAGTCTCTCTTTTTAATGTAAGGTCTTCCCCTTGGCGTGTTTTGGTCTAAAAACATTGTTTATCCACTAAACTGACTGACCAAATTATCCTGCCATTTTATAAGCGTTCATCTAATAAATTTAATTAGCCAGTTTATGGATCAAAGCCTGGTTTGTTTCTAAGCATTTAGATAATTTTTTTTTTAAATCTGTGATTTTTTTTTTTTTTTACTTATTTATTTTATTTATTTATTTATTTTTATTATAAAGATGAATTCACTTTTTTAGTCCACACATTTTATGTACACTGTAAAAATGCAGGATTCCACAATTGATTCATGTTGTCTCGACACAAATCGATTAAGATAACAAATTTAAGTGATTTGAGAGTTAAGTTGTGCCAAAAATATCTCAGGAATTATGTTTCAGATCATTTTAAAGTAATTAGAATAATTAGCAAAACATTTTTGAGTGTGGTAATATGTACAGGGAACTAAAAAAGAGAAATTGTGTCAATCTCATTATGACATGCATAATGCCAAACTAATTGTTATTTTTTACTTGGATAATATAATTCGAGGCATTCCTGCATTAGCTGTTAAAGGGATATTTCACCCAAAAGTTAGTTTCTTCACCATTTACTCACAAGTTTTAAACCTTTATGAATTTCTTTCTGCTGTTGGACACGAAACAAAATATTCTGAAGAATGTCAGAAAAAAAAATAGTATTCATTGTATTTTTGTTTCTACCATGTAAACCAATGGCTTTCCCCCAGCTTTCTTTTGTATATCTTCCCTTGTGTTCAACAGATGAGAGAAACTCAAACAGGATTGGAGGATGAGTAAATGATGACAATTTTTAAAAAATTAGGGGGTTAACCAGGGTTCCCACTCTAAGCCAAATGCCCTGACTAAAAAAAGCTAAATTTCCATGATCTAGGAGCCCTGAGCAGGCAAAAAGAAGAATATTTCTTTAATCATGTATTGTCACATCACATCTGTTGAGACGCTGCTAAAGCTGAAACAAAGAAAAAATGAATCTTCTCAAGGAGATTATAATGTTAATACAACATTGACTGATACATTAAGTAAAGTTTTACACCAATCTAAGTCTATAAATATGTGACTAAACACTGGATGAAGAGGTACAAATTTGCTCGCAACCTACATAGAGCTATATTTTATTGTGCCACCTAACATGGGCCTCTCTTTAAAAAAAAAAAGGTGATAGACAAATTACATTTTGATAAATGGAGTGTCGAATTTTAAATGAATAACAAAAATCCCTGACGCTTAATGACCTGGACTAAATACACACGCACACACAATTCCCTGACTTTCAATGTCTAGAATAGGTATTTTGGTAAGGAAAGGTCTGAAGCACTCAACCATCATATAAGATGTCTGGACAAAATGCAAATATAGTAAAAATGGTAATAAAAAGAGAACATTTTAATGAAATAAAACAAATGCCAAACAACATTTTAATAAGATAAAATAAAAGCCAATGCTTAAAAGCCTTCCGCAGGGCACAAAAACACATCACATACAAACATTTACAAAGACTTACAAGTGTTGCTGGAATAGACTTTTTAAAATTCCATGATATTTCAGAAATCCCATGACCGGTGGGAACCCTGGTGAACTAATTCTTCAACCAGATGGTCACAAGGCAATTTAACTGGATATGAGAGCTTACTTCCTCTCTAGTTTAAACAGAAGGCCTATAGTAGAGTTTCTGCAAGTGTAGTTCATACTGACTATGAGTGTGGTTTAATTTTCATTTATTCATTAATTTCTTTTCGACTTAGTCCCTTTAATCTGGGGTCTCCACAGCGGAATGAACCACCAACTTATGCAGCATATGTTTTACGTAGCGGATACCCTTCCAGCTGCAACGCATCACTGGAAAAGGTCTAATTTTCAAGTACTTTATTGTACTTTGTACTGTGGTTATGCTGATTTAACATATTGTAACACATGGTGTTTGTTATAATGCTGTGAACCCTTTATGCATTTTTAAAGATGAAAGTGCCCAAATACTTCTTAGACCAGGGTTTTTCAAAGTCTAAGACAGTGGGCCTCCCTTTTGACACAACTTATCCATTGGCGCCCCCCTCCTCCCAAACATGCGCACACACACGATTCTGGAGGTTTTCCTGCTACCTCATCATGCTTGGTTTCAAGGTGTCCAGAAATCTAGCGGGTCTCATGCTGTCATTAGCCAAAATATTTTGATAAACCACACATAAAGGTCGTGGTTCATCAGCTGGTCCTGTCCACGTAAATCCTAAACTCAAATACTGATCATCACATCGTCGTCTTTTGGGTTTAAGCCCTAAACTTGAAGGCTTTGAATCGGGGGTTCTTAGAAACCGACCCATTGTATTAGCAGCATGATTAGCAGGCTAATACCTGTATTGGTGGGCTTGCCAAACAGAAGCGAATTCACAGCTATGGCCTTCTGGGTAAAAAAGGTTTTCTTATTTTTGACCTATTATTTTTTTTAGCTTTGTTTAATTAAAACGTTTAAAAATAATAAAGAATACATATAATAATTAAACGTAATAATTATATTTTTATTATATAATATTTTTCCCGCGCCTCCCCTGACATGCTCTGGCGCCCCCCAGGGGAGGCGCGCCTCACACTTTGAAAACCCCTGTCTTAGACCAATTGTACATCAATTTTGAAATCCTTTATGAAATGTATTTAAGCAAAAAAAAAAGTTGTTGGATAACATTCTCATGTCACTTTCTTTTATATTAGTCAAATATGCATCATTATGTATCCAGCCAGCGAGTTTTAATCTGCCGTTTTGCTTTCTTACATCTCATGAAATTAATGTAAAATGATTTTAAACTGGTTGATAAAATACTGTAGCAATAATGTAAAGTTTAGGTTACACTAAATTAAAAACACTTATTGATTACAAATGAAAGACAATTTATAAATAAACCTTTGAACGATGCCTTTTGACTGAACATATTTTTACTTCGTATTTAAATTGCATGTTATAGGCAAATTAAGTCAAAAGTAGTCAGACATGATCCATAATCTTTTTTAATTGAATTTGGAATCATTTGCAGTCTACAAAGGTAAGATAGTAAGCATATTCTTAAAGTTACTGCAAAGTTTAGTTTCATGTCATAGCATTTATACCATGTAAATTTCATTAATACAGTTGAAGGCAAAATCACTGAAAGTGATGTTTAACAGAGCAAGGACATTTTTACAGTATTACAATATTTTTTTTTCTTATGGAGAAAGTCCTTTTAGTTTGGCTTGAATAAATGCAGTTTTTAGTTTTAAAAATATCTAATCATTTTAAGGTCATTAATATAGACATATTTTAATTGACTTTAAAGATCTGTTAAACAGCATTTGGGGAATATTTTAAAAAGTTAAACGTTTTAAATGAATGTTTCACAAGAGGGCTAGTTTTTCATTAAATTGTATGCGTGTGTGTGTGTCAGTAGTACAAGTAGGTCACAAACTACTATCATACTATTAAACAACACCCATCGTCTTCGTTAGCGTTCACATGTTGACTACTGTGTGTGTATATATTTTACTGTCATTCGTGTATACATACATACACGCGCGCGCGCGCATTTGTATGACCTGTATATTCTGAATTTTGGAGGTAAATTCAAAAATATTTAAAGCAATATTTAATAAAATAAAAAAATAAAGGTGTGTGTTATTGGAGAGTTGGGTCATGCAATCTCAAACTAATTCAGAAGTATTTCGACTACAATACCTAAATTAACAATCTTATCCATCTAAAATGTAAATGCCTCCAATTTGTTTTTAAATGAAAGGAAGGTGTACCTTTTTGTAAACATTAAGTTAATTTCATTTGATGTGATAGAAACTGCACACTACTTGTTTTATAAAATGAATATTAGTATAATACCTTACATATAGTAGCCTACATAATTATGATACTATTTAGCTCATGCATGGCATTATAAACACTGTTAATGCCTCACCTAAATTAATAACCGCAAAAAATACTGTCAAAGAAAGCACACTGTAAACGCACGGAAATGCAAGACGAATATACAGGCTAAAATCGATTATTGGGGGTTGCTGACAGGTGTTGCACGCGTTTCTTTTACGGTCGCAGAGAAATGACGCAATCGAGCGGTATAAAACAGCGCGTCTCCCTCATGACGTTCTCTTGGAGTCGTTGCTATCGCTTGACGAGGTGAGAAAGCGCTTCCACTGCTACTATCCCATCCCATACAATCCAATCCATCCTAATCTAAGACGTTGGTGTGCCATCCACATGTATCTTTAACTCTATTTGTTTATTTACAGAAACATCTTCTCATCATGAGAGCGAAGGTAAGATAATTTTTCATCCATTTCATTAATTTGAGTTTCTTGTCTGGCTAGTCACGATAGCAACCTGGAAGCTAATATAATGTTTGTTGCGCAATATCTTGCTGTTTGTGTTCAGTTGCATGTTTCAGCTTTAAGTTATTGTTTGTGCGTGACTATTATTACAATTTTATCATTTTTTTTCATCAGTATAATACTCCGGCCTACTTGCTAACCTGCTAACTTGTTTGTCATTGTGAACACGTTGATTTTGCAGCTGACACCCATGTTTTTATTCTATTTAACTGTCGGCTTGATCAAGTCAACGTTTTAACTTGCTAACCTATTAGGTTGTATATCTTATCCATTTCGTTCTGGTTTAACGTACTTTCTAAACGCCATGCTGCATTGTAAAAACACGCGCTAATGCGCATGTGCAGTATTTCCCTTCAGTCATTCGTCTGTGTGAACCGCTCAGTTGGTCGTATAAAGTGCTTAAGTAATTAACTTTTATTAATGATTTGTGCTTCCTTTCAGTGGCGAAAGAAGCGTATGCGCAGGTAAGCTGATATCAAATGGATGTACATTTTTAATATAGGCTCTATTGCTTTGAATTTGGCATTAAACGAATGTTGATGTCTCTCAGGCTGAAGCGTAAAAGGAGAAAGATGAGGCAGAGGTCAAAGTAAACGGGACCCTGTTCGCTGCAGCTGAGCGTGCTCCTCCGTATGATCTTCTCTGCAAGAGTCTGCTGGAAGCCCATCTGAAGCTCCACTCATGCAACATCTACGAGGCCTGCTTTCTTCTGAATGAGGATTTGGTTTTCCATCGCCTGGTTCTGCTGAAGCATCCTGGTCTTGATGACCATGTGAACTGTTTTGGACATTCCTCAGACTTGCCAGCTCAGCATGGTTTTGTTAATGTCTACAATAAATCTTTTTGGTTTAAAAATCTTTTGTCTAATGTCCTTGTATGAAGTGAATTTGGCTGAGCAAATGTGGCAAAATGCCATGTGGCAATTTCTGCTGATTATTTGAAGTGTTTAGGTGTAATACACTGGCTAATATTACAGGATTTTATAGCATTTTAAAGTATCCAGCGCTAGAGAATATACTTCATGTAAGTTAGGTTTTAAATTATTAATTTCATTGCAGCCCAAATTTTCTCCTGAAGTCCCAATCTATCTATGCCTCAAGTTTAAACATTGAAACTGAATCTTGAGGAAGGTAACCAAGTAGTGTTTGGTCTATCAAAATCCGTAGTTACAGTAAGCCTTATGCAAAGTTGCTTGAGGCAATGGATCATAAATTGAGTTTATTAAAGTCTGTAACTGGTGGCAGTATCATCTAGCTATGAAATGTTGAGGTATTAAGGCTAACTGGCAGGTCAATAAAGGGAAATACTATTGATTTGAGAAATAAGCACATTAAAGATGTCAAGTGCTCTGTTCTGGAGGGCCTATGTCTTGTAGAATTTACCTTCAGCCCTAAACAACCATCCAAGCAAGCTTAAGATTTTTCTAAAGGACGTCACTTTTGGTTCTCCCTGACAGGTGTGTTGAGGTTAGTGGGAGCTAAACTCCACAGGACTCTGGCTCGTCACTACCATGTATTGTGCCCCGTTTTTTTAATGCATGTTTTATTTTCTTACCTTTTTAACTAACATGGAGGAAATCTTAGCGTCAACATTCATGAGGTAGTCAATCCGTTTACATCACTTTAAAATATATTTTTAGCCGAAGAAACTGTTGATTCTGTTATAGAAGAGGTTAAGAATTAAGTGTGTGAACCGCCCCTTAAGTGCATATTTCGTTTGACGTAGCCGCTATTGCACACAACCATGGCTAAACCGGTAGCTAGGAGATGACCAATGTTTGCAGCTTTCTGAGTATTCTGTAATTTAGTTTGCAGACAAATGTTCGTTTGTTTTAACACATGATTTAGCAAAATCCATTTTCTGACCCAGTGTTTTGGCTTAAGCTTCATTGGTTGTCGCGCGAGATGCAATAGCTATGTAAACCCACTCGAGCTCTTAATGTTTGCTTGAGGCTAAAGAAACTTTTATATAATTCTCCACTTCAAAGCTTTAACGTGTGTTTTCGCTTCTAACCTGATCTGACGCGCGCTTGACATAACGGGGACTTTCGGTGACTGATAAATGACAGCGAGATCACAGCCGCAGACTTCAGGAGGAACACCGTGCTGAACACATTAACCCACAACGACCACTTATTTTTAAGGTTCTCGGAGTGGTTTTAACAAGACTGCTTGTGGGTTTTTAGGAGGGCTGAAGCCTTTAAACACGCCCCTTCACGCCCTTCACACAAGCAAACTACAAATCTTCAACTTTCCGCTGCAAATGAGTTGACGTCTGTGCTGATTTTGAAAACAGACTGAACGAATTATGCGGCATTTCCCGTTCACACTTAATCGTTCAGGTGGCACTCATTCGTTTTAAACGGTATTGATTAGGTTAATGGTGTCTAGCGCGGAACCGCTGGCAGAAGAAAGGATTTGATGCAGAAATCTCCGATGTCAGTTGATGATGCAGGGCCGAATGCGGGTGCCGCTCCGGAGGCTGCGGACGCGGCCCCGACTACCGATTCCGCTGGAAAACACGCCGTGTCCGTTCTCTGGTCCTTTGGAAAGTGCGTCGGCGCCTTCCTGCCGGTCTACCTGGCTGGTTATTTCGGCTTCAGTATCAGTGTAGTTCTGCTCGGGCTCCTGGTTTATATAGGATGGAAACACAGTCGCGATGGGAAAAAAGCGCGACTGCAGAGCGCGATGTATTTTTTGGAGAACGAACAGGATGTCACAACTACACGAGTGTTCAGAAGTAAACGGGATTTGCCTGCATGGGTAAGGAGTTTTACACCATAATTGGTATCGTTCTGGTTTTTAGCAGCTACAGAAGTGCAGTCCGCAGCGCATCGCATCCTCTCGCACATAGAAAATGATGCAGAATCTTGCGCCTCTTGCTTTTGTTTTTGTCAGCAGCAGCGTGAAAGGTTCTCTGGTGACACTGACAGCTTGATATTAAGTTGTAGTTACTGCATAAAATGTACTAGTTCACCCTCTGCAGTAAAACTTGTTAGTATAACTATATAGGCTAAAATAGTCTACAACCTGTGGACATTTCTTTATTTGCAGTACTCAGTTGTGCGTTTCTTTTAGTCCTTCTTTTAGTGGCGCTTACCATCTGTTACATTATAAACCCGAGTTAACATTATACACTTTCCACTAGTCACTATGCCATTAATAAATAGAGTCAAAATTGTATTTTGTTGAAGTCTATCTTCTGATGATCAAACAATTGACTAGTATGAATTTCTGTAAGATAAAAGGCTAAACCTGTACATTATGATGGGCAACTACTCTACTATATTAACAAGTTAAATTTCATTTCGTGACCAATTGCATTAATATTGACGTTTATCTGTAGTTCAGATATCAACTTTTCCCTTCTGACTACTGAGGAGTAGGCCTGGATTGCAGTAATGTATAAAATCACATAAACATTCAAATTAAATAGTAGGTCTGTTCATACGTGCTAATGGCTATTCACATCTAACCACTGACCATAGGCTTTCCATTACATTTTAAATAGAATACCTGTGACTCATCCAAGCGATTGTTTCAATTGTAACTTGTCGTATTTACTTATTTTATTGGGATCAGCTGTTTATTTCTCGCTATACTCTCTAAAATGCAGAAAGATTAAAATAAGTTGGTATTCAATACATACTATAGTATAAGTCTGCTACTTTCCCAGTAGGATTTTCATTCATTACTGGCTCCAATTGGTTTTACATTCTGAGTTTATAATAAATGCATTCAAGTTGTTGCCGGTGTTTATTAGAAACTCGTTACTAGTGCTTAATCTTCAGTTGGTTTAATTCAAACAGTAGATGTTTTTTAACGTCACATTTTAAATGAAACTATAATGCAAGCATACTGTTAATAAGTCCTTACAAGTGGAAGGTTTTTGTAAGTATAACAAGTATGTGTTCAGTCTTGTAATCCGTAATACTTACAGAAAAGGATTGCTCATAGTTTTGGTGCTGTATTTATAACTGTATTGTGCCATCATCTTCAGTCATAAGTTAAATGCATGATCCTGTTTATCTATTACAACACCATCATGCTAAGAGTAGCATTCAACCTCTGCCATTCAAGATTAACAGATTTCTTTCTTTCAGAAGCATCTTAGTTTATATTCCTCTCCCAGTCCTCCTTTCTTCCCCTGTCTCTTGGTAAATTCATTACATTCCAAAGTCAGTTCAGCCCTTGCTATATTTGGACATTAAAGTAGCCAACCTCATGGGACTGAGTCACAGGAAGCGAAATGGCAAAATGAACCATTTTGCAGCAATAATTTAGTGAGGGAGTGATGGAAAACATTACGAAGTTTAAAATTGGAAAAGTGCCACCTACCTTCAACACATATCTCGATATATCTCACTGCTGCATTGTGGTTTTATTTTACACTTGTGTTTTATCAATATACTCACATCCTGTTACAATTTGGTTTTAACGGCTGCTTCATCATCCTGTTTAAAGACCCATGATGACCCATGAAAGATTAAAAATCTTCAAGCCCTTGTTCGATCACTTTTGCAGACGTAGAAAAATTTATTTCAAGTTTATTTGTATAGCGTTATTCACAATAATCGTTTCAAAGCAGCTTTGGGTGCACATTATTGCATTATAACTAAATTAAGAGAAGTTAAGGTTATTAGTTACCATATCTTTATTATTTACTAATTACTTTAACCAGTTAACTAGAAAGTTAAATATAAGTTATAAGGATGGCTGTTCTACAGTTTAGGAGCCATGTATGAGAAGGCTCAACCTCCTTTACTGGACTTTGCTATTTTGGGTAGGCCTGTCACAATATCTATTTTTTTTGTTGTATGATATATATTGCATCAAAATATTGCAATTTACAATATTATTTTCATTTTAAGACTTTATTTCATTATATTATGCAAGAATCACAATATAATAGCATCACAATGCAAGTAAACTTTTCCAAAGAACACACGTTTTTATTCTTAAGAATATTTCATGTAGTTATAGTAATTTTACAATTTTAAAATGTGAAAACATAATATCCTAAATAAATAAGACAAAAAAGTGCCAGGTAAAAAGTAACAGAGGCTGTAAAATCTGCTACCAGATCTATTTTCAGTTGTCAGGCACCGACATGAAAATATACTATAGTAATTCATAGTAAATATTATAGTGTTTTTTAAGCCATATCGACATCTCCAATAGAGATATAGATGTAGTGCAATCAGCTAAAATGTTGCTAGAATAGGTTTTTTGTGTGTGAGCGATATATACTGCATCACCAAAAATGATTAAGGTCATGTCCGTGTTTTGTGCGGTAAGTCGATATATTGATTATTGTGACAAGCCTAATTTTTTTGTGTCCTACAAGAAGACCTGAGTTTTGAGCAGGTTGGATTGTAGCGAGGCAGAAAGATGGTTAGATAAACAGGAGCTGGATTATTTAAAGCTTTATAGGTAAGAAGCATTATTTTATAATCAATATGAAACCTTGATGGGCGTCCAGCGTTCTCCAGCGCCTAGACTGCAGCTTTGCACAGGAAGTTTGGCCAGAGGAAAAATGGTTGTGCCCAACTGAGCCTGGTTTCTCTTGAGTTATTTTTTTCCCTTTACTTTTGTCAGTTGATAAAGTTTGTTTCTCACCACTGGCTTGCTAGGTTTAGGACTTATGGAGCTGCACATTGATGGATTTACTCTTTAGCGTTTGGACTTTCAGCAATGAAATTTAAACCACACTGAACTTAGCTAAATTCAATCAATTTAATTTCAATTGAATCAAACTTCTATATTAAGCTGCTTTGACGCAATCTACATTGTATAAGTGCTATATACAGTAAATAAACATGAATTGAATTGAAAGTTATTTAACATCTGGACTGAAATCAGAACTGACCTTTAATCAAGGTTTCCTTCCCACTAAATATTTGCTTTCAAACTGCTCTACCCACAATTAGGTCATGTTATCTTTTGATTATTTCTAATAATCAACCATTACTATTTACATTTAATAAAAACTTGACAAGTATGTGCAAGATTAACAACATTTTTAAAAGCTGGAAACATTTGCATTGTTGTGTATGCACAGCTGATCTTTTCCCCAGAAGAAAATGCTTCTGTTTAGTTAACAACAGCTCTCGACCTTCACAGTATTTACTTAGTGTGCAAAATAAGAGGTCTTGTTGCAGACGGCATGTAGATCTGATCTGTTATAAGTGTTGACATCGACAGTCAAAACGTGCTCTTTGTTTTTCCACAGGTGAACTTCCCTGACGTGGAAAAGGTTGAGTGGATCAACAAGGTATTAAAGTCTACATTCAAACACACAAATGTACACGTGACCAGCATTATTCCCGAGAGCACTGCGTGTATGTTTTTAAATGCTGTCCCTGAAGATAAATAGTTGAACAGTCTGGCAGCTCTCCAGCGCTCTTTGCATAAGAAGTTAGGGTTGTTTCTGTTGTCATTGCAGTAATGCAGACTATATTACATGAGCCCACAGACTAGAGAATTTTGTTGAAATATGCAACACTTACAAACGTTTTAAGTGGTCACACGGACCACACAGACTTTATCAGGAAGAGAATTGTCTTGTGAAAGTCTCAAGGCTTCAGACTCACCAGCGCATGATCTTTCTGCTTTTTTGTTGTTTTTGCAGAGATATGAAATCCAGGCTTTGAGATTTTACTAGTTCACATATGAGTGAACACCAGGACAGATATTTCACAGTTTGTTCTTTGAGTTTTCTTGCACCCCAGGATTGTTGTTTGCTTTCAGGCTTTCAAAGGTTTACCTCTAATAACCTTTTAAAGGTTGAATAGGGATTTGGGGAGGGTGGAGTATGGGAGGTTTTATTTGTATTTTTTTTTTTAAAAAGCTCACTGTTAGCACACACTGCCCTTAAATCGTACTTCAATTTTGCCTTTGCAAATTCACTATAGTTGAGTCTGCATGTTTCTGTTTTGGGTGTGGCACAAATGTATAGAAAAATTAGTCATTTATTTAATTGACGCTCAGTCTTAAAAGGGGACCTACAGTATTAGGCAATCCCTTTTATGAGTGGTTTAAACACAGCTGTGTGGTAAAATTCTGTAAATATGTATTCATTTTATTTTTTTCTGCAGAAACGTTGATATTTTCCTTTTGTACACAGAGGTGAAAGTCACTCCCATTGGTGATGACCTCTCTCTCTCTCATCATTACCATAAGACATTAGTCTTATTTTTAAATCTGCATCTATGTTGACTTATGAGGATTTGTAGCTTCACCCTCTTTTGAAAAAGAACAATCTCATTTATTCATTTTCTTTTCTGGCTTGGTCCCTTTATTAATCTGGGGTTGCCACAGCGGAATGAACCGCCAACTCATCCAGCATATGTTTTACACAGCGGATGCAGATGTTTCAAAGAGTTATAAAACATTATTTTGGGGGTATTTGCTCACTCGGGGTCTTTAGAGGCCTATTTTCCAACTTGTAAAAAGGGGCATAATAGGTCCCTTGTAATATGAGTTTATAAGAGATGGAAACTCAATACACGAAGCATGCTTCTCATGTTATGAGATGTTATAGTTATGACTCTCATGTTCCACAGAAAAACAGATCAGAATGAAACTAAAGCCAACACAAAATTAAACAAAAGTACACACATAGTACACACAAAGTACACACATTCATTTGTAAGTTGCTTTGGATAAAAGCGTCTGCTAAATGACTAAATGTAAATGTAAACATAGGATGTCCCAACTTAATCAAATTACACTTTATATAATAATAATAATTCCTTGCATTTACCCTTTTTTAGACACCCAAAGCACTTTACACAGTTTTTGGGGGAATTTCCTAGTTTACCACCAGTGTGCAGGATCCACCTGGATGACGCGACGGCAGCCATATTGCGTCAGATCGCACACCAGCTGATTGGAGACAGAGTGATGAAGCCACTTTTGATATGAAGATGTTTAGGAGGCCAGTGGGGAAATTTGACCAGGATGCCGGGGTTATACCCCTACTCTTTTTTTTTTTTTTTTTTTTTTTTTTTTTTTTTTTTTTTTTTCCCCAAATGACATCCTGAGATTTTTAAAGATCTCGGTTAATTAATTAATTCCTTAAATTTATACAGCACTTTTCTAGACACTCAAAGTGCTTTTAACGTCGCATCCGAAAGACAGCGCTCACTGAGCAGTATAGAGTCCCTATCAATATATTGGGGTGTTAGGATCCACACAGGCCGCAGGTTGAGCGCCCTAGCTGGTCTCACTAACACCACTTCTGACAGCAACCTAGCTTTCCCATGTGGTCTCTCATCCAGGTGACCAGGCGCAGCACTGCTTAGCTTTAGTGATCGACCAAGTGAGAGTTGCAGAGCGAGCTGCAGGGTAAACTTTACTGTCTTTACTGTTTCCAGTTTCATAATGGAATTTTACAAAAATGGTCGAGATTGGTTGTGCTGGTTCTTCTTAAACATTCTAGCTAGACATCAGTGAAGAAATAATAAAAAAAAAGCAATGCCTTCAGATATTTTTGTTATTAATATTATATAAAATTATTTTATTAGTTATTATACAATATAAATGCATTAAAAATATAAATAAATGACAAAATAATTTAAATATTCAGAATTATATGTTAAATATAGAAATGTTTACTTATTTGTTTAGAGGGAGATCAATTGTAACCGTTTATTGTAACCGTATTTTTTTTTGGATAATGAAATGGACAATTTCAGTAAAGGCTTGTGTGCTTTAGGCACACTGAATAAACAAACATGTCATTCTGTAGGCTAGAAATATTTTTAAAATTGATTTAGCCTCATAAACTAATTAGACTTAGCCGAAAGTAATATTGCTAGAACAACAAGACTTGACTTAAATTTGCATCTTATAAACTTGTGAACATGTCTGGAGCTTATGAAAAGATTGACTGTGATGTTTTTATTTATGATAAAGCACAGAAATATTGCGCAACACGGCAGTGCTTGTATCTTAAAGAGTTAAGCAAACTGATAAAGAAAGAAGTGTTTGGTTTCCTCCTAAGTGCTTGTGGTTTGACTGATAAATACGATTTTGACAAATAATTTTGTATGGCCTTATTTCAACACATATGATGCCCTAATGTTTGCTTGTGTCAAGGAGCAAATTGTGTCCCATTATATTTTGGTTAACTTTAAATTAAGATTCTGTTAGTACAAATCCTGTACAGCATTTATTAATCTTAGTTAATAACTTTAATCCAACCTTGAGCTTGTTAAAGTAATTTAATGCATTCTGAGCACTAACAATCAGTGACTTTCTTTTAATAAACTAATGTAAACAAAGAGTGCTGTAATACATTTTTTGTTTATTGTTTGTTTATGCCGGTAAATGCACCATGTTACCTATGATCTATTATATGCTTAAAAATATCTTCATTGTTTATTATAATTTCTGCCTATTCTAATTGTCTGTAATTGTCTGGGTTGACAGATATTGCAGCAGGCCTGGCCGTTTGTTGGACAGTATCTGGAAAAGCTGCTGGTGGAAACTATCGCTCCTTCAATCCGAGCTACCAGCGCTCATCTGCAGACTCTAAGCTTCACTAAAGTTGACTTGGGTGACAGGGTAAACAAATTCGTTTGTGATCATCATAGAAAGACTTTATTTGCATATGTTGCTCATTTACATTGACATCTCAATTTCTGCTTTGTCTGCTCACAAAGGTGTCTGAACCTACTTTTGTTTTGTTTGACCTCTTTAACAGGCTATGAAGGTAGTTGGTGTGAAGGCCTACACTGAGTTCGATAGGCGTCAGGTTATACTGGATCTGTACATCAGGTAGTGTCACTGCTCTCAATTTTTAGCCAGCAGGTTTTTTTTATGCTTGAGTGTGTTGTTTGTTAATGCTTTATATTTAGTATATTTTAATGTAGTATTTTTATTATATAGTTAAACATATTTCTTTAGAAAATGTTATTTATAGTGTGAAAAAAATGCTTTATGCTATTAACCCTTTGATGCACTACATGGGGCTAAAGTGACCCGTCTAAGTTTATTATATCTATATCTATTTTAAAGCTTGTGCATCAAAGAATTGAAATAAACTATAATATCTTATAGTTTTTTTTACATTGTATTTTATAGTTTTTTTTTAAAGTTTCATAAAATATATAGTTTAAATAATAATAAAACATAAATAATTTTATATTGAAAAATAATTAAATAAAAAGGTTATATTTTTTTGAGTTGTCCTTGTTACACTCAAATTATTCAATGCAATTCTGATTACTATTAATTCATATGGTTGGTGTTTGGATTGGTTTAGGGGTGCTTTGCATAATTAAGACGTGATAAATAAATTTAAGAACAAAATAAAGTGTCACATTTAATATTTTAAAATATGTGAAATTAGGGCGCACTTGCACTATGCTATCTAAATTGTGCCCAGGCCTGTTTCCTGGATTGTTTGAGAAGTGTAGGTGCTCTGAATTGGGCTCAGGCACAGTTCACTTGGCCGACCTTGGCCTGGTTGGAAGAGGTGTGCCAGAGCGCGGTTCACTTGGTTGTAGGTTTACCTTTGTAGTGTGAGTGCAAAGTGCGCCTGAGTCTGAAACTGAAGATGAGACGTGACTTTTAATGGACTGTTTTATATAGATTTATTAATCATTCTTACTCTTCAATGAACGCAAACCCCTCACTGCATGACAGCTTCACCTTCAGCAAACCTCCTAATTGCTGCAGCACGAGTCCCAAACGACTAAAACAATATAATGAAATCCCCACTGTGCTGAGCGGGAGCGCTTCTTAAACTAAACAGTGCATCATCGATGACACAACCGTGCTTTGGCCTGGTTCAAGGCAACTGTGCATAGTGTGAGTACAGTATTAGGAAGTTCTAAGAACATTGTGGATAAAAATCGGTATTGGACCAAAATGAATTGGGGGGGGGGGGAGGGGGGCTGCTTGTTTTGGTAATCTTTAATCAAAATCTAGCCATTTGCTTGCTGCGAGTGAAAGATGAGACGAGGAGCGTGAAAAATAAAACCCATCCCCGACTCAATATTCAGTTTTACTTGGAAATAATTGAAACACAAGTCTTGGGCAACTTCCGGTTCATGCACAGCCTTTAAAGGGGACCTGTCATGCCTTTTTTCACAATTTAAAATTTTTGTCTCTGGAGTGTGTATGTGAAATTTCAGCTCATAAAATAACCCATACATAATGTTTTATAGCTGTTTCAACCCCCCCTACCTCTCCCCCTCCCTATAGGCTTTGATCCCAGCCATTTGAGCCATTTTGGTGACTGTCGCTTTTAATTGAAATGTCATTTTCAGAAAAAGGCGGAGCTACAAATGCCTGTGGCTGCGTCCAAACTCGCCTACTTCTCAGTAGGTAGTGCATTTGAATTTAAATTTACTTGTCAGCCGTTAGAAAAGTACATCCTATACAGTATGAAAATGAGTAGTATGAATGGAACTCAAACGTACTACATCCACCATTTCACGTGACCTACCCACGTCAGTTGCCCACGTCAATTCTCTCATGGGGCATAATGGGATATTATAGCGTGCAATAGATGCACATTTCAGAATATCGCCGGAAGTAGTAAGTCAGCCGTGTACTTTTTTTCGCATTCTGTTTTTCTATTCTGTGAATTCGGACTAACTGCTTGGCTCGCAAACTATTTTTAGCATAGTATATACTATGGAAGTATGCAATTTCGGACGCAGCCTACAGTGTGTGTCAGCATAGTGGCAGATTCAAAAACAAGACTAATGTATTATGCTAATGAGGGAGAGATAGTCACTAATGGGTGGAGCTTTCCTCCTCAAGATGACATGTTCAAAGGTAGAATGTCAATCAGAGCGTTTCTGCAGACTGTTTTTATGAAGTGTGATTTATTAAAAAATAAAATTAAACTTTTACCATTAGAAGCTGGTTATATTCACAGACTGTTGCCACACAACTGTGTTTAAACCCATTATAAAAGTGTTTTTTGCATAATAGGTCCCCTTTAAACATGTTGCGCTCTGTTGCAGTTATGCTGGAGATGTGGAGATTAATGTGGAGGTGAAGAAGTACTTCTGTAAAGCTGGAGTTAAAGGCATTCAGGTACGAAAGAATGATATAAAACAGAAATAAAGTAACAAAGAAACTCACCGACTGTGAATTTCTCACTCTTCAGCTGCATGGAAAGTTGAGAGTGATCTTAGAGCCTCTAATTGGGGATGTTCCTCTCGTGGGAGCCATCACCATGTTCTTCATTCGCAGGCCTGTTAGTCCATCGTTTTCTATTTGATATCAATTATCACTTTATAATAGCCTCTTCTTTAACTACAGTGTTGTTTTTACTTCTGTCCTTCACAGAAACTCGACATCAACTGGACTGGCATGACCAATTTATTAGACATACCGGGTTTGAAGTGAGTGCAGTTGTTTTTAGCTTTTTTTTTTTTTTTTTTTGCATCATTCATTTTATTTTTACAGTAGAAATAGACTGCAGTTCAACTACTCATATTAATACAGTAACTCTCTCTTCTCATATGCTTCATTTATTGATAATCAGTAAAGCGCTGGTCTGATTATTCAAAGTCTGCAGAGCTTCCCTCTACTCAAATGAAGCAGGGAAACGCAGTCATTCATATTGATCATAACTTTAACCCATTATAATCACCCATGCTGTCAGATAGTTTAAATGTATTTTGTCTGTGCCTCTGTGTCCCATTTTTTCTGTACGAACCCCTTGCATTCATTTCCAGTGCCATGTCGGACACTATGATAATGGATGCAATCGCCTCTTTCCTGGTTCTCCCCAATCGTCTCACTGTGCCTTTGGTGGCCAATCTGCACGTAGCACAGCTGCGTTCCCCTCTTCCACGGGTAACACTTCACTGTGCTTTAATGGAGTATTTATCTGTGTTAACCTCTTCATTTTGACTAGATTCATTAGACGTACCAGGGTCAGAAATTAATTTTTTCTATAAGGGGGAATATTAGCCCACTGGAATTAAATGTTATTTTTACCTCTTTGATACTTTGACTTTTAAGTTTGCCTTAGATCAATGACATAGATGTATTTATGCAGCAATAGCATAATGTAAATAGTCTACACACAGGTATATAAATGATACAATTAAAAGTAAGAAATCATTACAGCTGTGCAATTGCAAATACGAGTAAAAGCAGACTCAAATCATTGCAGTCACATTTAACAAAAAAATACTCACAAGGATTCATCAAATTTACATAAACAAGAATTGGAAACGCTTTATTTCAAGCCTCAATCCACGCTATTGACGGCTGGCTTATTTTCTGCCTATTATTAACTGTTTATTAGTATGTGGTTATTCTACATCCTTAATCCTACCCAAAACCGAACTACTACCTTAAAAACTAATATGCAGCAAATTTTGTTTGTTAATAGTGTGAATTGTGACTTAAATTAAAGTGTTATCCAAGAATTAAGAAAAACTTTTACAACAGTCACATATTTTGTTTTATTTATTTGTAGTTTTAAAAGTTGAAAAAAAAATACAATATTGAATATAATAAAATATTGTCAATAATAATAATAATTCATAATTAATCATAATAATACTTAAAAGCCTGGGTGCTTGTCCACAGAGGGCTCTTATTTTGAGGGCTACGTCACGAGCTCAAATTTGGTTAACCAATCAAAGGAATGTTGGCGTTTCAGCACCGCCTACATGTGTATGATGAATTTTTGAAGTCGTTTATCCATTTTCCTACCCTAAATTACATTAAAAAAAAATGAAAATCGAGCCAATATTTCATTTTTTCAATTCTTGTGACCAAATGAAAAACGGAAAAACGGCCGTTTTCATTTTCCTTTTTTTGTTTGAAAACGGATATGGATTGGACGGAAGATACTCGGTCCGTGTACGTTTTGTTCATTTGTTTTCCATTTTCAAACGGAATAAAGGAAATGGAGAAAACGGCCGTTTTTCCGTTTTTCCTTTTGCTCACGAGAAAACGAAAAAACGAGATTTTGGCTGGATTTTCGTTTTTTGGTTTAGGGTAGGAAAACAGATAAACGACTTTAAAATTCATTTTACACATGTAGGCGGTGCTGAAACGCCCACTTTCCTCTAACTGGTTAACCAAATCTGCGCTCGTGACGTCGTCCTCAAAATAAAAGCCTTACACGCAGGCTTTTAATTATTATTATTTAATTATATATATATAAACAAAGTTTACATATTCTATCATTTGAACCACACACAGTTAGCAGGCTTACATTCATTGCGTATGTATAAATTAAATTAAAACGTAAATCAGCAGTATTCTTAGACATTTGTCATTAAAATAAGGTCATAGTTCACTGCCAAGCTTCTTGCTGCTGTGCACCTGATGCTGAGCAAAGAAAGCCATTTCCGAGCAGCACCTGGTTTACTTGATTGTTTCAGAGCTATTGTAGGCCTAAATAATAGCCTACTCTGTATAAAATAATAATTTATTATTATTATTATTATTAGGCCTATTATTATTATTATTAGGCCTATTATTATTAGTATTGTTATTATTATTATTTACTTAGTTATTCAATGGTTGTAAGAACACATTGGACCCTGCATGGGGCTATAATAAATGGTACCATTTGTTTCTATTGGATTTTCTCCTATTTTAATTTAATATATGCCTTTAGCCTATTGTAAATATTTATTTGATAATTAATACTTTTTTATTGCAACGTCAAAGTAGGCCTGTCTTATTATTATTATTTTTTGTTATTATTTTGTCGTTGTTGTTGTTATTATTATTGTAGCAGGGACATAGCCACAGGTGTGGCAGAGTGTGCTGGTGCCACCCAAAGTGGCATCTTGCACCTGAAAATAGATGCCTTCGCGCTCAAGCGCGCGCAAAAAACTTGCACAGGCAAAAGTAATGATGAATGAGTTGAAGGGAAAAAAACATTCTAATTATTTGTTAATAAAATAGTGCAACATTATTCTCAGTCAGTGTAGGCTGAAAAAATTAAGATCGCCAGCATTTCAAGGGTGGTTTTATTTTTAGTTCATTGTGACGCGCTAAATTTCACTAAGGCTGCATGAGACTGCGCATCTTGCTTATTTTCTCTATTTTACATACAGAACATATCATACAGTCCAGGTTCTACCGTTCTAGTGAGTGTGGGGCATTGCTTTACAGTGGTAAAGTGGATTATTTCTTGGCAAATTCATAATGATTCACTTTGTTTAGTAATAAATTTCATAGTTATAAAATAACTACATTTCAAGAATATGTTAACACTTTCAACTATTTAGGATTATTTATTGCATCAAAAGTAATTTCAAAGTAACATTAAATGTACGTATAAACTGCTTAATTTGTGTGTGTAAACACCTAAGATGCAAAAAGCTTATTTAGACCAGAATAGGCCTACTAAATGCAACGGTCAATGTATGTAAACTTATGACCTGAAATGTCTTAAATGACTAAATTTAAGTCTTTTTAAGTTTTTAAATAATTTAAGTTTAACATAAATGATTTAAACTTTAAACTTCAAATTAACAGAGTATGGCAAATAAATTGTTTATTAAATGGAGGTCAGGTGTCTATGTTAATTATAATTATTAAATATTATGACACTATAATTCAGTGGTGTATTGGAAAGTACGCACCTTTTAATTAATTAATTTTAAATAAGTGGTTTATCCTAAATAAAATGCAATGGGATCGGTGGATGTGCAATAAATAGTTTGAAAACCCCTGGTTCAGACTAGACGAGCTAGCTGTCTGTGCGCTGCACTAATAACTTGGCATTTGCTCTTTTCGGTGCTGCCAGATGCATTTATAGTCCATAAAAAATAAAAAAGGTAATTCGGTAAAGCGCGCGATGTGCGCAGAAATAAGCGCACTATATGCATATGTCAAATTAAGTTATCTTTTTCTTTAATCAAGACTTTTCCATTCGAGGAATTTTATTAATAGCTTAGTCCTTATAAACGATCAGTTTATAAAATACACAATTTACGGATCAAGCCTAATGAAGAATAAGAAGAATATGCAACGCATTATGATCCTTGAATGATCAGAGCGCATTTATATAAACTATATATTTTATATAATCCATAAATATTAAAAAACATTATACATTTAAAGTAATGGAACATTATATGTTATAAAATCTAAACTATTATTTAGGCTACAGGCTAAATAAAGGCGCCTTTTCGGGGCTGTTCAGCGCGTGCGTCAAAGAAAAGACATGACACAATCTCTATAAAAACTTGTTTATTTACAATATCTAAAGGGATATAAAACATCTAACATGCATCTCCATTCTCAACGAGTTTCTGTGTTTTGCATCCTTCACAGACCGAGGTCTCATTCCGAGGTAATCTGTAAATATTCTCATTTGGTTCTGGCACATTCTTGATTAAAGGTGAAACTGACCGGCGCAAAGGATGATTTGTCAGGGTGACTACAGTTATAATACAGGTTATGGAACTATTTCACTTTAATTTCATATTAATATTTTATTAAACAAACAAACCAGTTTTTGTTTTGGCTCTGCATGCAGCGTATTGGATCTTTGAAGCATTGCACTTCAAATGTTATTCCTTTTTTTTTTTTTATTGTATTTTTAATATTTTTAATTATACAACACAAAATTGGTTCTAAACAGATACATTTTCCTATAGGCTATGATGAAGTGTATATTTTTGTTCACACAGGTCCTATACAAAACTGTGTGGATGGATGATTTGTTTCTCCGTGAAAATCACTCATTTAATAAGCAAAACAGGCCAAAATGTTGTTTAGCTTGCGTCAAACTGGATAAACAATTTACAAACATATTGAATACAAAGGCTGGTTATTTTATGCAATGAGGGACAATAGGCCTATTACAAATTAAAGAAAATTATTTGCATATTAAAACGAAAATATATAATACAACAACAGATCCTACCTTGTAAGAAATGACTTTAGATAATGTAAATAAGCATCAAGTTTTTTTTTGAGATTGTGTGTCTAATTCAGTAGTGTAGTGCGTTCGCGTGGGTTTCCTCCGGGTGCTCCGGTTTTACCCACAGTCCAAAGACATGCGGTACAGGTGAATTGGGTAGGCTAAATTGTCCGTTCTGTATAAGTGTGTGTGTATGTGTGGATGTTTCCCAGAGATGGGTTGTGGCTGGAAGGGCATCCGCTGCGTAAAAACTTGCTAAATAAGTTGGCGGTTCATTCCGCTGTGGCGACCCCAGATTAATAAAGGGACTAAGCCGACAAGAAAATGAATGAATAATGTGCAATACTAATTTAAAATACGTATCACTAACCTTATATGTGAAATAGCAGGGCCCGCTGTAGCACTTTCTTAAGAAGAGCAAATGTCAAATTATTAGCGCAACGCACATGTAGCGAGCTCATCTTTTTGTCGAAACTACTAGACACAATTTTTTTATCAACTATAATGTGTTTAATTAGTTAATTTGAAATTTATTTCATTATTCCAGCAATAATTGTTGAGTGAAAGAATGCGCTAGAAATATGCATTGCGGCTCCCTTTATTGTACAGGCTTATTGCACTTAAACTTTTTTAGGTTCAGCTCTCGTATTAGTAAGGTTATGAGTAAATGTTATTTAAAATATTTAAAGCCTGCCATCTAGCCTACAATAACAGCAAATTTAATAATAAAAAAATAATAAGACAGGCCTACTTTGGCGTTGCAATAAAATAGTATTAATTATCAAATAAATAATTACAATATATAATTAAAATAGGAAGAAATAAATGAAAACAAATGGTACCCTTTGTTTTTATAGCAGGGCCCAAAGTGTTCTTATTCTGGTTCTGCTAACAACTATTAAAAAGAAAAAAAAAACACACCAAACAATAAAAACACTAGTAACTGATAATAATAATAATAATAATAATAATAATAATTATTATTATTATTATTATTATTACTATTATTATTATAAAGCCCTTGCTCTGAAACAATCAAGTAAACCAGGTGCTGCTCGGAAATGGCTTTCTTTGCTCAGCATCAGGTGCACAGCAGCAAGAAGCTTGGCAGTGAACTATGACCTTATTTTAATGACAAATGTCTAAGAATACTGCTGATTTACGTTTTAATTTAATTTATACATACGCAATGAATGTAAGCCTGCTAACTGTGTGTGGTTCAAATGATAGAATATGTAAACTTTGTTTATATATATATAATTAAATAATAATAATTAAAAGCCTGCGTGTAAGGCTTTTATTTTGAGGACGACGTCACGAGCGCAGATTTGGTTAACCAGTTAGAGGAAAGTGGGCGTTTCAGCACCGCCTACATGTGTAAAATGAATTTTAAAGTCGTTTATCTGTTTTCCTACCCTAAACCAAAAAACGAAAATCCAGCCAAAATCTCGTTTTTTCGTTTTCTCGTGAGCAAAAGGAAAAACGGAAAAACGGCCGTTTTCTCCATTTCCTTTATTCCGTTTGAAAATGGAAAACAAATGAACAAAACGTACACGGACCATACTCTGATTCCATTCACACAAATCATCAAAAACAGCTAACGGTAACGGTAACGGTAAAGTCTAGAACGAATACGTGGCCGACCGGACGTGCGATAAGCGCATCAATATAGCAGCATTTTTTATGATACTGTTGAACTATAATTCATATTTTTACATTATGGTGACGGTAACTTCCGTTAACTTCCGGCCACAGCCGAATCTGATCTAGCAACAAGCACAGCTAAAACTGTTATGATGCTAAGCCAGTAGTTAGCGGAGTTCCTATGTTAAGAAACAACATGAACATACTGTATGCAGACCGAACAATTGCATGTGCATGATGTCACAGTTTTTACGTGGAGATGATATGGTTACGTTATCATTTTAAAAAAATCTTCACTTTGAAATCCGTTAACAGTGTTTGCATTTTAGGCCACTGAATGCATAGGTCCCAAAAAATGAGGGGCCAAAATGCCAAGGTTTTTGTTTTTTAAAAAGACACAAACTAAAGTGATGGGAAAAGGTGGGATTAATTGACAAATAAAAAAACTATGGAAATGTATGTGACAACTGAACAGAGAACAACGGGCATTTGCAAAACTAGATCAAGAGCAACCTTGTGTAATGTAATAGCAAGACAATTGATTATAATGTTCGTTAAAGGTTTCGTTCACCCAAAAATAAAAAAATAATTGCTATTATGTACTCATCCTCCATTTGTACCTGTTTAATTTATTTCTTCTGTTGAACTCAAAGGAATATATTCTGAAGAATGTTGGGAAAATACAATCACTGACTTCCATAGTATTTTGTGTTCCATATAAGTATGTCAAGTTGTCAACGGCTGCCTCTTCAGACTATCTTGTTTTATGTTCTACAGAAGAAAAAAATGTATACAAATTTAGACTCACTTGAGTATAAGTAAATGGTGATGAAATGTACATTTTTGGAAAAATAACCATTTAATGTTAAGCTGTTTATGGGAACCATCACATCGTTTTCTGGCTGCAAAGACAAAACAAGCTAAAAGATTTGTTAGATTTTTTTACACATTAGAACAATGGTTATTTTAGTAGCATGGGAAAAGTGTCTACTCAACCTGTGATTTATCGTTAACTGCACTAATTTAAATGTAACACTGCAATTTTTGAATTTCACATTAATCATGAAACCTGTAAATTACACAGGCACTTTTTAGCACTGTTCAAAAATCTATAATATTTCCAGTATAAAAACGGTGTCTGGCGGCATAGTGACCCAGTGGTTAGCACTGTTGCCTAACAGCAAGAAGTTCACTGGTTCGAGTCCCGGCTGGGTCAGTTGGCATTTCTGTGTGGAGTTTGTATGTTCTATTCATGTTGGTGTGGGTTTCCTCTGGGTGCTCTAGTTTCCCCCACAGTACAAAAGACATGTACTATAGGTTAATAGGGTATATGCAGAGCTAGTTTTTCTTCCCATACTGATAAACTTCTTTTACAGCATAGATGTTATAATGTAATTAAAATATAATAAGTTAAATAGACTTTAGCATTCATTTAGTTGCTCAGGCATAAAACGAGATGAAAAGCCCTTTACACGCACATTGCCCATTAGGATTAGCAGGCTAGCGGAGAAGCTCTATTGTGGGGTAAAATAAATGCTCATATTTTAAAGACATGGCGTGGAAAAATGTAATTGAACGCAGTGCTTTTTGTACAATCTGAGACCCATTTTATATCTGATATCTTGAGCCATGGGAGATTGCTGATATTTAAAGAAAACAGACCTTAAACACACCAATTTTGTAATGGCATACAATTCACTGGAAGCGTTTGACCCAGGTTACTGACAAATTAAAAGTCCTTCCGCATATTTCCGGATATACCATATTAAATCAACTAAATTGGCCATAGTGTATGAGTATGTGTGTGAATGAGTGTGTGTGTGGGAGTTTCCCAGTACTGGGTTGCTGCTGGAAGGGCATCCACTGCATAAAAAACATATGCCGGAATAGTTGGCAGTTCATTCTCCTGTGGAAACCTTTGAAAAAAAGCCGAAAAAAAAAATGAATGAATAAACTGGCAGCTGTGCTTGCCAGAACTTTACAGTTAAAAAATATTGTAGAAACTGTCAAATAAATTTCAAAATGTTATGGTAAACTACCATATTTAATTTTTTTATAGTACACCAGTGTTTTGAAGTATGAACATCTACACATCATAGCTTTTGTTACAAAGACAAAAAAAAAAAACAATAAGAAAGTCAAAGGATAAAACAAAGGTCCTCTCAAACAACTTTTCCCCGAAGCAGAGAAACATACTAACATATATATTAAATACACATCGAATAATTGCAATAAACGTTATTTATCAACAATAGATGTCACACATTAGATGATAAGAAAACAAACTAAAAAGAACCATAATAATGTCAACAAAAAGGCATAAAAAGTGAAGTGTTATGTAGGCAATTCTGAAAAAGTCAGTTTAAGATTATTAACCATATACAGTTGAAGTCAAAATTATTAGAATTTTTATTATTATTTTTTTCTTTTTTTAAATATTTCCCAAATGATGTTTAACAGAGCAAGGACATTTTCTAAGTGTCTGATAATTTTTTTTTTTACTTCTGGAGAAAGCCTCATTTGTTTTATTTCGGCTAGAATAAAAGCAGTTTTTAATTAAAAAAAAAATAAAAATTAAGGTAAAAATGAAGCGATATATTTTTTCAATAGTCTACAGAAAAAAAACATTGTTATACAATAACTTTCCTAATTACCCTATCCTGCCTAGTTAACCTAATTAACCTAGTTAAGCCTTTAAATGTGACTTTAAGCTGTATAGAAGAATCTTAAAAAATATCTAGTCAAATATTATTTACTGTCATCACCGCAAAGATAAAATAAATAATAATTCTGACTTCAACTGTATATTAAAGAAATTAACTGTTTGCCAGGTCAAAGTATTTAACTGTTAAAATTATGTTGAATTTTATTTTATTTTTACAGTGTACCCTTAGGAATGTACAGGCATTTTTGTCCATTTTAATAGTGATTTTGATTTCTGACCCTGAAATGTAATGTAATACTCCATAGTTTCATCGTGCATGTTTGTCCAGTGTACCTGCTTGAACTGTGCTCATGTACATACTTGCATATGCTAATTCAAATAAGCCACCTGTACTTTTCTTACCCCTGTACACTTGTATGTTTTGGCATAGGGTATAGTTCGTATCCACTTGCTGGAGGCAGAAAACCTTCCCGCCAAGGATAACTACATGAAAGGTGTGATATCAGGGAAATCTGACCCATATGCGGTGTTGCGTGTGGGGACGCAAATCTTCACCTCCCATCACGTGGACAACAACCTTAATCCTCAGTGGAGAGAGATGTACGAGGTCAGAATAACATGTGATTGGTGTCGCTTGTGCTTCTAGATGAAAATGTGTCACATTTCCGACACTTTAAAAAAGGGAAGCTGTGGTTCTTTCGGGCTTATAACACTATACTATATGTTTACGTATGTGTATGTGAGATCCTTGTAACTGCTGGCAACAACAAGAAGAAAAAAAATAAAGTGTGGTAGTGCAGGATGTGACTATCATGTGCTAAGATCAGATGAGCATTGAGCAAACGCAGAAGCTCAATGAAACATCTGTTCACTGCAAATTAATCTTTGTGAATTTCTGTGTGTGTGTGTGTGTGTGTGTGTGTGTTTATTTGCTTTTATTTTTTAGGTGATTGTCCATGAAGTGCCTGGTCAGGAGCTAGAGCTTGAGGTATTTGATAAAGACCCTGACCAAGATGACTTTCTTGGAAGGTATAATATAATTATAACTAAAGTTAGAACTTAAATCTATTTATATAATGTTATGATGCTGTTATGAACTCAAGTATTTTGTTTTTGCATTTTGCCTAGAATGAAGTTGGATTTAGGCATTGTAAAGAAAGCAGTTCTTTTGGATGAGGTAAAGCTTTACTTCTCTTTCTCTCTATCTATCTTACTCAATTCAATTTGATTTAAAAATTGCTTTATTGGCATGACAAATGTTAAAAATGTATTGCCAAAGCATTTATAAAGTTTACATTTAAAATAAAATGTATTACAAAACATAGCAAACACAGTAAATAGTAATAGTAGTGAAAATAATTATAATAATAATAAAAAAAGAAATAATAATAAATCAGAATAAATTGTATATTTAAAAATCAACATTTTGGGATAAAACAGTAATGATAAATACAACTACTACTACTACTACTACTATTAATAATAATAATCATCAGTATATTTGCAATGATATTTACTCTCTCTCTCTTTATTTCAATGTCTTGTCAAGAATTCCCAAAGCATTGCAGATTACATAAGCAATGAATTTTATTGTATAGTAATTGTATAATACATATAGATACATACAGACAAAACACACTCACAATTAGAATTTTGAAAAATATATACAGAAATAAGAACGAGAAAACAATCTCTTTCTCTCTATCGCTCTCTATAGTATTACATTATTACAAGGTTACATTAGTTATTATTTTTGGCCCAGAAAGCACCCTCTCACTGACGAAGTCCAGAAATAAGCTCATTTGTCCCATTTTTGACAGTATATGCCATCATAAATTGCAAAAATAACCGATAAAAGAGGGGCAAAGCAGTGGCGCAGTAGGTAGTGCTGTCGCCTCACAGCAAGAAGGTGGCTGGTTCGCGTGTTGGCCGGTGCGCCGGTGCTCCGGTTTCCCCCACAGTCCAAAGACATGCGGTACAGATGAATTGGGTAGGCTAAATTGTCCCTAGTGTATGAGTGTGCGTGATTGTGTGTGTGGATTTTTACCAGAGATGGGTTGCGGCTGGAAGGGCATCCGCTGCGTAAAAACTTGCTGTATAAGTTGCCGGTTCATTTCGTTGTGGCGACCCTGAATTAATAAAGGGACTAAGCCGACAAGAAAATGAATGAACCAATAAAAGTTGGCTTTAAGACGCATTTAATTTTTAATTATTCAAATGGACAAATTCTGAGGAAACAAACTGGCCAGTTTGTTATATGCCTATAGGCTACTGTTTTTGATTTAAAAACGATTTTAACAAAGGTAAAATTTTAACAGGTTACCAATTAGTTTTTTTTTATGATAGCTGATAATAAATTTCCATTTTAAAAGTATTTTTCATATTTAAAAAAAAAAAATTCTAATCTCGTAACATTATTTATTAAACTGTAATTTTAACAATAAAATGCACATTTGTAAATAAACACTTTGTGGTAAAATAGTATAGTAAGGAAATATTTTTGTTGTATCAAACCGTATGCTCACCATCCAACAAGCTTATCCACAACCTCATTTTCTAGTATTTGAACCTCTTAAAATTCAGCTTTAAAGCTTTTTTAAATAGAAATTAGGGCAAATATTTGCAAAAAGGTCCACTTTTTGAGAAAAAAGAACCACCCCTTTCAATAGACAATACGGGCCTGAGTGTGAGTGTCTATGGATGTTTCCCAGTGATGGGTTGCAGCTGAAAGGGCATCCGCTGCATAAAACATATGCTGGATAAGTTGGTGGTTCATTCCGCTGTGGCGATCCCTGATTTATAAAGGGACCAAGCCGAAATGAAAATGAATCCTTCAAACCACTGTTTTAACATATTTTCAGCAGTTGTTTTTTATTTTTTATAAAATACAATTTATCAGGATCTCTTAACATTTGCCCTCAATTTAGTTTGCTTGAATTGAATATGATTTGCTTGTTGGCCATTGAAAATGTTATGCCATTTTATGACATAAATATTTTATGAACATTTTATTTACAACAAAGAACAAAATTTCTCTAACACAAAAAAGTGACTGTGCACAAAAAGTGGTTATTGAATAATTGAATGTACATACCCAGAAACAGTTGTGATATACAAACTGGCACAGCAGACTCTCTAGATGTTGTGTAATATGCCAGCTTGTTTTTGTTCTTCTGCCGTCTGCCTTGTTTGTTATCAATCTAATGCTTGTTCACTGTGGTTTTAGTGGTACACTTTAAAGGATGCTGCATCGGGTCAGGTTCATCTGAGGTTAGAATGGCTCTCGCTGCTGCCCTCTGCAGAACGTCTCAGCGAAGTAAGATCTTCATCAGCAGATCATAAAAACCTATATTATCCAATGCACATGTTTAATCTCCTTTTTAATGAAATATAGGTGCTGGAGAGAAATCAGAACATTACAGTGCCTAGCAAGACAGCAGATCCTCCTTCTGCTGCCGTATTGACTGTGTATCTTGACCGTGCACAAGATCTACCTGTAAGTTTATATCCCACATCACTATTTCTTCAGCATCTCTTGGCTTGAAATGTTAGCATTATTGAGTCAGATGATTTTCGTTCAGTTCAAGAAAGGTAACAAGGACCCCAGCCCTATGGTGCAGATCTCTGTCCAGGACACCACCAAAGAAAGCAGGGTATGATGTCAATACTGTTATTGCACATCATATGTAACGTTTGTGGCATATTTATACCTTCTGGAGTGACTATTGCATGTATGTTCCATCCAGACAGTGTATGGGACTAATAATCCAGCATGGGAGGATGCCTTCACGTTTTTTATTCAGGATCCCCGCAAACAAGATATCGACATTCAGGTATGTTCAAAGCTATTTGTAAAATACTGAATCTGAACTATTACTTCAACGCCATATTTTTTAGTGTTTTAGGACCTTTGAGTGTATGTTTAAAAAGTGTATTATTTCTTAAGAATACGATAACTGAAATCAAAAAAAGGAAAAAAAGGCATTTTAGGCCATTTTCTTTAGAAATGCAGAATTTTTCATGTGTATAACAGGTCAATCCCGCAAAAATAATTGCTTATTTACAAATCATGTTCTATGTGCTCACTTAATTTCACAATTTTTTTTAGGAATTTTTGAGTGATTTTAGCCATGGCTATTTTGTTAATAGCCCTAACATAGCTATCCACATGCAAAAAAGATTTTAATAACACTTTATTATTAATAATTAATAATAGTTTTATTGCTATTAAAAGATTTTTATAGCAATAAAACTATTGCTAATTGTTAATCTATGTAGTCCAGATATATTTTGGTAATTTTTAGCCATAGCATTTAGAGCTTATAAGCAAAAAGGTCAATTTTCATATCTCCAGGCTATTAGGTGGCACTGTGCCAGTAATGGTAATGGTTGAATGTTTTGGCTGAAACGTAATTTTCTAAAAATGTCATATGATTCAGTTAATTAACATATGTCTTTATTAATTAACAATGTTCTATATATTTGCTCACTTATTTACTAGCATTATCCCAAATCTTTTGACGATTGTTCAAATCCAGGAAAACAAGAAATTTTAACTAGTGACATGAACGTGTCATGTGCCTCCATTCTAATGATGTCACACCCTCAATTTCTGGTGTTGTTTTATAAAAAACAGGGAAACACCAAAGGCACTTTGATATGTTATGAAGAGCAGCATTATAAAATAACCTATAAATATATATTTAGTCTGCAGTGGTGTAAAGTAACAAGTTACAAATACTCAAATTACTGTGAGTAGTTTTTCTCAGGAATTGTTATTTCCAAAGTAGTTTTAAAAATGTGTTCTTTTACTTTCCCTTGAATACATTTATTGTGCAGTGTTGTTCCACTCCACTACTTTCCTTTAACATGCAGTCATACTTTTTTCCTGTCCATGGGGATTAGAAAAATCAGTCAGTGATTCTTGTCTAATTAAATCGCACATAGAAAGTAAATTGTGCCTGCTGGACAATAACTAAATGCACTACAGAATGTTACGTTTACACACATCCCCAAATAACACGTAAATGCATTAGCTTTTTACAGCGTAATACTACTCTTGAGTACTTTTGAAAGGTCTACTTTTAAAGGTATACTTTTACTCTATTTTGCACTGCATTTGTATGCAAGTAATGGTACTTTTACTTAAGTATGTTTTTTCAGTACTCTTTCCACCACTGTATAAAACAGCATTATGTAATCACAACAGGAAGAGGCAGAAGTGGTTTACTGTGGCATAATAAAAGATCCACTGCTATTGTGCTCTAATCAGCAATTACTGTACTTCAATGATCTTGTTTTACTTTAATAGCTTTCAGCATTACTCTGCTTAATATTATTTTATAATAAGTTTTTTAATAGTTTAGCTCATCCGTGAACATGGTTTCAGTCCCATAGGATGTAAAGAATACAACAACTTCTGTTTCCACGACTTTCTTAGTTTTAAGTGTTAGAACTCTAGCAGAGAAAAATTACATACTGTGCTTTAAATACCAAGGTCTTGCTTGTGTTTATATCCATGTAATCACAATTCCATAGCTGTAATTGTGTCATTCTTGCTTTCATCATTTCAGGTGAAGGATGATGACAGGGCTTTGACTCTGGGAAGCCTATATATCCCAATGTCTCGTCTGCTGTCCAGCCCTGAGCTTACCATGGATCAGTGGTTTCAGCTAGAAAAATCCGGACCAGCCAGTCGTATCTACATCACAGCTATGCTGAGGGTAAGACAACAGACGAATTTTGGCTGTTAAAAGCATTGAAGACCCATAACGTTGGTGATGTTTGTTTCAGGTGTTGTGGCTGAATGAAGACGCCATCCTTACCTCTCCTGTATCTCCAATACCTGGAGAAGGATACGGCGAAACTGAAGTGTCTTCAGGAGCCACAAAAGTGACCGCCACTCCAAAACGCCCTGAGCACACTAGTCCAGACAGCAATTTTGCATCTGAGGTGAGCCTGTGGAGACGTTCAAAGCTTTTTGAAAACTAAAGTAGTATCGACTGTATTAGCAGGGGCATTTACTTCACATATTTTAATTCAGTGAGAATTTTAATTCAAAATGCTCCATTAAAACACCAATATCTGAATAAAAATGATGAAACTGAATTAAATTGTAATCGGTTAGAGGGGTGGGATAAACCTTTCAATAAACTGAATAAAAAAAATATTCTGCCACTTTAAACCAGTCACGTTGCTTCTATGTCATCATTTGCCACAACAAGGTAACCTATTTATGCATACACAGCTAGTATAGCCATGATTATTATGTTTTTGGCAACGCAGTGGCACAGTAGGTAGTGCTGTTGCCTCACAGCAAGAAGGTCGCTGGGTCGCTGGTTCGATCATCGTCTCAGTTGGCATTTACGTGTGGAGTTTGCATGTTCTCCTTGCCTTCTTGTGGGTTTCCTCCGGGTGCTCCGGTTTCCCCCACTGTCCAAAGACATGCGATACAGTAATGTGTGCGTGCGTGCGTATGTGTGGCGTGCGTGTGTGCGTGGCGTGGGTGCGTGCGTGCGTGCGTGCGTGTGTGTGTGTGTGTGTGTGTGTGTGTGTGTGTGTGTGTGTGTGTGTGTGAGAGAGAGAGAGTGTGAGAGTGAGTGTGTGTGAGAGAGAATGTTTGTGTGGATGTTTCCCAGAGATGGGTTACGGCTGGAAGGGCATCCCCTGCGTAAAAATGTGCTGGATAAGTTGGCGGTTCATTTCGCTGTGGCGACCCCGGATTAATAAAGGGACTAAGCTGACAAGAAAATGAATGAATGTGTATGTATATATATATATATATATATATATATATATATATATATATATATATATATATATATATATATATATATATATATATATAAATATAAAAAATGGATGATTTTTGTTTTCTTGCTCCTATAACAGCCTTCAACAGCAGTAAGCATAACTATTCGTTTCAATTTAGAATGACTTATGACTTGATGTGAGTGCAGTAATTTTAAATAAATATAATAATAATAATAATAATAATAAGAAGAAGAATAATTGCAAGAATAATTCAAACTTGTATTTCTCCATCCTGCAACCTTAGACAGTTACAGCATACAGTCCATTCAATCGCAAGAATGACTGGCGAATAATGACTCGTGCAAAGGTTTAGTTTCTATTCGAGGTCACAAAATCCCAGCAATATTTCCCACTCCCATTCACCCTTACTATATTATAGTAGGGCTGATTAATCGAAAAGTAATTGAAATCGACATTCAGAACCTATAATTAATCTATTTTTTCCAGGTCAATTTTTTTCGTTTACTTTTCCTACCAAGTCAAGTGCTGAACTAATAAATGTTCAGCACTTTGCAGCCAGATCTGATCGCAGTATTACAAGTTGAGAGCACATACATGTAATTGAAGTTTACAGATCTGTAGCCAGCTTGGTGAAAGAGAGGGTTCTTTTTTTATCTCAAAAAGTGGACCTTTTTGCTATTATACTTTTCATTTTCTATTGAATTATGAAATTTAAGTCCTGCATTTTAGTCACATTTTAAGCACTATTTTAAGTTAGCGTGTCGGATGATCATCATAACCACACTTTTTGACTATTTTAGCCAAAATAGAATTTAAATCAATTTTAATATGGGCTGTTTATGGTGCTTCACACCTTTTTATTTGTTATTTTCTGTTTCAAGATTAAGGTCCAAGATTTAGATGAAAAGGTACTTGTAAAATGTTTTCTCTATTTAAAACAATACAGTAGAGAAAGATGACTTCTCTTATGTCAAATTGCATGTTTTCCTGCACATCTAGATGTTGGACTCATGAAAAATTATTGTTTGCATTGGTGAAAACTGATTAGCAGAATTCACACCGAAGCGACAGCCAACAGATGATTCCGCTTGGTCTTAATGATTTTATTGATAGGTTATTTTCACTATAGTGGCATAGCAGTCAAAATAGGAAAAATAAGCTCATGTATGGAACAAATTCTGGACCTTTTGTCAGTGAGAGGGGTCTTTCGAGCCACCTAAACCCTGCCTGGCTATAGGCCTACACTACTGCTTTTCTGAGGAGAGAGAGGCTCGTGCAGTCACCATAAAGCTCAGCTTCCCAATGCCTGTCCTTTCCTTATAGCCTATAAACAAAACCTTCCAGAAGTTTTATGCCTACAAATTCATACTATTGCTCGATTTATTTTTATTTCACATTTTACTGTAAAATCCGTTTGCATAAGAAATAACTGAACTAACCTTATGTTGACAGAAAGGCAGGACTGACTGGTGTGTGCATTTTAAATGAAAGTGGCACATGTAAACACCACATTGAATTAGATAGCGTCTCATGTAAACTCACCACCATACCCAATCAAAATGACAAAAAGGGTGCACTTGTAAACAAGGCTAATGTTTGTAATTCTAACATGTTCAAATTAGGGTGTTCTGCGGATCCATCTGGTGGAGGCACAGAGTCTCGTCGCTAAGGACAATTTAATGGGAGGAATGATGAAGGGAAAGAGTGACCCATATGTGAAGATCAGAGTGGGAGGATTGGCCTTTAAGAGTCAGGTCATTAAAGAGAACCTCAACCCTGTCTGGAATGAGCTTTATGAGGTATGTCGACTCATTTATGTATTTTGAACAGGAAGGGTAGAATGACTGTATCAAAACAAAAGATGATTTCTGCTTTGAGTCACTTCATACCTACTCTGCATATTCAAACATTTGTTTTTGCTTCTGGATATTTGTAAGAAATGCAAATCGTGTCTGTTTGTACTGTAGGTGATCTTGACCCAGCTCCCTGGTCAGGAGGTAGAGTTTGACCTGTTTGACAAAGACATTGACCAGGATGACTTTCTTGGCAGGTGAGACTGCAACTTTTTTATTTCCAACACTACAAGCCTGTTTCATCATTTAAGACCACCCTTATGAAAATGCTAAGAAATTACAGACCTAAACAAGTGCTGGAAAACCAGAGCAACTACCCAGCAGAGTCTCATGTCATTATTTTCGAAAGCTGTGCTTTAGGAAAAAAAAAACCCGAAAAGACAGACGAAAGATATGACAGACAACACAATCTCAAACACATCTCAATGAACACTTGAAGCTTGCTCTACAGGCTGAATTAAGGATGTTTACACTACAACATCTACACTAATAAAAATAATATAATAAAGTAGCAAATTGAAAGGATCAAGTAAGCGGACGATAGTGAAGCCAAACAAAAGAAAGAAATATAACAAAACATTTCTAATTCATAAATAACCCCTTACCTCACTAAAACTGATAAAAAGAAAAAAGTCCTTCAGCGCAGTGCGCCACATTCTTCCCCATTTAGAATAAAATAAATATAAAGTTGACATTCACCTCTTACCTGAGGCAAAATGGAAGTCATACGACATCTTCCCTATCCACCTTACTCTGAGAAAAGATTGAACTTGAGGAGTCAAGCCTGATTTATACTTCTGCGTCAGGTGACCGGCGTAACCCACGGCGCAGGTCTGCGCGCTGTCTCTGTCGGTCTGCATTAACACTTCCGAAACGCTAGTTGGCAGTGAGGTGTAAATGTTCCTCTGTGTTGAGTTTCTTCGCTACTTTTTTGCATTTCCTGAACACTTCTGGGATGTACAAGTGGCTCAAACTCGCTCATTTTGAGGCAGGAACCGGCGGACGTGCAACAACTTTAACTATGAGGTAAATACAAAACAAAACTTTCCATCCGGAGCTCCTTCACGGGACTCCACACTTGTAAACAATCGCTCGCGCGGCGTCGCGCCATTCGCGCGGCTCTCGGTCCCGCCCAGACTCGTCAGCGCTACCAAGCCGACCAATCACAGAGCTTACGCTACGCGTCGTTGCGACGTGTAGTTACATTTTTTGAGAGGTGCACGTCAGTGACGGCGATGGCCACGGCGAAGGGCTATGCGTCAGCGCCGTAGCATACGCCGGTGTTTGACGCAGAAGTATAAATCAGCCTATAGGGTAGCTCAATATTGCCGGGAAAGAGCAGAGCAAAGAGCAAAAAATTACATAAAAATCAATCTAAATAAAAATGAACAAAACTCACAAAATTTCTCAAAGTGGGCAAAAGTAATGCAAAATAATTTTACCCAAACGAAAGTTAAGCAAAAACAACGAAAATCATAATCATGTGAGCAAAATACACCAAAAACGAGATCAACGAGATCAAAGGCAAAAGCGCGATCTCCGCTTTTAATATCCCCGCGCGGCCGCGCCATCTCCGCCTCACCTCCGAAACGCAGCCAGCTGCAGACTGCAGTGAATAATGCTAAGCTGACTCTCTGCTTTTTCGCTGATCCACTGCCATGTCCCGCTATACACCCGCAACCAACCTGCAATTATATAATGTATTTTTTTTATTACCCGACCCGGGGTTTAACTGCAGCGCCCGCAGATATAACCGCCATTTACGCATCACTAACGGGAAGCAAAAATACAACCTTTACGGCTCCCCGCATGTTTTCATTGTGATGCGCGATTTGTAAAATAAGAGTCTGCATAGACCTATTTGTAGTCTGTCAGACAAATTTGGTTAAAACACCCGCGGATATAACAGAGATCTGTGCATAACTGGGTTTATGGTTCCCGCTTTATACAATGTAAAGAGGGTGACTGCATAAGGTAAACTGCACACACTTGATTATGTAATGCGTGGACGTGTCTCACATCGCAAAGCATAACTAAACCTTTACATGTCCATGTTTAATCAGTCATCGATAAGATCTATTGATTAAAGTGATATTGACAATCAATAGTTCATCAAGTAATCGTTAGCATCCCTAAATAAAATATATTAAAGTATATTTCACCCTGATACATCCAAATTCATCCAAAACTGAAAATTCTGTGACCATTAACTCACCTTTACTTGTTCCAAACCAGGTTTTTTTTTCTGATGTTGAAAAATAATATCCAATAACTTTTAATGTCTTTGGTTGTTGAAAACTTGAACAGTAAAAGCTGAATTTAGATTGTTCTTTTGTTTATTATTTTATTATTTTTATTGTCAGACAGATAAAACATTTTAACTAAATGTGTTAAATCAGCTGCACAAAGCCATTGGCTTACTGAAAATCATATAAAATTGATAGATAAAAAGATTTAACGTTTATCGTGATAAATATCAATATCGACTGATATGAGAAAAATTATCGTGATATTTTTTTTTCCCATATCGCCCAGCTCTACTCACCTGCCAGATAAAGGTATTAAATAAATATTTAAAAACAATGTGCCAAATAGACAACGACAACAACAACAACAAAAAAACCTGAACACTGTTTGAATGCAATCTTCTACTTCCGTTTTTGAATAAAATAAGTAATAAATGTTTATTTTGAATAAAATAAGTTTGTTATTAGTTTCTCTCACAAGACATTTAAGCAAAATTAATAATTTTATTATTTTTAAAAAGTGTCATTTTAAAAATCTGTTATTAGACTCACACAATAAGTATAGCCCTTTGTGATAAATGCTGAAAATATATATTTTTAAGTATATGTGATTATATTTCTGTCTCTTATACCTAATATATATTTTCTTATATAGACCATTTCAATGTGGTCATGTCATATGCCCATGAACATTTCTTGCTTGTTATCAAACTACTTTATAACTGTAACAAGAGGCAATTCCATCATCACTTAATGTTAAAACAACTATCATAATGTTAGTTATCACTATGTTGCTCGTTTTGGATTCTTGAAAGCTATAGAAAGTAAAAATATAAAACAGGAAATATATTGGGGCCATTGCTTTTGTTTACATTGCTTAAAAATGGTGTATATAAAGTAGTAATTTACAGTGATTTAACTGTTTGCAGGGTTAAAGTGAGTCTGAGAGACCTCATCAGTGCTCAGTTTACTGATCAGGTAAGTTCAGCGTTAAAAAAAATGCATACTAGTTTGTTTTTAAACATAATATTTATCATATTTTTTGCATTATATATGGTCGTGAGCTTGTTTACACTTGTTTCTATGTCTTCTTCTGGTGCAGTGGTATACTCTGAATGATGTGAAGACCGGAAGAATCCATCTGGTGTTAGAATGGGTGCCTAAAATTTCAGATCCCATCAGACTTGAACAGGTCATATCCTGTTTCTGAAAATGTTTTTTTGTTAACCTGAGTTCATTAAATATTAACATTTTGCTGAAGGGTTTTGTGTTTTTTTTTTTCTATTTAGATCCTACAGTACAACTACAGGCAGTCTTACCTGAATAAAATAGTTCCCTCTGCTGCACTGCTGTTTGTTTATATTGAGAGAGCACATGGGCTGCCTGTGGGTTTCTTTTTATTTCCATTCAAATGTATTATGTTTCAGTGACCTTCAATGAATATGATGTATGTTGTCTGCAGTTAAAGAAGAGTGGAAAAGAGCCTAAAGCTGGAGCAGAAGTGTCACTCAAAAATGTATCTTACAGGACCAAAGTAAGACCCTCAAATCATGACACATTTATATTGAGGTTATTAAAATATCAAAAGTTGCAAGGAACAATTTCTACTCCACAAGGTTGTGAATCGCTCCACTTCTCCACAATGGGACGAAGCCCTTCATTTCCTGATTCATAATCCAACAGAAGACACACTTATTGTCAAAGTGAGTTGTATTGTTTTTCTTTTTTTGTGTGTGCGTGCGTGCGTGCTATTGACTTTTGTTTTTGCACTACTTAGTTTGTCCACAAGAGGTCAACACTTAACCGGATCACCGTTTTACAGTCTTAACAAAAATAATAGACCTATTAGCACTTGCACTATGAATTAAAAGATATCCACTATTATATTCATGTTCATTATGCATAGAAAAATATTTATTACTTAACATTTGCAGAGACTTGACGCAGACACTGTATGAAGATGAATCTTTGGAATGCGCATATGCTTCAGAGAGCTTATATTTCTCATGTATTTAAAAGGCTGTGCTTTGAACTGGCATCATTGATTATTTTAAAATGTAAAAGGACAATATTTACCTTTTTTCTCTGAACTGGAGTGTATTTGATCTGTTTGGCATGTGCAGGTCAGTCACAGCTGGGGTCAGGCTCTTGGTTCACTTGTTCTTCCTGTACGAGAGCTGCTGGAGGAGAAGGATCTTACGATAGACCGCTGGTTTAGTCTGAATGGAGCCATGCCTGAAAGTCAGATTCTGCTGAGAGCCGAACTAAAGGTTAAAAAGCATACTCATATTTAACATGTACACACTGACATACAGCTGAAATGTAGTCTGATAATGCAGACAGACATTTTCAATTATTCATATATTTACTCTATCATTCATATATATACTCCGAATTAGATTGTGTTTCTTTCTTCTGTTGAAGACAAAGAAGATATTCTGGTAACTGGTAACTTTCATGATACTTTTTACCCTATTATGAATGTGAATGGCTACTGGTTTCCATTATCCATTGAATATCTTCTGTTGAACAAAAAGACATAAAAGTTTGTAACATTTGATATTTTAAACATTTGATGTTTTGGACTCCATCTGTCTGGCGTAAACAGAATGCTGTTGTAAAATGTTAGGGTTACTGTGTCGTTTATGAGAAAATACGGAAACAACTCCCTTAATTGTATAATTGTTTTTGTCTTGTATTATTGGTATTTGTGGGCTTTTTTTATTGGACCTTGAGTCTGGTAAATAATGTTGATTAATTGATTTGTAATCAGTTGAGGCATATGAGGAGAGAATATTTTTGGTTGAACCATCCATTTAGCGGGGAATTAAAAGGTTAGTTTACGCAAAAAAACGAAAATGATCCAATGATTGTCTCACCCAGAAGGCATTCTAGGTATATTTGTCTTTCTTCTTTCTGTTGAATTTAATCAGAGTAGTTTTAACAATTATCTTGGCCTCTACAACGGCAACAGTCGGCTGATTTTTATCTGATATATATATATATATATATATATATATATATATATATATATATATATATATATATATATATATATATATATATATATATATATATATATGTATGTGTGTGTGTGTATATATATATATATATATATATATATATACACATACATATATATGTATGTATGTATGTATGTATGTATGTATATATATCATATAATCTACAGTGTCTGCCCTCTGTCATTATCATCTTCTTTTAATGTGCATTTTTGGTGCATTAGCGCCATCTGCTGGATTTTTATATTACTGGAGAGTGAAGAGCATGCCATGCACAGTTGAAATGATGGTAGATGCGCAGTGACAGTGAAGCAATAGTATCTGGATGCAGCCTTTATGATGCAAGCTGAGATTGCATCACTTAGCGATGCAATGTCAGACACAATTCACTCAATGGAGTGAGTGACGTCACTGTGACGGGTGGGGTTAGGTGAGCACATTAAACAGCATTGGATGCAGCTCAGATTGCACTGCACCAGGTCTGCATTCAGATCCTTTTCCAGTGAAGAGAGAGTGAGGTACATTTTACAATGGATGATTGTGCTTTATAGAACTTGTTTTGGACTGCTGACAAAAACACAAACTAACAAGTTGAACACAATTCCCAAAATATTTCAAAATGTTTTTTAATCAAGTATGTATTCAATTAATCCAAAGGCACAGTCATTTATAACATCAAAGTAGATTTCTAGTTCAAAAAAATCTTTTGAACTTTAAATCAACCACATTATAGTGTAAGTAATAATAATCATGGACCATTTATCTGTTAAACAGCTCCTAGACAGCAAGTTGGCACAATGTAGTGATGAAGAGGACGCTAGTCATGTGATTCCCAGTGCAGAACCAACTGTTGCAGCCAATAGTGAGCTCCGACACAGAAATGTACCTGTCCAAGGGTAAGAAACAAAGACAAGCTGCATTTTATTTCATAGTGTCCATAAACAGATTCGAACAATAATTGATATTTGACACGTGTTGTGTTTTGTGTGTGGGTGGATGCAAATACAGAGGGGAAGATGCCAGTTCAACTGGGAAAGCCCAAATTAAACTATCTATTAGCTATTCATCTGAAGAGCACCGATTGATTATCAAAGTCCATGCTTGCAGGTAAATATCATTCAAATACTCTCACTTTTAATGAAGACTCCAGGCATGATACATAGACGTTATGCTATAAATGATTGATAGAAATCACAAATGCATCTCGTTATTTTGGTAAATATTATATTATATTATAATATATTATGTTATGTTATGTTATATTGTATTGTATTGTATTTTATTGTATTGTATTGAATTATATTGTATTATATTATGTTATGTTATATTATATTATACACAAGTGTTGCTATATTATAATAATAATAATAATAGTAATAATAATATAGTTAATGCAGTTGATATTAATGCATAAGTATGTTTATTTTTTTATTTTATTTTATTTTATTTACAAGTGCTGCAATGAATATAACCAATGCTGCTGATATGCCATTAAAACAAATTGTATTTTTACAGTGCATCTGGAAAGTATTCATAGAGCTTCACTTTTTCACTTTTATGTTACAGCCAAAATGTATTAAATTAAATTATGTCCTCAAAATTCTACACACAATACCCCATAATGACAATGTGAAAAAAGATTTTTTGAAATAGTTGCAAATTTAATAAAAAAAATATAAAACCTGAAAAACCACATGTACAAAAGTATTTAATGTAATTTAATTTATTTTTAAAAATTGTATTTAATATATATATCTATATATTTTTATTTTATTGTCAAGTGATGTGATGAATATAGTCAATGCTGGTGATATACCATTAAAACAAATACATTTTATTATATTATATACATATGTTGCCAATGCTGCTGATTATAATGAATAAATGCATTTATTTTATATATTATATTATATTATATTATATTATATTATATTATATTATATTATATTATGTTATATTATATTCCTAGAGATTGTTTGCAGCTGGAAGGGCATCAGCAACATATGCTGGATAAGTTGGCGGTTCATTCCGCTGTGTCGACCTCGACTTAATAAAGGGACTAAGCCGAAAAAAAAAGAATGAAATTATATTATATTATATTATATTATATTATATTATATTATATTATATTATATTATTGTTATATTACATTATTGTTATATTACATTATATTATTAAACAATGTCTTTTAGAACCAGAAACAAAAATTTTATAAAATGTGACTGTTTTTTTAACTAAACAATTAAGTTTACTTTAGCTGTTCTAAACAAAGGAATAATTTCAAAATTTTAAGTTTGAGAAATCTGACTATAGTCCTCATTTTGATTTCATAAACCTATGTTCCTTCACAGGAACTTGCCGTCCTCCTCTAAGGAACCTCCAGACTCTTACATCTCATTCATTCTTCTTCCGGACAAGAACCGGAACACCAAAAAGAAGACCAGTGTTAAAAAGAAAAGCCTCAAACCAGAGTTCAATGAGATGTTAGTAGGAACGTTCATAAATTACTGTCTTTGCACACAAGAGTGGAAGTTACCCATCTTTTGCTCTCTCCTACAGATTTGAGTTTGACATGTCACTTGAAGAAGCAAAGCAGAAACATCTTGAAGTTTCAGTTAAGAACAGCGTTTCCTTCATGAGTCGAGAAAAAGAGCTTCTTGGCAAGGTATTCATACATCAGCAGCATCACAGACACTATTGACCATATTGTTTTGACCATAATTAATCAAATGGGTATTTGAAGAAGTCAATTCTTGTTGATGACATTCCACTATCACCTTTACTCTTTTTGTTTAATTTATAGTGATTAAATGTGACCCTGGACTACAATACCAGTCTTATGTTGTATATTTTTGGCAGTAACCAAAAATGCATTGTATGGGTCTAAATGATTTTTCTTCTATGCCAAAAATCATGATAATATTAGGTAAAGATAATTATCCAGTAATATATTTTGTAAATGTCCTGGTGATGAGTTGTGGCTGGAAGTTGGCGGTTCATTCCGCTGTTGCAACCTCAGATTAATAAAAGGACTAAGATGAAAAAAAAATTATTGAATGAATGAATTTCCTGTTAAATATATTAAAACTTTAGTTTTTTTCCTAACACTGCCTAATTTACTTGTCTAGTTTCTTATCCAAATATCTAAAAGGATGTAAAGCAAGAAGCCTTTTCTAGACAAGAGTTTTTTTTTTCAAATAAGCTGAATAATCTGCCAATGAGGTAAGAAAAACAAACTTGTTTTTGGTTTGATACATGATTATTTTGCTTGCCCCATTGGCAGGTTATTTTGCTTGTTTTATGAAAAAACTCACTTTTTAAAAAAATTTTCAATGATTATTTTGCAAACAAACCAATGTTTTTTTTACTCGTCTAGAAAATACTTCTTGATTTAAGAATATTTAGTTAATTGGATGAAAAATGTTACAAAAACTCTAAGAAAAATATTGCTTTCCAGTGAACAGCTTATATTGGACAGTGATATTTTGATTTATAACTAATTTTGTGTTCCCGGGTCAGATATATTCATAAATATGTATTCTTCAAGCAAAACAAATCATTTGTTTTTAAATGGGTAGTATATGCACACAGTGGGAAAAAAAAACGTACAGGTGAAGGGAAAGTGATTAACCCTCCCTTGAAATTTTAATACATTTTCAAAACATTCCCAAGGTGATGTTTAAGAGAGCAAGGGAATTTTTCACCGTATTTTCCTTTATTTATTCTTTTGCTTGTTTGTTTGTTTTCTGATGAAAGACATTTAGTTTTGCTGGAATAAAAGCTTTATATATATATAAATATATATATATAAAAACTTTTAGGTTAAATCTTATTACTGTTACTACAATAAATTACTGCTGTCCAATGACTTGCCTAATTTACCTAATGTAGCTAACCTAATTAACCAAGTTAAGCCTTTAAATAGCTAGTAAAATGTTATGTACTGTTATCATTTCAAAGCGAAAATAAATCGGTTCCTAGAAATTTGTTATTAAAACTATTATCTTTTAATATAATAACCTCTGTTTTTTTTATATATGAAATATATATAAAATGATATATATATATATATATATATATATATATATATATATATATATATATATATATATATATATATATATATATATATTTTTTTTTTTTATCATAAATGATACATATATATGATAAATGAAAAGTACTTGGGAAATATTAAAAAATAATAATTAAAAATGGTCACACTTTATTTTGATGGTCTGTTTGTTGAATTTAGGTTACATTGCATCTACATGGCAACTAAATCTCATTAGATTATAAGTAAAGTGTTAGGTTGGGGTTAGTGTAAGTTGACATGCAAAGTTTCTTATAGTCATATGTCTGTTAAAGGAGAAGTATCAACAGATATTTAGCAGACAGTCTACTAATACTCATATAGACCTTTAAAATAAAGTGTTACCTTCAAATTTTTACAGGTGCTTTAATAATTTTGCCTTCAGCTGCATATTAATATTTTCTTTATGAAGTTTGGGGACCTTTCAGATTATTCTTTATATTGATTGAAGACTATGAATAGTTGTGATGCTGTAAATAATGTAATACTTAAAAGTTTTGTTCTTTTTTTCTCCGTTACATAGAAATGTATGCAGAATGTACAGTGCTTAGCATATATGAGTAAATTCCCCACAAATCTCTCATTTAAATTAATATTTCCTATAGGAAGCTTTACAGGGTTATATTTGTGCATATACATTAGATTAGTCAGTACTGAAGCCAAATCTGGAGCTTTTCTAACAAAATAACTTACAATAATGGTTCAAACAATAGTAGCTCAAATTTATATGTTAGGGAAAAATATTAATTACCATTTTCAAAAGTAGAAAAAATCAAGAGAAACAATATATATATATATATATATATATATATATATATATATATATAAATATATATAAATTTTAAATGTAGTTTAGTTGAAATTGTATGAGTTTTCATATATACAGTATTTGCAATATTTTGCATGAATTTATTTGCATTATCTTTCCATTTTTGAAGATGTTTAGGGACTAAAATGATATTTTTATGAATAAATAAATCCGTTTTGTTGAAATGCAAAAAAATACATTACCTATAATCACTGAGAATAAATTTATTTATATTTATATTCACATACAACTGAGAAAGTATTCATTTTCAAAATGGGGTGTACTCATATATGCTGAGTGCTGTATAGTAATTTCAGTGAAAAAATAAAAAAACAAGTCACTCGATTTCACTCTTAATGTGTTTCAGCTTCAGATAGATTTTAGTCCGCTGGATCTCAAGACTGGAGTGTCACAATGGTATGTGCTGCACTCATGTCTACATGCATTAAGATTACATAGTGTTTGTGTACATCTAATCTTATTTGTATAATTTCAGGTATGACTTGTCACACGAGACCAACTGAATGGCCTTCCCATGTTGACATTGTTCACATTGGTTTCATGGATGTTTACTTGTCCCGACACTAGCAGGGGGTTGGAACATTCCTAGAGCAGGGTGTCCAGAGTTTGATGGAGTCAGGACTGAGACTGCTCAAACTAGCCTTGACCCAAAATATAGCCTGCTTGGTTAACATCGTTAATAATGTTGGCACTAGAAGGCTATGAAGGCAACATAATGGAGCAATGTTACGCTTTTAAGTATTTCATTTTGTAACTCCTAGAGGTGTGTGATGTTTATTTTTTATGAATATACCACAGTTGTTGTTTTAAAGTGATGATTCACCCTTAAACCTGTTTGACTTCATATCTTCTTTTGAACAAAAAAGAAGAATTTGGAAGAAAATTGAAATCCGGTAACTATTTACTTTCATAAAATCTTAGGGCTCTATTTTGACGGTCCATGCGCAAAGTTTTGAGAATAAACCAATCAGTCTCATCTCCCATTCCCTTTAAGAGACAGTTGTGTCGCGCCATAAGCGCATTTGCTAATTACATGAGGCAAAGTAAGTGGAAGTGGAAAAACTGAGCGTTTCACTAGCAAGGAAACAGTTAAACAGAGCATCTACAGTGCGAGAATGAGAGATAAGGCATCTCATAATCTACTTTCGCTCTCGTGGATAGGGAAACCTTGTACACACAGATATCCATTAGCCTATACATAATTAATTTCGTTTGTTAAGCGCAAAGATTTGTTTTAAAACTATTTCTAAATTCAGTTCTAGTTTCCAGCAAACAAATAAATGAACAATAATAACGAAGTGTGGTCAAAAACCTGAGTTACATCCAAATACACATGCTGTGTCCAAATGGTCTGAAACCTGACAGGTGGAAAAATCTAAGCTTGTTTTTAATAAAACAAATATGAATATAGATATAATAAATAATACTGCTAATAATGATAACATTATACAAAAGCAAATTGTTATGAATGAACTGAAAAAGCCTCTCGAGATGAAGAAGACATAAAGGCATTTTTTAAATTTATGTAGGCTGGAAAATAAAATGTTTTGTAATATTTTAATCCTTTATATTTATATCCTATATATATATATATATATATATATATATATATATATATATATATATATATATATATATATATATATATATATATATATATCCTTATTAGATCCTATATATATATATATATCCTTATTAGATCCTATATATATCCTTAATATTTTTATTCTTTTTCATATATAAAGATATTTGCGTATTGGCTCTACATCTTGTGTTTATTAAGCAGTGTGTTAGCGAGGCGCACAACTAACGCACTCTGTTTTGGTCTATTGAAAAATCTATTATTGTTTTCAAAATAGCAACGCGCTAGCAATGCGCCTTAGAACGCCTTTCTTTTTAGACCAGAACACCTATGGGCGCACATATCAGCGCAAATGCCTTTGCTATTTAAACACCGTGACAGAAAACGACTCTCAAAACGACTCTTGCGCCACGCTGAAACTAGCAAATAACAATTGCGTCGCGCCTTGCGCCACATTGCGCCTGGTGAATGATAGAGCCCTTTATGTGTGTGTCAATAATACGGTGCTACCGTATCATTGCCGTAACATCCTTTAGTATGTCTAATGGCTTCTTTTGCGTTTTTACAGGGGAAAAAAATTGTTTGGAATCACTTGAGAGTGATTAATTTTTATATTTGGGTGAACTATTACTTTAATGATGTTTGAGGTGACATTACAGATGTCATGATTGCTTTTCCCCCTCAAATAAGTAAATGGTTCAAATTAAAGCCAGAGGAGAGCATTTGGTATTTCAGATTAACAGTGTTTAGTTCATGAATCAGTCTGTTTTTGATTTTGTCATTTGAGTCAATGATTCAGTGATTTACAAGGTTTTTAAAACAGTTCGCTGTTTTGTACAAGTCATTTGAATGAGTGAATGCCTAACTCATCAAGTGACTTGCAGCTTTCATTTTAAATTTATTTGTCATTGACAGACCTAAACCAACTATGGCTAAATATTATGTTTAATCATCAATAGCATTTTTGTTATATATATATAACATTTTGTCATGTTATATAATTTTTTTTTAATCAAAATCACACACCCCTAGTGGCTTTTACTTTTTTTCATGACTTTTTTGATTAATTTTTTTTTTGAAGAAGTTGGAGCTTCTGTTACTCTGTGTTTTTTTCAGTGTTTGTTGCATTTCATGTTGACATTTTAAGTCAAGTTTTGCAATTGATTTATTCCTTTAACATACAATCTGTTACAAAATATTAACATTGTTTTTCTTTTTTTTCTTTTTTACATTGAATTTCATTAAATTGTTTTTGTTTCCTTTGAGATCGAAGAAAGGAAAAGCATTTTTAGCGCTTCTATATTATATAGTTCACATATTTTTGATACATGTTTGAGAGTATACAATTCATTTTACACATATCAAAAATGTTTCAATCACTGTGCAAAGTCTGTATTTTCCAAAGATTAACCGAAAAATTATGTTTGTGGTTCAACCAAAATGCAGCATGAATATTCAAATTTCAAGTGCCATTGAGTCTCTGGGAGACTCAGAAATGTTACAAAATGATAGAGTTGTGTCCTGCAGTGCAGAACTAGTTACTGCTGAGAAAGAGTTAAATAAACAGCCGAAAGGACGAATTTTTTTTCTTCTTCTTCTTCTTTTTTTTTTTTAAACTTTACTTTGAAATGTAGTATTTCTGCACCCTATTCGAGCTTGTATTGCAGTTTTAATAAATATGCTGTTTGCACTTTCAATGCAAAAGTTTCATTGTTTTGCCTCTACATTGTATGTCTATATTAAAAAAAAATGAGTTGGCTAAGCTGGTTGGCTATTTATCTTATGTTCAGAATCATGATGGTATTCCATATTGTATAAACGTCTGGAAAGAAAGTACCGCTACTATCAAATAGCTGTGAGTGAAATAATAAAACTACCAGAGCGGTATGGCAAGCCATTTACCGTTTAATTATGTGTCAATAAGGTGCCATTGGTGACACAGTGGCTCAGTAGTTAGCACTGTCGCCTCACAGAAAGCAGGTTGCTGGTTTGAGTCCCGGCTGGGCCTGTTGGCATTTCTATGTGGAGTTTGCATGTTTTCCCTGTGTTTGCTTGGGTTTCCACGGGTGCTCCGGTTTTCCCCTCAGTCCAAAAACATGCACTATAGGTGAATTGGATGAACTAAATTGGCCGTAGTGTATTGATGGGATTGTGAGAGTGTATGGATGTTTCCCAGTACTGTGTTACAGCTGGAAAGCATTCGCTGTTTAAAACAGATGCTGGATAAGTTGTTGGTTCATTCCGCTGTGGCGACCCCTGATGATTAAAGAGACTAAAGGAAAATGAATGAATAATGTGCTATCTAATTCCATGCTTTCTATACTTTTTAGATAGCAGTAGCTAGTACATTTTCCATTAGATACTACTTTTTAGGTATACTTGGGTAGTATTAAATATTTAAAAGATAATGGTAGCCTATTCATTACCCAGCTAAAAAAATGTGTTGGTTCTATTTGATACAGGTATTCATCCATATTCATTCGATACTGTATAATATTATTCTAGTGCTTATTATGGTGGCTTGAAAAGCCAACATACTGTTATCTCACGTAAACTTATTATTATTCTTCTTCTTCTTCTTCTTCTTCTTCTTATTCTTCTGAGACTAATTTTAAAGTGTATCTCCTCCTAAACTTTTCAAGCTTCACACCTCAAACTTTCGTCAAACCTTCAAACTGGTCTGACTCGGGTTGCTATATCTGTTCTAACTGATCCGACTTTCGGTTTTCCGAAAAACGACCCGGAAAATTCCCAAAATTCCCATTGACTTACTATTGGGTCAAACTTCCTGACCTTATATCTCTGCATCAGACTGTCCTACAGACTTCTAACTGGGCTCATTTAACTCAGTATAGTCAGCAGCCAATAACTGATGACCTTTAAACTTACTAGCCACTCCCTAGCAACCACTTATGGCACCCTAGCAACTGTCCCATAGACTTCCATTGTAAAAGACTGCCATTGACTTAACATTGAGTCAACCTTTGTGAGCTCATAACTCTGCATCAGACTGTTGTACAGACTAGAGTCAGGCCTCATTGAACTCAGTCTAGCCAGCAGCCAATCACTGATGACCTTTAGACTTACTAGCCACTCCCTAGCAACCACTTATGGCACCCTAACAACTGTCCCGTAGACTTCCATTCAAAAGACTCTCATTGACTTAACATGGGATCAAACTTTTTTGAGCTCATAACTTTGCATCAGACTGTCATACAGACTAATGGCTGAGCTCATTTAACTCAGACTACCAAACTGCCAATAACTGATGAGCTTTTAACTTTCTAGCCACACCCCTAACTACCACATACTGCACCTTAGCAACTGTCCCGTAGACTTCTATTACAAAAGACTCTCATTGACTTAACATGGGATCAAACTTTGTGACCTCATAACTCTGCATCAGACTGTCATACAGACTAATGGCTGAGCTCATTTAACTCAGTCTAGCCAGCAGCCAATCACTGATGGCCTTTTAACTTTCTAGCCACACCCCTAACTACCACATACTGCACCCTAGCAACTGTCCTATAGACTGTAATTAGCTGTGCTATCAAATGCTTATAATTCTAACATGCTAATGACATGCCAATCATGCTAGCAACATGCTACTCATATGCTAATCATGCTAATGATATGCTAACTCATACTGGAAACATGCTAATGACATGCTAATTTGTACTAGAATCATGCTAGTAACATGCTAATTCATACTAGACTCATGTTAATAACTGGCCTACATGCATATCTTGGCATAGCAGTGTCCTATTGACTCGGGGGATGGCTCATCTGACTCAGACAACCAATGAGCATCTCAATATGATAATAAAGCTCACAAGCCACGCCCCCAAATTGATTTCATAGACTTCCATTAAAATAGGCCAAGATGCATATCTTTGCATAGCAGTGTCATAGAGACACGGGGGTTGGTTCATTAGACTAAGACAACCAACCACATTCAAGTTAACTCTGTAACCTCGCCCATAGCAACAAAACAGAGTACCCTAGCAACCATTCATCAACAGCTATATCTCAGCATCAGAACATCGTAGAGACTTGGAGATTGGCTCATTTGACTCATGCTAGCAAATGAAACTTCCTATATGCTACACATGCTAGCAGTGACTAGCTACATGCTAATATTGACTAGCCAAGTACTGTAACTTGCTAGAAATGCTTACTAAGTATAAATGTTTTATCAAGCATGTATGTGAGGCTTGCCTAGTAACCAACCAGGGTACCCTAGCAACTGCCTAGCAACCACCCAAATTACCCTAGCAACCGCCTAGCAACCACCTAGCAACGGCCTAGTAATGCCTTAGTAAGGGCCTAGCGACCACTCAGGACACCCTAGCCACCGCCTAGCAACGCCTTAGCAACCACTCAGAATACCTTAGCAACCACCTAGCAACACCTTAGCAACCACCTAGCAACCACTTGG